CAAGAGTATGTATCAGGCTGTTCAAAATGATTTACCTCTACAGAGCAGAACCCCATCAAGTATAGCAGCAATCTTTTTCTAGCGCTCAGGAGCAAGACCTGTGAATCTGAAATGACATTTGTCCCAATCTGACATGGCATTTGCCCCAAACAAACCCTGAAGCCAAGTGTCACATCATTCAGAAAGAACACCATAATAAGCCCTTTGGAGCCAGTTCACAGGGTACCCTACTGTGGCCCAAACCTGGCACAATTTAGAGTGTCATTTTGCATGCTGGCCTCTCATCCATACAGATAATCATCAGTGTTGTTTCTATGGTGATGAGTTAGGAGACCATTTGCATGCCGGCCTCTGCAGTCGGAGGCCCATCTGTCCATTGGAGCACTTTCTAATTTATGTTGGTTGTTCTTGTCATCGTTGTCAACACACAGTAGCCCCCCACCACCACCACCACCACCCACACACACACACACACACACACACACACACACATTCCTCAGTGGAAGTGACAGCAGACGAGCTTTGGAACTTAGAGAGCAATCCATCATGGGTGAAACTATGAGCCTGAGGTGATTCTTGACAAATACATACACATGGCAAATATATATTATACATATTCATAAATACCTTCTTGAAACATTTTTACATAATTTGTATTTTCTCTACTGCTTGTAGAGTACACAGAGTACAAAAAAGACAGTTCTTAAGAAAGCCTTTTTCCGCCAACATTTTCTGGAAAAGTTATTTGAAAGAGCAAACTCTAAATACTAAGAACGATTTACTTCAAACAACACGTCGGACAAATTATTTTGGTTATTTATGATTCGTAGAAAGAGGGGGGAGAAAAACCCTTAATACCTTTTTGTGTTATTTGTGAGATAAACCATGCAGCCGATCCATAGGTAAGAATTTGAAATATAAAAGTATTTTTTCAGAAAACCGCACGTTGGCATCTTCAATCTGGTTTTCCCACCCACAACTTCACTGTTTTGGCTGATTCTTACTGCTCTCGTAGCGTCGTGTTTGGCAGCGGGAGGCAGCTGTTATCAGCAACAAAGAAAACTCACAAAAACTCACTGTACATGTCTGCTCAGCACCAAACAGCAGACTGACAAAGTTAGCGACTATAGCTAAAGAGTCCGATATATCATCTGCTGGAGATCAAGCCAAAGCAAAAATAAATAAATATTCCATTCCTTTCACTTGGTAGACACTTTTGTCCAGAGCGATTTGCCTTTTTCACCATACATATAGACATGGAGCTATTTGGGGTTGAGTATCTTGCTCAAGGACACGTGGACAGGAGGAGCTGGGGATCAAACCAGTATGATGACACAAAGGATTGAACCACCACAACTGCTGGCCAACCCGCCCTACCAGCAGCCAGCAACCTCTATCTGCGAATTCTGCAATCCTCCTCTTGGTGAGACAAGGTGGTTATCAACACCCCAGAGATTAATTAACGCTAGTAGGTGGTAAAATTTCACAACTCTTAGTACAAAACTCAAAGCAGATATTCACAAAGGCTGTTTTTTTAACATGTAATCACATGTTCAATTGTTCAAAAGTTCAACACACAAAAATACAGAGTAACTTTTTCAGTAGTAGTAGTAAGTAATTGTCTTTCACGATACAATGCTCACAATACTTTTAAAATGCTTCTCTTCTGATTTGCATAAAAACCTTTGACTAACACTTAAATCAAACTGCTCTTAATGGTTAATCACGGAACTGTTTGGTAAACCTATAGATTTTAAATTGGTTTGTCAGCTATATAAAATGTGTTTGTATGAACATCTAAATTACATGTAACCACACATAATGAATAGCCTACTAATTATTGCTAATGGATTTCACCTAGTGGTAACCACAATTGGTCACCCAATAAAAGGCTGTGTCAACACTGGCAATTTCCTTAGGAAGAGCTGGTGGACAAGGGATCCTTCAGAGAGGTGGGCATGGGCACCAACCGTGAGGTCAGGGAGGCGGGCATAGGGCCCATCAAATGGTTGGTTGTCAGAAAGAGGGAGGCAGAACTGTTGTCTGTAGTGATCATGTGGTGAACTGAGGTTTTACTATGGCAGAGGGAGCTGTGGCTCAGGAGGTAGAGCGGGTTGAAACATAGCAGGAGGTTGAAGTATCCTTTGGTAAGATACTGAACCCCAAATTACCTCTGGTGGTCCACCAGTGTGTGAATGTTAGTTTCTGTTGGAGCACTTACTCAGTGTGTGAATGCAGATGTAGTGTAAAAGCTCTTTGAGTGCTCGAAAAGACTAGAAAGGCGCTATACAAATACGGAGCATTTACAGAGGCTGCCAGATTAGTTGATCCAAATCTAAAAAGATCAACTGTCAATTCTATCATCCAAACTTTTCAGCAAGAAAACTGGTAAGTTTGTAGGATATCTTTTATTTTGATATTTAACCTTTATTTAACCAGATGATCTCATTGAGATTTTTCAAGAGAGACCTGGCGAAAACGGCAGCATATTGACAGAGTGGAGTTACAGATACGAACACCAGACACACCCACAACAAGCAAAGGACATTCAACAAAAACTCTTAAGATGGACAAATAAACAGTATAACTTTAAGACCAATTAAAAGTACAATTTGTACATAGGTTTAAAGGAAGTTGTTATTTCAAAAGCAGTGACAACAATTTATTGCTTCTGGTTCCAAGTCTTTCATTCGGTGTTTAAATTCAACAAAGGAGATCAGAGATATACTCTGCTTTGCCACTTACAGTTCTGTAAATTGTAATGCATTTAAATTCATCAAACGTGTTACAGAGTTCTTACAGCATGATGTCAACGGTATACTCAATTCTATGCTTAGAATGGACAGAAAACCCCATAGTGGTTTCCTGACTGACCAGCAGGAGTGGACAGGCAGGGAATACTACTGCCAGAAATAAAGCAGGCAATTGAGGAGAACAATGACACCTTTGCCAATGTGGCATCCATCAGCCTACCAACCGTAAGGAGTCACCTATGTGACAATGTGGGAGGATGTCTTCTTTGATCATAACATATATGATTACATATCGGATGGATATTATGGAAATGACAGACTCTGTAAATGTTGGGAAATGTGAAAACTGTGTAATTGGTCTTTTACAGTATCCACAGCACTTCTAAGGCGATTTCAAACATGTATCTTGCATTGTTGGTTATTGGATTCACTGAGTTAAAAGGACTAAACTGAAAAGATATCATGTTGTGTTTTGGTTGATTAAACCATCTGTTCTCATGAAATTTCACGAGAAACTTATATTTTAATCAATGGTTGTGTGGTGAGAGATGTTTACAATCCAAATGAATGCACGATGGCAAGTTTTGAATGAAAGACTGGTTGTGCTACAAGTGTGATGAGTTTGGAGTTATGTACTAAGAGCTGTGAAATTTTACCACATGCCTGCAACAATAGTACCAAAGCGAAGGTTGTGGGTTTTAATCCCACTGAGGTCACATAAAAATATCATGACTTAGGGTAGTAATTCTAAAGTTTGCAATCTCAACATATCAGGAAAAATAAATACATACATGTATCTTAAGCAAATGGTCCAGTGATGATCAATTCAGAACATAATGTATTTCAATGTGAAACATGTCTTCCTACATATTTTTTGGACTTAATGACAGATGTAGTTATAGTTGTGAAAAAAGGTTTTTTTTGATGATCTGTTGTGTTTTGTACCAAGTGTGGGAAATAATACCATAGTAACAGACAAAACCATCTGTAACCATCATTTAAATCTTTTATTGTAAAACCGAAAAATAGTTCAGGTAAAGCTCAAATTTCACAATTAAGTTGCTGGTCCAAGTAAGTAAGGTTCTTACCTGGACCCTCAGAAGGTTCTAGATGCAACCCATTTAGTAGGTTTGAATTAGAAGACTCAGGGTTGCAGTTGGAACGTCCAGAAGGCTCAATTGTTCTGGGACAAGCACAGGAACCTAAAAATGTTTTTAGCATTTGCCATTCCAGCAAACATGGAAGAGCCATATGTAAAGGCTCTTTTGGTTACTTATGGCTAAAGCTAGAGTAATAAAGATTTCCAAGGGTTCAGTAGCAGTATACAAAATATGTGCCACTATTAAATGATACAGTAATCTGATGCTGCCACCTACTGGAGGCAATGTGTCATGCAGTCGGTCATAACTGCGGCTGGTTTGAAGTTGCTGCTGGCGTTACCAGTGAAAACTTGTTACAAGTATGTAAGTATCGTCAGAAAAATGTACTTTAAATATCAAAATATCTAACTTAACGTACTTATCATGCAGAGTGGACCATGTCAGTGATATATATGATGGATTTGTTACTACTGATGCATTAAAGTAAAAGCATTTAATGTAGTAGATGGTCAAGGTGGAGCAAATTCTATCTTCTTATTAGGTTTGTTAGTTTAATAAAAAATAATGCATCATGTTTTGTAAAATCTTAAAGCACCTGTACATCCGTACTCTACCTACACAGGTGTCTGCACTTATGATGCCTAATTCGACCTTGTCATTACTGTATGTCCACCCCCCCTTCGTTAACTTAAGGGCATATTTTGAAGACATTTTAGATCCCCATAATACTAGGTGTTTTAACATTTCAGGAAGAGCGGACAAACAACCTAAAAGAAAATGCGGTTACTTCAGCGTCTAGTCTTGAAATGTGGAAGGCATTTTGTAACAACTTCTCATCCCTAGCATCATTAAGGTTTAGTTTTAATGGTATTTTTTAGTGTCCATATGAAAGATTATCAAGATATAAAAGCATTCTTCCTCATTCTAACACATTTAACTTTTTCTAACATCACCAACTCTGAAACAAGCTTTAGTGAGTCTTGGCCCCCTTGACTTTCTAAACTGGGCAGACAAAGCCCAGGCTGCTGTCCAACTTCATGTTGTTGTTTGGTTTTAAACAAAGATTCAGGAACACCAGCTCACACAAAATGTACTTTTTCCAGTGTGTGAGTTTAACCCCTAAGAACTCTTCAGGTCACACAAAAAGTCATATTTATAGAGGGAAAAAAACATTTTATTTGAGGTATGTCGCTGCTGGACATGTGTTCAGAAATGTTTGTGGTGTCCTTCTAAAATAGTTTAAATAAAGACATTCTCGCTTTCTTATTATAAATAACCTCAAAATACTGCACAGGCTTTAGAGAGAGCTATTTTATACAAAACAATGATAAAACAAGTGTAAAACTGTCAAAAAACTAAAATACCAGACTCATTCCCAAACTTGCAATCACAATTAAAACTAATGTGAACATAGCAAAGCCGTTTATACAGAGCTGAACACTGACTCTTCATCTCTAGCTGGAGAAAAAGCACTAAGTCAGAAGATAATAACTTGGCTTGCAAAGGGCTCCGAATAACTTTGGAAATTACAGTCCTGTCCCTGGTCAAACAAACAGTGATCATATGAAACTGTAGAGAGCTCCAGGTAATGTCCGCCAATCCTCAAAACAAAAAAGGAATGCGTACCCACCTTCAACATTAGGCCGGCTGTCATTTGTTACTCAACAAAAAGTCCAACAAGGTAAACTACTTGTCCGTAAACTTCTTCAGCCACTAAAACACTCGATCAAACTCCGTCTGACTGGTGGTGGCTGGGTTTCTGTTCTGATTGGGCTGCTGCTGTGGCATGTGGCCTCTCCGTCTGGGCGGGGCCAGGTATTCAAACATGGAGGTATTGTGGGTGGAGAGCATGTTCTTCAGGTCTGACGGCATGGGGTCGGACCAGAAGAAGTCATGGTTGAGCGCGTCGTCGCTGTCTATGCGCTGTGCCGGGTCCAGGACCAGGAGTTTATCTATCAGATCCAGGGCGTACGGGTCTTTCACATAGGCTTTGAGACGATCCTTCACTTTCCTCTTTTGGCCTTTAGGCAGCTCCATTTTCTGGTAAAGCTCATACTTCTTATCCACACCAGGCCACACCTGACAGAAAGGGAAGATGTTTCAGGATTTGGTTGACATAGCAGACAAGTAATGCAACTTGACTCTAAACTCGTCATGATATCTGACCTCAGCAGTGATGGAGCCACAGAGCTGGCTGATGAGAGTGAGCTGGTGCTGCTCAGTGTTGCCTTGCATTATGGGACTTCTGGTCCACATCTCTGCCATGATGCAGCCCCCACCCCACAGGTCAATGGGGGGGCCGTAGTCTCGTTCACCTACCCCCCCAAAAAAGGATGGGATTAATAATTAAATACTGCAAGCTTTCTTCGGGTATGAAAATGAAGAGGTACCCTGTGGAGTAGCGTAATGGGGTTTTAACATGTTGGTTTTGTTTGTTCATGCAGCACACGATACAGTCCTATAATGGTTTCACACTATTCCACTGATCTCCAGGCTGTAGATGTGCCAGCAAATGCAGTGAAGGACACTAGAAGTTTGCCAACTTGCAGACACATCAGCTTTGCTAATATTATGTTTGTTAGACCTCAAGGATACACATGTGTTTGTGAAAAAGACTGAATGTAAATCAGAAACTTTATTTACAACAAGACGCCACAAGGTACTTTTAAACTATACCTTTAAACTAATCTGCAGCAGAGTTGCCAGTTTGTCCATCTCATAGAGGCTGAATGATGTTTTGCAGCAATGAGTTTATACTGTGCTCATCAAAAGGAACATTATTGGTTTTGTCCTTTTTGTAATTTGTGCAGCACTTTGTAAACTCAGCATCCGTGAGTTCTCTAGATCATTACTTGTCATGAATCTAACGTTTGATGACAACATGTGTTTCCATCCTTATTTAAACGCCAGAAATTAAAAAAACTAATTTTGAAATATCACAAAAAGGTTTTTACCCTTGGCTGAGGAGGAAAAATTGGTGTATCGATGAAAGAGAGATGCAACAAGGTGCAATGGAAACTAGAGATGCACCGAAATGAAAACTCTTGGCTGAAACCAAATATAATGAAAAAACACTGAACATGTAAATTCACATTTTTTTCCCAGTGCATAAATTAAACATTCAAAAGGTGCTTTTTCCTCAGTGTTTCCATCCGGATTTGGAGAGACTATGGTGGGGGGTCTGAGGCCCGAGAGGGTCCAGTAAAGTAAATTACATGTGTCCATTTACTTTTAATGGACACATGTAATATGTTTTATACTTTCTGTGAATATAATCCAATTAATCTTATTTCCATCCTGTATAGACACCTTATTTTGAAAACCGTACGTTGTCACATGTGTATCCTCGCGCTAAATTCATCAAGTCTGACCCAGTTTGATAAATAATGTTGTATGTGGTGCTCATACGGCGTAACATGAAGACTTCACAGCCTCTCTTCATGTAGGACTCTCAAACTGCAACACTCGTCTTTGTAAGGAGAGAAACTGACAGGAGAAAGTCGCTGACCTGCCTGTCTGCTTGCTCTGGGCCGTTTCAGTGGATTTACCATAAAGGCTTGAATACGTGTGCACTCCAAATTTAGCTTAGGTTAATCGTCTTCTCAAAATTGAGTGACAGAAACACTCAAAGCGGGTCAGACCATTTGTTATCTTTTGGATGTGCTGGGAAACAATTCAGTAGAACAGCGTCTGCAAACGGCGTCTTATTTCTTTATCCTGTTCTCGTTGTTAACTTCGATTTATTTATGTAAAACGCAAAACATTTTGATTTATGCAGCTGTCTGTCTGTCCCGCTGCGCGCAGGCTTGCGTCTCAGCTGTGACTAACTGTGGCATGAAGTACAGGTGCTGGTCATAATTAGAATATCATCAAAAAGTTGATTTATTTCAGTAATTCTATTCAAAAAGTGAAACTTGTATAATGTATACATTCATTCCACACAGACTGATATATTTCAAGTGTTCATTCCTTTTAATTTTGATGATTATAACTGACAACTAATGAAAACCCCAAAATCAGTATCTCAGAAAATTAGAATATTGTGAAAAGGTTCAATATTGAAGACACCTGGTGCCACACTCTAATCAGCTAATTAACTCAAAACACCTGCAAAGGCCTTTAGATGGTCTCTCAGTCTAGTTCTGTAGGCTACACAATCATGGGGAAGACTGCTGACTTGGCAGCTGTCCAAAAGACGACCATTGACACCTTGCACAAGGAGGGCAAGACACAAAAGGTCATTGCTAAAGAGGCTGGCTGTTCACAGAGCTCTGTGTCCAAGCACATTAATAGAGTGGTGAAGGGAAGGAAAAGATGTGGTAGAAAAAAGTGTACAAGCAATAGGGATAACCGCACCCTGGAGAGGATTGTGAAACAAAACCCATTCAAAAATGTGGGGGAGATTCACAAAGAGTGGACTGCAGCTGGAGTCAGTGCTTCAAGAACCAACACGCACAGACGTATGCAAGACATGGGTTTCAGCTGTCGCATTCCTTGTGTCAAGCCACTCTTGAACAAGACACAGCGTCAGAAGCGTCTCGCCTGGGCTAAAGACAAAAAGGACTGGACTGCTGCTGAGTGGTCCAAAGTTATGTTCTCTGATGAAAGTAAATTTTGCATTTCCTTTGGAAATCAAGGTCCCAGAGTCTGGAGGAAGAGAGGAGAGGCACAGAATCCACGTTGCTTGAAGTCCAGTGTAAAGTTTCCACAGTCAGTGATGGTTTGGGGTGCCATGTCATCTGCTGGTGTTGGTCCACTGTGTTTTCTGAGGTCCAAGGTCAACACAGCCGTCTACCAGGAAGTTTTAGAGCACTTCCTGCTGCTGACCAACTTTATGGAGATGCAGATTTCATTTTCCAACAGGACTTGGCACCTGCACACAGTGCCAAAGCTACCAGTACCTGGTTTAAGTACCATGGTATCCCTCTTCTTAATTGGCCAGCAAACTCGCCTGACCTTAACCCTATAGAAAATCTATGGGGTATTGTGAAGAGGAAGATGCGATACGGCAGAAGAGCTGAAGGCCACTATCAGAGCACTCTCGTAACACCTGAGCAGTGCCACAGACTGATGGACTCCATGCCACGCCGCATTGCTGCAGTAATTCAGGCGAAAGGAGCCCCAACTAAGTATTGAGTGCTGTACATGCTCATACTTTTCATGCTCATACTGGCCAACATTTCTAAAAATCCTTTTTTTGGATTGGTATAAGTAATATTAAAATTTTCGGAGATACTGAATTTGGGATTTTCATTAGTTGTCAGTTTTAATAATCACAATTAAATGAAATAAACATTTGAAATATCAGTCTGTGTGTAATGAATGAATATAATATGCAAGTTTCACTTTTTGAATGGAATTACTGAAATAAACCAACTTTTTGATGATATTCTAATTATGACCAGCACATGTATATATTTACATCTACAAGTCTATTTTAAAAGACAAGTTGCACACCAACGCCAGGATCATGCCCAACAAAAAGGCTTTCTTTTTGATAATCCTCGTCAACAATGCTCTTATGAATGATGTTTGCATATTTCTGCCTTTGTGCGCTGCATGGAATTTTTTGGTGGTCTCTTACCCAGCAGCAGCTCTGGAGGTCTGTACCAGAGTGTGACCACGCGGTTGGTGTAGCGGTTCCCCTGGCTGTTTTTAGCCAGGCTGAAGGCTCGAGCCAAACCAAAGTCAGCCAGCTTCAGGACACCGTCTCTGGTAATGAGCACGTTGGCTGCTTTCATGTCTCTGTGAAGGATCTGACGCAAGAGAATACAATATTATGATCAAGACCACAAGACACTGTAACAATTATGTATATACATAACAAATGAGATGGTATACTTTCAGGAAAACAAATGCATCAAATACAAGGGATCATTAGACATCACATCTTGGTGGCCTGCAGATGTGTGCTTATTCTATTCTTCAGGTATGAGCTTTAAACTAAAAAGAAGCTGTTTTTTATATATTTAGGAGGCCAACATGAGGTTAACTAGATGATACAGTCTGAGTGCAGTTGGGGTTATATTCTCCCAGATCTTCAATACAACAGTGATTGTAGTTGTAGTAAAACTGATGGTTGTCTTCTGCACTAGTGGGATCAGCTGATAAGACTTGTGGCCAGTTCAGTGTGATCTTTCCTCCTCACCAGATACGTGCCAGTTTTCTCAGCACTCTATTTAAAAAGGTATTTTACATATATATTTTGTTTTAGACCCCAGAGGCCAAAATAACCAGTGGACAGTCATCTTTATCAGCGCCTTACCTTGTTCCTGTGGATGTAGTACAATCCATTGAGCAACATCTGCATAACCTTTTTGATCTCTGCCAGAGTGAACTTCACATTGGCATTGCTCAGCAGCCCGGCCAGGTCGTGCTCACAGAAGTCAAACACCAGGTAGATGCTGCCTTTGTATCTGTTGAACTGAGTAGCTTCAGGAACAATGAGAGGGGGAAAAAGTCATGGGTCAGTTTATAACCCGGTTTAGGAGTCACCGTTTGGTGCAAATGAAAAACTAAATGGGTTAGGACGCATTTATTTTGAAAAGACAGTAGTGCAAGTATCAAAGACAGACAAAGTCATCTTACTGGGGACTGAGGTAGCAGTTTGTTTCTTTAGTTTGACAATGGCTATATTTTATGCAACATTATAAAGTAATTTTATCGTAAAATAACAGCTTCAAAGTCCTTTTGATGGTACATTGACTTGTAATAGGGAGAATCGCATCAGCTAATGTGCTATGTAACGCTGGAATCCTGGCCAGGACATTTATCACGACGGTGTAGTGGTTCACACCATCAACGCAAAAACTATATAGTGTACAATGTAAGTTATTTTAAAGAAGCTAGCGCAGTATTCTCAGTATGGATATCATGGCAGAGTCTGAGAAGAGACTGAAGACGACATCGGAGGAAGCGAGGAAGAGAAAAAGACAGAGTGGCAGAGACTGGCTTTTACTCTTTTGCATGAGCTAAAAGGATGCAGGACAGATGCACAGCTGGCCTTCTTTCTGTTGACTAGTCAGTAATAACAGCTGCTTTCTGTGTGTTGTGTTGTTGTGCTATTTTGCACAGATGTACATATGTTGTGCACATATTGCTAACATGTTTCCGGGCAGAACTGGCGGCAAGGTTCCACATTACTTTAATCTACATAGTGTAGTCTGTGTACAAGACCGTGACCAGCGTACCATGACGAATCGGCACAAATACACGAACCGTTACAGCTCTACTTCCATCAAAATAATTTTATGCAATATATGCTTTCTGCTCCTATTACACATATTTTGCTATTTACACATTGTAGAACAAATGACACAAACATACATAAAAGACAGCAAATTGATTGTCAGAGCAAATTTACAGACTGAAGACTCGTGACACCAACCTTTGGTTCTGCAGATCTCAATCAGATTGACCACATTCTCATGTTTGAGCAGCTGCAGGATCTTGATCTCTCTCAGAGCTGTGATTGGGAACTGAAACAAAGCAGCCAGAGGAAACTTCTATAATGACTGTCTAGAAACAATGATGCACCAATATGAATTATGCATTTAGTCCATATTTAAGATGTACGCAGCCAGAGCAGAATAAAGACAAGCAGCACTATGAGGATAGGACATACGCAGCAGCTTTTAATCTACAGTCACTCAAAGAAGTGAACGGCAGGAGTTTAAAACAGTTTTCACTGCAAGTCAGTCAAACTTGAGCTTTATAGTTGGTAACGTTTTATATTTTTAAGTAAGGAAAAGTAAAAGAGGCAGCAGCCACATTAAAGACATCAGAGGAGGAGGCCCAGCCAACAGTAAGTTAATGCGGTTTGGATAAACCCTAGACATCGAAAACATAACAACATAAAGAATAAAGATAAGCAAAACCTTTATTATGGTTCATGACAACTCGAGTCTTATTTTCAAAGTTATGACCATAATTCTTATCAGTTACAACTGGGCAATAAACAAGTGCAGTCAGGTTGTAAACACACCAACAATTCAAAGTTGCCATGCATAGCACTGGCCTGACCATCGGGAGCAATTAAGGGCTTGGTGTCTGTCCAAATGACACTTTGACATGTGGACAGGAGGGGCTGGGGATTGAACCCCAAACCCTGTGATTAATGAACAGAGTCACAAATTATCTGAAACTGAGTCACAGGTTATCTGAAACACTGTATTTGGAGGTCAAACTGAAAGTGAGCGCACCTGAATGTTGGTTAATCTCTCTCATTACACAGTAAAAATGCAACTACGGAACTACAACAAGTACCGTAGGTCAAAATTGAACAAGGAAGCCTGTAAACTGTGATGGTCAGTTGAAACATTTATTCTTCCAAATGCATTAACCTAGTGGTTTGTTTACAACCTGTGTCTTACTAACATTTCTCGCCCCTGTTTTTCCAGACCTCAGCAATTAATAATTAATTCAAAAATAAGAATAAACTTGTAATAAATAATAATTATTTACTATTTCCACATAACAAACACTCATGTCCACATCAACAACTACTCACGGTCGCAGTTGTGGACATTTAGCATATCAGGCCATAAAATAAACAACTAGAATCTGAATGGCCTCTTACCCCTTCTTTCTCATTTTCCATTAAAACTTTCTTCAGTGCGACCTTCTTCCCGGTCTGTCTGTGCTTTGCTTTGAACACCTCCCTGTGAGGAGAGGATTACAACACAAGAGACACAAATAATGGACTTTACTCTACACTGGCAAATCATTTCTACCTTAACATAGTACTCCCATTTCTACTTGGGTCTTAATTATACAAATATTATAAATACTTTTCTAACGTTTTATTCACTTACACGTGTGGGCAAGTGTGGTTATTTATGATGTTATATTACGGTTTATAAAGTACAGACTGCTACGTCCATTTCTTAGCTAACGTTAGGTCAATACGCAATCAACTTGGCAGCACATATTACAACAGGCTAAAGCTAGGTTGTGTGACTCTGTGTGCTGCACTTCTAAGAGTCTCCTGAACATAACAGATAAACGACTTTGGGCCACATGGAGAACAACCACAGACTGTATAGAAGAGAAAAACGAGTTATTTGTAGCTAACGTAACGTTATTCCGTACGACTAAAGTTAGCTATCCGCACAGCTAACGTTAGCAACACAAACACACAACACGCATTCACAGATAAACTCCCACCATAAACTGTTTGTGTACTAACGTTACTCACCCAAAGGTCCCTTGCCCTATTTTTGCCATTTTTTCATATTTGGAGAACTCGTCACAGAAAGGAAATTCAACTCCATCGTAGTATTTCGACATTATGGCGGCCTCTCGGTCGGACCTGAAGAGACATTTTACTTGATATTAACACATTTAGGTTAAAACATGAGCTATACAGAACATGTGCTAATGTGCTTAAATTGATGAAAATACAAATGTCTTATAAATAAAATTGCAAATAGGTTTAATCTTACTTTTCAGCCCCACCGGCGTTGCTAGTTTTGTCTCGCTGCATTCTTAGTCCGTTCTTCTTCTGATGATGATGATGATGACATCTGCGGCAGACTACACGTAGCTAAGGAGTATTTCTGCCCTCTACAGGTAATTTGTAGACTCCCCGAGTTCTTCTTTTGGCTTTATGGCGGGTTGCAACCATGATTTAGAAATGGGCCTACTGCTTCCTCCTGTACCAGAGTATGTAGCAGGAATTGCTGGACGAGTCTCCTTTACATCATAATAATACAACTTAAAAAAAACACAAACTCTATAATATAACCCTATATCCTTCAGGTATTGCAGAAAAACAGCTTTCTGTGTGTCCTTTACCACATCTGCTTTTATTCCCTTTCCTTCCTGCCTGAATCATCTCTTGGTGTAGTCATGGACTAACAACTGAATTTGAGGAGCCACATTAAGTCTGCCTACTGAAGAATATATCAAGGATTAAAGGACTTATGTTTCAGCAAGACCTGGAAAAACTTATCTATGCATTTATCTTCAGTCGACTCGACTACTGTAACAGTGTCCTTACAGGGCTCCCTAAGAAATCGATCAGACAGCTGCAGCTGATTCAGAACGCTGCTGCTTGAGTCCTCACTAAGACCAAAAAGGTGGATCACATCACTCCAGTTCTGAGGTCTTTACATTGGCTTCCTGTATGTCAAAGAACTGATTTCAAACTCCTGCTGTTAGTTTATAAAGCACTAAATGTTTTAGGGCCAAAAATACATTTCTGATCTTCTGCTTTGTTACGAACCAATCCAGACCTCTCAGGAGTCAAAACTAAACAAGGAGAAGCAGCGTTCAGTTATTATGCTCCATATATTTGGAACAAACTCCCAGATAACTGTCAGTTCTTTTAAATTAAGACTTTACCATTGCTTTTAATTAAATATTCAAGATTTTTCTTTTTACCACTGCCTTTAACTAGTAGATGGATTACTTACACTGCACTGTAACTTTTACTGTCCTGTTTTCTTTTTCTTTGTTTTTAGCTTTTTACCATTGCTTTTAATTAAATATTTACACGGTGAGAAATGAGTAGGTAATTGAGTGAAAAGATAATGAGAGTGAGATTGAACAGAGTGAAGGAAGTGGTCTTAAATCTCACGCCTGAGTGATTTGCAGGAACCTCTGTCCACCTGTAAACACTCAGGGGGGTCCAGAGTATAACTGGATCAAAGTGGCCTGCAGACAGACGTCCTGGTTTCTCTGGGTTTTTGGAGTTTCAGTTGACCCAAAGATTGCTATGGACCCGAGTACAGACTAGCTAGAGAGAGTAGATTAAGTGTACTTCTCTGTTTATTCTCTTTTCAAAATAATTGTAACTCAATTATTTGCTCAATCCATCAGCCTGTTTTTATTTTCCATTTAACTCTTTTAACCCTGATTGTACTCTGCACTGTAACTTTTATTATATTTTAAAGTGTTTTTTTTTTTTTTTTTACAATTTCCCTATGTTGCTTTTAAACTTTTTTATATTTCCCTGTTGCTTTTATGTTTAATGTAAAGCACTTTGAATTACCTTGTTGTTGAAATGTGCTATAAATAAACTTGCCTTGCCTGTTGATTTCCTACAGTGTAATATGTTCTACACTTTCTTACATTAGCATGTGTGGCCCTTTATATAGTCAGTCCCAATCCCCGAGTTGGGATGGTCATTCTTTTGACTTGGATGTGTTCATGAGCTGAAACTGTAATGTGGAAACAACGTGGACGTTTTTGTACAGCATCTGAGTGATGAGTTGTTGTATATGTGATATGTGATTCTTCACCAGCACATTCCCTAAAGCCACTAAAATATTGCTTTACTTGACATATTATCATGGTTAATGCAAACAATAATCTAATACCATTTAACAAATGTATGTGAGCAATATTTTTGCGTAATATGACGTCAGCTCTACAAGTAATGTACCAACATTTCTGCAGACTTTCCAAGTTGTTTTTCTGACTTGTCAGAATCAGAATCAGAATCAGTTTTATTGCCAGGTATGTGTACACATATGAGGAATTTGACTCCAGGATTGTACATTGCTCACGATGTGCTTACTTATACAATAATAACATAACACTATAATAAAATAATAATAAAATAAAATCAGACACAAACTACAGAATAGACAACACTAATATACACACTATGAACAAAACAATATAGACATATTGACAAATAGTGCAGTGATCAGAGTGTAAACGATGCAAGAGTAAACTATTCTCATTATGTACATGTTGAAGGTGGATATGATATACAGGTACCCCTAACCCTAACCCTAACCCATGTACACAGTGTGATGTAACATAGTGCAAAGGATGCTGGAAAAAATAAATAAGACCTATGACCTTATGACCTGAGGTAGGTGTATTGGTATAATAATGACTTTTTTCAGGACTCAGAATGGAAGGTCCATAGAACACAGAAAAAACAAGACAAAAAACAACAGCTACAACAAAACAATAAATATACAGTACATTAAAAAAATTAATAAAATAAGTCTATATCTTTCACTTGTAATATACAAACAGGAGCACCAATGTCTCAACAGTCTAGATGTATACCTGACTGAGCTAAAATCATTGTGGGTTAAAGCTTGTATAATTCTATTTTCAGAGACAGACATTCTACAAATGTATCTAAAAATAAGATTTCTTATTAAGGAAGAGCATGTAGGCACCCCAACATTAACAAACATATGACTGGCACTACACCATTTTGGTTGTTTTAAGAGCAGTCTCATGGCATTATTATACGCTACATTCAGCCTCTGCATGTTCTTTTTGCTGTAAGACTGCCACAAGTGGGCAGTATATAGTGGTGTACAGAATGCTTTGAACAAGGCTACTTTAACATAAGCAGAACACATGCCAAATTTACGTGCAAGCACATTAGCCTGAGCATATATCTTGCGACACTGTCTATTGATGTCCTAATCATCTGATAAATCATTTACAATATGATGGCCAACATATTTAATCTCATCACACACTTTAAGGGCAGTACCAGATAAAAGAAATCAGGGAATACTAATTTCCTGTCTTCTTTACTTCTAACAATCATGATATTGCTCTTACTTGCATTATATTTGATATCAAAATCTGCACCGTACTGAGAGCAAACCTTCAACAGTTGTTGTAACCCAGCGCTATATGGGCAAATGATTACCAAGTCATCTGCATACATAAGGTGATTCGTGAGAGTATTGCCTATCATACGTCCTGTATTACATTTATTTAATTGTTGTGACAAGTCATCCATATACACGTTAAAAAGGAAAGGTGACAAAATACCACCCTGCCGAACACCATTACCAACAGTAAATGGTTATGATACAGAGCCCCCGCATTTCACCTGCATTGACTGGTGTGAATACCAGAAGACTAGGATTCTTATAATTACTTTGGGAATTTCTCTATGTTGCAACTTAAGAAACTATTTTTCATGGTTTACCCAATCAAATGCCTTAGAGGCATCTATAAAACACATAAACGCTGTGGAATTCTGGCTATTATAGTCATCTAAAATTTCCTTTAAGGCAAATATACACATATCTGTACTGTGTTGACGTTTAAAACCAAATTGGTTATCAGTCGTAAAAATATACTGTTCCAACCAGTTAAGAAGAATTCTCTCCAACGCTTTTGATACAATACTAGCTAGGGCTAAAGGTCTATAATTGTCCATGCTGTTTATTTTGCCAGTTTTGTCTTTAATGACGTGCACTAATAAAGCTGGTAAGATAGATTCAGGCAGAATCCCATGAACTAGAAATCAGTCATACAAATAGCAAACAGGGGAACAAGTTTCTTGCTTGCATATTTTAGATGTTCAGCGGTTATTTGATCGGTCCCACACACTCTATTATCATCTAATCCCAATACTGCAGATTTGACCTCTTCTGAATTAATAACCACATTTTCATCATTATCAATTTTTTCCACCTCAAAAGTATTTCTCCCAATACAGTTAAACAGCTCATGATAATGTTGCATCTGGCAAATTACATCTGAGCCACTGACACCCTCAATATCTGAGGACATTTTAGTACCATGGCTCTAACCTCTTTCCAAAAGTCATTATAACTTCTGTTATGCATCTTACATGCCAAAGAGTCAGACCTCATCGAGTACTCATTCTTTTTTATATATCTTAGTGCATATTTAAAATTTGCATTTGCCCTTCTCTTCAAATAAAGGGCCCTGTCTATCTCTACCTGACACTATCCAGTCTTTCAGTGCACACCGAGCTTTGGCATGAAGTTCTGCTACATGCTCGTTCCAACCAGGCTTGATGGTATATGCCATTCGCTGAGGTTTATAAAAATGCCTACTGGCAATATTAATTGTATCAACAATTGAGTCATATAGAACACATAAATCATTACTATGTTGTGGATTCTTACAATTAATATCACAACATCTTATGGTGTCTTTGGGCAGTGCAATGTTTCCCAGCAACCCCTCAGTCCTAACATAATACATCTGGAAATCTTCCACGGTTAATTTAGTCTAGTCTAGTCTTCCTGTGTTAATGCTATTAGCCTCCGTTAACACTGGTAAGTTTTTAACATTTAAAGACAGAGAAAACGGTATATGATCTATAATGGCAAACTCAAAATTAATCGTCATAGCATCCACGGAAGCGTGAGCATCAGTTGTACATACACAATGAGCTAACCATGAGGTGGTATGCCATGCCTCACTGATTTAAGTATAACTGTTTTAACTGTATTAAACCAGTGTCAGAGCTTAATCACTTAGCATTAAGTGATTAGCAAACAGAGAGTTTGCATCAGAAATATCAGCATTCATGTCTCCTACAGCAACAATACAGGTTGAGGCATTATCCTGAACACTCATACAGAGCGTATATATTCAAGATAATAAACTTTGTATCATGACAATTAAACTCGTATACAGTATATACAATATGACATAGTATGAACAGCTCTGAAATAGAGAATGGTGAATAAATAAATAATAAGTGGAAACCAGTAAACAGGTGGCAGAGTTACTGGGTTATTGCACAGGAATTGTTCCTGACACTGTGAGTCAGAAATCAGCTGTTCATCAGAGTGATGACTTGTGGGAAGAAACTGTTCCTGAGTCAGTTGGTTTTGGCGTACAGTGCTCTGTAGCGCCTACCAGAGGGGAGGAGCTGGAACAGGTTGTGTCCAGGGTGAGATGGATCTGCAGTGATGTTTCCTGCCCAGGTTGTTCTGACCGCACCAGAGAGCCAGCTGATCAACCTTCCATCTGTAGGCCGACTCGTCACCGTCCCGGATGAGGCAGAGGACCGTTGTGTCGTCAGCCAACTTCAGGAGTTTGACAGATGGGTCTCCTGAGGTGCAGTCGTTGGTGTAGAGGGAGAAGAGCAGTGGGGAGAGCACACACCCCTGGGGGGCGCCAGTGCTGATAGTCTGGGTGCTGGATGGGATGTTTCCCAGCCTCACCTGCTGACTCCTGTCAGTCAGGAAGTCTGTGATCCACTGACAGGTGGAGGCTGGCAGAGTGAGCTGGGTGAGTTTGGTGCTGAGGATGTCCGGGATGATGGTGTTGAACGCCGAGCTAAAGTCCACGAACAGGATCCTTGCATATGTCCCTGGAGAGTCGAGGTGTTTCAGGATGTGATGCAGACCCAAGTTGACAGCATCATCCACTGACCTGTTAGCCCTGTAGGCAAACTGCAGGGGGTCCAGCAGGGGGCCTGTAATGTCCTTCAGGTGGGCCAACACCAGTCTTTCAAAGGACTTCATGACTACAGATGTCAGGGCGACGGGCCTGTAGTCATTTAGTCCAGAGATGGAGGGTTTTTTGGGGGCCGGGATGACTGTGGAGCGTTTGAAGCAGGAGGGAACTTCACACAGCTTCAGTGATTTGTTGAAGATCTGAGTGAAGATGGGGGTGTCCCTGGTGGGACACTTAATAACCTATGCTCTCTGTATTTTGGAAGTTCATGACTGAGGTTTGCTTTGTTAAAGTCCCCAAGAACTATGAGCAGGGAGTCTGGATGTTTTTTCTCCACGTTAGTTATCTGGTCGGCCAGGTGTAGTAACGCCTCACTAACACAGGCCTGAGGTGGAATATAAACAGCGAGTAAAACGAGGAAAACTCCCGCGGTGAATAAAACTGTTAATAGTTTATAAATATATATAATATAACACTGTTGCCAGTAAGTTACTGTAATTCAGATTTACAGTACTGTAACTGTTTTTCACTTTTACAGTAACAAATATGTTACTGTAATTATGTAATTCAGAATACAGTACTGTTGCTGTAAAAAAAAACTACAGTTACACTACTGTAATCCCAGTATTTCTTTTAGATTATTTATATTATTTATTTATTCATTCATTCATGCATGCATTATTTTTTAAACCTACACAAGTACTAATGACACAGTAATTATAAAATTTCAAATTCTTTATTTAAACATTTGTCATACTTAATGCACTTTACAAGAAATGTCAGAAATTCATTTAAAATAACATAAAAGAAATTAAATTACATGAATAAACCTTACCTCAGTTAAAAGTGCATTCAATGTTACTGTCAAAATACAATGAAGAAAGTACTGTGCAGAACAAAGTATCTGGACGGCATACAGAACTGTATATTTACCAACAACAGAAGAACACAAAGAAAATACACATCTGCTGACTGGAATGCTTTTTTACAAATAATCATTAACCGCATTAAAATAGGAAATAACAGTAACAATAGATCTACTTTCTCCCACCCCTATTGGCTACTGGGGTTCTTGCCTGCGTGTTGCTGGGATAGGTGTGGCACAGTCGTGGCATCCCACTCTCACTAACAACTACATTCTTTAACAGGCTTATGCGCACACACATGTACCCACACACATACAGACACATTCACCCACACGCACACAGACACAATCACTCTCACACATAGACACAAACAAATTTAGGTTGTCCCTGGTAGAATTATTCCTGATGCTTTTCTTTCAGTTACTTATTTAAATTAATTATTATTCCAGTTCTCGTGGCTGTGCTGTGTTGCTTATTTAGTGTGTGTGACTGTTTCTTGTTTTCATTTTTCTCTTAGTTGTCTTACTATGTCAGCTGTTTATTGCTGCTGTTCGGCTGGTTGTCTTTTACTATTATTATTATTTTTATTTTTATTGTTTGTGTTTGTTGCAATTGGTGTTTCCCACAGCTTTTCCCTGTTGTCCCCACCCTCCATCCCCCTTTCCCCCTTCTCTTACAGGTGTTGTCCTTTCTCTGTGCTGTCTGTTTGTGCCCCCCCATCCCCGTGTCTTCCCCCCTGTCCGGCCCGGTGACAAATCAATACATAATTAAATAAATAATAAAACAGACAAAGGAGTATTTTAATACTCTCTTGTTAAAGTAAAATCTGTCTGGCACAATATGGTATCCAGGTCATTATACTCTATACCAGGCTGCTGGGCAGGACAGGTTTAAAAAAAAAAAAAAAAAAAAAACATATTCACATGTAGCATAAAACCCATGTTAGTAATTCATTAAACATAATGAAAATATTAATGTATTAATTGTTATCCAGTGAAATTAATGAACACTTTTGCAGGGAACTGTATGCATGCTACATTCTCATTAGGGGCTAAGCCCCCCTAAAGGTCTGATCCTAAAATTGCTCCTGAAACAATGCCATTTATCTTTAGAATCCAGGATTTTCAAATGAATTACAATCCATTTAGTAGGTACCAAACAACAGAAAAGTAAGTTACATGGTTATTAGAAATTAAACAATAACTTCCATCCATCCATCTTCAACCGCTTATCCTGCGGACAGGGTCACGGGGGGCTGAAGCCTATCCCAGCTGGCATCAGGCAAAAGGCGGGATACACCCTGGACAGGTCACCAGTCTGTCGCAGGGCCACACATAGATGAACAATCACCCACGCTCACACCTAAGGACAATTTAGGGTCACCAATTAACCTAGTCCGCATGTCTTTGGATGGTGCACCCGGAGAGAACCCACGCAGACACGGGGAGAACATGCAAACTCCACACAGAAAGACCCTCGACCTTCTTGCTGTGAGGCGACCATGCTAACCACTGCACCACTGTGCCGCCCTGTAAACAATAACTTATTAAATGATCATTTATTTTGTGATTTGGTGAAAACTACGACAGGAAAAAATATTTGTTGATAATAAAATGACTTATTTACAGAATTAGGTTGACACAAACTTGATTTCCTAAAGAGATAACATTCCCTATCATGTTCAAGGAATTTAGTTTGTAATTAATTAGAAAGTATTGATATTATAAGCAACAGATGCACCAAGAGACATTTTAGAAAATGAATCTACAATACTAACACAAACACCACATGGAACATCTTTTTGGAACTCTCATTTTAAGTTAACTGGTGCAAGGAACTATTTGTTCCTTTTAGATTCTACATCACAACCAAAATTAAAGAGATACATCTGAAAATATTACACAATATGTCCAACAAGCTATTGTCTATTTATAGATTTCTAGATGCTGATAACAGATGTACTTTCTGCAAGACTGAACAAGAAAATATATCTAATCTATCTATTCTATTGGTTCATATTGTATTACATTTTGGAAGGATTGAGAATTATGTACAAATGCGTCCATCAATTGCCCTCAAGGACAATCATGAAATTATCATCGAAGTTAATGTAATGATAACAATGTATGCACGATTCTAAACTTTTCATTTTATTAGAGCAATGTCATGTTCTTAGTTCAACCCCATGTTTTAAATTGTTTCTAATTGAAATTGAATGTTAGTTTAACTTCTTAAATATGTAACAAATAAGAAATACATGTCAATAGATAAAATTCACTCAGTTGTTTTTGTGAAGTAGTTTGTCATGAAAATGTCTTAATCTTAATTTCCTTTGGCGCAACGTCATTACGTCTGTGAAGAAAACCTCCCATATTTGGCTGCAGCTTCCTGTGACAGCTCGACGCCCATCATGGTGTGCATGTCTCGCGTGTGGCAGCAGGGCTGCGCGTTTGCCGCGAGGCTCCGAAGGAAGGACTGTGCATGCAGGTTGGCGGGCCTTTCAGTCAGACTCTCCAGCACCAAAACGGCACCCCAGATACCAGGCATGGAGTACCAGGTAAGCCGGGTTACAGTCTCTTCTACCCGTGTTTGCAGCGGCTGCTAGCGAGCTAGCTAGCCACCAGCGCTACAACAAGTTTGCAATACAACCGCATTCACAACTGCTACAACTCTGACTGTACAGTTTGGAGATGGATAGAAACATGGCTGACAGGATCACACGGAACTACTTGAAGTAGCCGATTTAAGTTAGTTAACGGAGCCGAGTGACCATGTGCTAACAAATTAGCAGTTGGTTAGAGTGACTGTGCTATGAAAAGTTACGTTACAGTGTGGACAGAGCTGCTTACTATCTGTTACTGGCTCAACACGTCAAAGTGCAACCTGTGTGCTAACACGTGTTCTGAACCTCTTCTTTGATGACATATGAGAGTTTCACTTTAACGTGATGTGTGTTTACCTTTTTTGTCATCAGTGGTTGTGTTGTGTTTTCACTTAGTATTACTCACACTTCTATATCTTAAGTGATACAAGGAACTGTCAGGACAGTCACTAGAAAGACACTTGGCTTGTGTTCATTTATCGCAGTGTTAATGCAAATGAAGGTGATGCAGCCACATCCACTGCCAGCACAGCCACTCTCTGGCAAGGTTGATGTTTTATAATGCACATGTCCATTACAATTAAATGTGACTCAGCCATAATTGATGGGATTGTTCTCCACGCTAATCAAGGCGACTAAAGATTGTTTTCATTATTGAATGAGATTTCTTTTTTGGTTTATGGTTTGGTCCATAAAATGTCAGAAAACCGTAACCAATGTCCATCACAGGTTCCCAAAGTTGATGTAGTAGGTCTAACTCTGCGTTGCGTTATGTAGAAAGCCAGGACACACTTTATTATCTTGGAGCAGTCAATTTGCCAACAGCAATAACCGCAGCAATGGTTTATTTTATTCAGAAACAGAACATTCAGTTTCCCTCACGTACATGTTCTCAGCGCATTTTTTATGTGGATTTCAGTGAAACTCAGCATTCGTACTGGTACTTTCGTTTTGCTGGCAGTGATAAACATAAGCCCAGTGAAATGTCTGCTTTTGCTCAACAGGGAATGTGCTGTAGATAGAATTATACCGGTAATTTTGGACATAAATATTGGTAAAGATATGTGTTGTATTCTTCTTTTAAAGGAATACTTGGGCTTTTTGGGAAATATGCTTATTTGCTTTCTGGCAGAGAGAAATAGGTTGATACCGCTGTCATACCCAGAGGTGGAAAGAGTACAAGAATACTCTACTTAAGTAAAAGTGTGATTACTTTGATGAACGTTTACTTAAGTACAAGTAAAATTACAGATATAAAATCTACTCAAGTAAAAAGTAGCTCATTTAAAATTTACTCAGAGTAAAAGTTACTTAGTTACTTTTTTAACCTCCTAAAAGAACTTATTTAAATTGATTTAATATCTTAATTATACAACTTATTTAATTAAATTGGATTCTCTTGCGAATTGATAAGGGAACAAAGCCATATGGCGCTTTCAATTTTATTTTGTTTGACCGATGAAAATAAAGAAATTTAATGTTAAAATGAGAAGTTTGAGAATGTTTTCGCTTCTTTAGGAAACTGTGGCTGAACAGATTAGACCCTAGCGGGCCCCACTGGACTGGGAAAATGGGAAACACTGGACTGTATAAGTCATATCCACATTTTCATTGTGGTAATTTTAATGGGATATCATAAGTACAATAAAGAACTAGTTACCAGCAAGTTGCTAATGCCAACCATGCATGCACTGATGTCTTTTTGGCTATTTGGAGCAAAGAATCTTTCCAAACTATGAAAACTTATTTTTAACCACCAATGGAAGTAGACTATTATTTAACTGACCTCTACATCAGGGGCCCTCAACTACATTTGTTCTAAGCAGACACTGTGGGGTTGGACTTTCAAAAATAATTGCCATATTACTGTTTACTATTTTCAGCTTTCTTAAAATGAACGGTTTATATCAGGGTAAACAGACTACTAAAATACATAGTAGGCCTAAATCCATAATGATGAATCTACATAGGCTACTAGACAGGCCTACTTAACTAGAAAATGCTCTCAGACCACAGCCAAGGAGGCAGTTCACTGAGGAGTGATGGCTAAAATCTGTAATTGTAAATGTAACTCTCTGATTGGCTTTAATCAACCGGTTTTGACGCTATGCGCCATTATTGTGCACGAGAGACCTGTAGTTAAGCCTATTGGTGGTAGCAGATGACTTTTAATAGCACATAGCACCGAAGTCCGGGAAGCTAAACAGACTAGTTATTGGTATTTTCGATAATTCTGTGAGCAGTCATGATCTGACTTTATGCTGCACACAACATGAGTCTGTGAACAGCGAAAGGAGTTGGTTACCTTGTGAGAAGGTGGAGGTGTGCAGCCTGTCGCCTGCAGCTCTTTAACAGCTCACTGCGTCTGCCACTGACTGTTGCATTACTCACTGCAGTATTTCAAACTGGTGCACTGTCAGAAAACTGTTAAGGGACGGTTGTCTTGTTGTGTAGATACATTTGTGAACAATAACAGCGGTCAGCGTTGATCTCGCTTACAGACAGATTGCATTTCCTGTGACTACTTCAAAATAAAAGTCAACTTGTGTTTCGCCAGTTAAAAGTTTTTAATGTGAAGCTGCAGCAGCAGGAAAGGGTCAGTTTGCATTGCATGCCCTACTTAAGGAAAAGTAAAATTAAAGATTTAAAAAACGACTTTAAAAAGGAAAGACCAACAGTCTGACTGACACTCAGCCCCAAGTCCATTAGTTTCTACTGAAGATGTAAATCCTTAAAAAGGCTGTATTTTTAAACAAACAGGAGGAAACAGTGCATTTGTGGGGGACTATTTTCAGTGGCGGATGAATGTGGTGCTCTAGTGAGTATTTGGGGCAGCAGGACGGTGTATGTGGGACTGAGTTAGAATAAACTACAGTGTGTGTTCATGGTGTTGAATGAACATGTGACCCAGTGCAGCAGTGAGGCTCCTTGATGGGTTTTAATGGCTCAGAGGAAGAAGAGACATCAGGCTGTGATACACACACAGGACCTGTTAGTAGAGACAGTCGTAGGTTTGAGTCTGCACTAGATGTTCACAATATTGGCAAAAATGTGATATTGATCATGAATTTTGCTAAACCGATTCTACTTTTGATATTGTTAAACATATGTAAAAACACAAGTTGATGGGCCTGTTTCTGATACACTGTTGCATCTCTGAGCCACACATCTTCTTACTTTTGTCCATTCTTTTCTTTCACTCCTGTGACTCACGTCGCTTTTCTTTATTCGTTTCTCTCCCGCTCTCTCGTCACTCAAAAGCTGTCGTATGCACACACATCACGTGCTATGCTCCATAGCACATGTTTGTGTAGTGGACCCATGCACTCACACTTGCATATGACAGCGCAACTGGCCTGAGACACATGATCGTATAGCTGTTTCAAAATTGAACACAACTAAGCCCCACAGCTACGGATGCATCTCTCCACTAAATAAACAGAATATTGCATACTTCCTATGACAGTTACGATGTTACACTGCACAAAGTGATATTTGTAAAAAATGATATTGAGTCAATACATTGTGCACATGGGATTTGTGTAATATCTTGCAGATTGTTTGCTTTGTCTGACCAACAGTCCAAAATCTAATCAATTTACAATGCTGGAAAACAGAAAAGTTAGAAACGGTGAATGCTTGGAATTGTTCTCTGAGAAATGATAGATTTTTCTGTTGATGGACTAATTGATCAATAGGCCAATCATTTCAGCGCAATGATCCGGGTCCAGCATGAGGAAATGATTTCCTTTTTACATTATGGAATTAGTTGTAAGCTGGCCCAGTCAGTCAACTCATGGATAAGCACTGGTCTTAAATACCAGCTACTTACTGTAAGACAGCCAGTCATGATGCTCTTGTTACATAGCAAAATGTCCCAGGCAGGATGTGTGAATGGGGTTCAAGCTTCTGTCCTGTACTGTGTAGATTATGGTGGTTTGTGTTATTTTTATTTTTTTTTAAGCATGCTGTTCTGAAACCATTCTCTGCTTTTGCCGCAGGATGCCATTTGCACTCTGAACACACTACAGACCAACGCCAGTGCTCTGGAGCAGGTACGACGAGAGCGGAGCCACCCTCAGCAGCAGCTCCAGGCCATGAGAGCCTTCCTGGAAAGAGGCGGCCTGACAGTGAGTCAGTTATATCAGCTCAAATAGTACACAGGGCATGTTTGTAATGTAATACTGATGACTTCAAGTATTATCAACAATGTTATTATTTAACATGATAAGTATTTCCTTTAGTCTTATCTAGTTTAGTCTTCTGTGTGTGTGTGTGTGGTTTTTAAAGGTGGAAGAATTAGACCATCTCAATATCATTCATGTGACTGGAACAAAGGGCAAGGTGAGCTGACTAGACACACAAGCTGCATGTTGGTGTGTGTTGCATGTTGCATTTTAAAGGCCCAGTTTGTAATTCTTTAACTACGTACAGACGTATTCACAAATAGAACGGAAGAGTTTTGATCTGGCTTAACCTTTGTCTACATTTAGGTCATAGTGTTCGGTTTAATATTTAGCTCCTAGCTCCCATTATGCAAGCTCTAAGAAAAGGTCACACAAACATGATTTCAAATGTCAGTTTATTCACTAAATGACACAAACTATTGTGACAGCTGTAGGAGGGCGGCCTCTAACTATGTTTATCTTTCAGGGGTCAACATGTGCATTTACTGAACAGATTTTGAGAAATTATGGCTTCCGCACAGGATTTTACAGGTAAAACATTGTATGAATATTACGATGATATTGGCAGTACATGAACATCAGGCTGTTAGTTATGTAGAAACCAGAGATAGTTACCAAATCAGGATGAAAGAATAGTGGAGTATTGCAGTTAACACCATAACTGCCTATTCCTCAGACATCTTTTTCCAGTGCTGGAACTTAATGACCTGTAACGTAAGGTGTGGTCATTGGCTGTGCTCTGTTCGGTCATGCCAGCACTGCTTGTTATATAGTGGCGAGAGTGGGGGAAACCTGTTTAAATGGAATGCAGGTGGCATGACGTTGAATCTCTGTCAACTGATAATCAAACTGCAGCAGATGGCTTACAGCTTGTAAACACTGGCAAAGATACCACAGCACCTTTTGGATTCAGATGTTACATGTCACGATGGTGTTGGTACACATCGTATAAGGTTTACTTGCCACACAGAACCATTGATTGAGTTTGGAAAATAGGTGGTATCTGCTGAACTGAAAGTGAATTGAATTCATGACATTGTGTGAATACAGAATGTGCTGGGCATTACGCGAGGTCTCTGTCCTCCATCACCAATAAGGTGTAATTTGTCCCACCCTGGCAGGTGCAACAAAACAGGAGAGAAGATGTAAGTCAGACATAAACTAGAAGCGTGGTTTAAAAAAAATTGTTGCTGCAATTTTCTACTCCGATACTCTGTGCTTCCCAGTTTGCACATTTATCTTCTAAAGATGTTCCCAGGTGATTCCTACCTGTGGGCATCTAATATTTAAACCATTATGCAAAACAGTAACACAATAATAATACTGTGGGATTTTGCCATCATTAAAGTAAAGCAAATCCTAAGTAGGCTGTGCGGTATCAGGGTAACGGACTTTCACGAATAAAGATGCTCCTTTTTCTACTAAACCCACACGGAGATGATGTATTGTAGTGGATGTCCTCAACATTGGTGGGCGACGCCTTGCAAAACTGCCTGACATCATCTACAATGCGACTACCGCCTTCCCTTTTCCAGCAGTAGGTAATCAACACATGAGCGTTAGCTGCAGCTTTTATTCGCTGACAAACTGTAACCTACACTGTACATTTACTGCTTTACTTCTCAGCTTTTTCTCTGCTCCGCTGCATTCACCTGCTGCTGCGTCACTTCAGCTCAGACACACCTACTATACTCACAGAAAGGAGCTACTTGGACTAGTTGAGAGAAAAATGCTTCTGACCCTGTTTGGGAGTATTTTGCATTTAGTCCTGATGATTAAGGTGAGCCAGCCAACATGGAGATCAAGATCAGCTAAGATCCATAGCTGAAGAAGCCTTTTGGAAGAGAGGCAAAATATCTTCAAGCAACCTCAGCCAGGTCCAGTTGTTCTTGATTTTATCCCACCTTGGAGAGCCACTACAGATGAGGCTGTGTGCACATCATATCCGTTTTAGCTCACTGACTTGTTGATATTCGCAGTGGCAACAAGTGTCATTGGGTTCTCCAGCAAGAATGTATGGAAGAAGGCTCTTATTCCTTGTGTTCATTATTTTATGGCCCATAAGTATTTAAACCCAGCAAGATTTGTATAAGGAGGCTAACTGCATGTGAGACACACAGCACTGTAGGCTAGACAATGTGCTGTTAATTCTCCCATTTCACTCAGAATACTGGAATCACACTTTCACAGTGAAATCTAACCTTATGCACTCAACAATACTAATAATAATATTTTGATCAGCTTCATTTGTTTGGTCATCCAGTAAAGGACGACACAGGACATTATTGATGCCTTGAAACAGGTCTCTTACTTATTATGTTATGTACACCTGCAATAACATGCTTAACATTTATATTATGCATGTTGCCATGTTATTTCCTTCTACTCAGCCAGTGAAAAGTGGCTAAACACTGCTTTTTCTTCTTGGTTGCAGTTCCCCACATTTGGTCCAAGTCAGGGAAAGGATTAGAATCAACGGACAGCCCATTGGAAAAGAACTCTTCACTAAATACTTCTGGCAGGTTTATGGACGGCTGGATGAAACTAAGGTAGGTCATGTAACAAGGCAAGGTTGCATAGTTGCAAAACACAGCTCCTTCTCAGTTTTAAATGTAACTGTTGTTTGTAAATAGCCTGGCTGGAAAGAAACTTTACTGCCAGACTAACCCTGGCTATTCATTCACTTCACTCAGTGAACCTATTCAATGGATTAACCATTAATTGTCTAAAAGCAACGGCTGGCATTCCAAGGAGGGCTGGACGATTAATTGAAAAGCAATCGAAAACAAAATTCAGACCCTCTAAATGACGTAATTTTCAGTTATCTCGGTTTTTTAATCCTGTTCCCCCACTGTGTGTGTATTCATGTATTTTCCCCTTAAAAACATACTACAGCGTTTGTGGTCATGTGAGTCTGGCTTGTCCAGTCGTACTCAGCTTCCAGACCAGAGTCTGGAGCACAGCGAGATGTTAGCTAGTGCTAACCGGCTACACTTTCCAGCAGTTGTGGAAACAACAGACACTTTGATTTTATTGTGTGGATTGAGAAAATCATAAGCAGCACATTGATATTATTAACTGTGTGAGATGTTAGTAGTGGCGCTCTTCAGCAATGGCAATGAGGCAAATATAGGGGGAACATGTGTGTTATGTGCACGTCAACATGTCGTTATCGAATAACATTTAGATAATCGATTTTTGACATCTGTGAATGGGGAAAAATGTCCCACCTGTAATTGAGTGTATTTGCAGTAGCTTCAAACCTTGCCAATGACAAAACAAAAACAAAATAATCATTAATCGTACTAGAGGTAGTAGTAGAAGAATTAGAGGAAGTGTTCAATTAATGGTGATTTTAGATTTTAGGTCTTATCGGCCAGGCCTAGTTCCAAGCAGTGATTTCTGTGGCATTATATCGGACTGTGCATCATGTTGCTTTTCCCATTCTGAGTGGAACTAGCTTATTATCAGGGCTGGAGGTTATAATTGAGTCTGGTAGAAAATGAGAACCCTCATGTCAGGAGGAGCATGACCCTCATGTGACGCACTTTGGTCACATTACCAGCATTCAGTGTGCAGTTTGACTCCTTAAATACTTTGGACACATTGACGGTCATTCTTTTTCTAAAAACGCATACTATGTGAAGTAGAGAAGTGATGTCACTCTGAGACATTCAAGGAATCTCGATAAATCACTCTTTTATAAATAACTCGAAATAGGACATCTTAGCATTTAGGGACTTCATTCAGAAGTTGAATCCAATTGGAGATTTTTTTTTTTGGACTGTAAATTTAACATTGACACATTATCACCCCATAAAGTGGGTATGGCTAATGTGTTGGCACACAGTTGCCACACAAGACAAAGACTAACATTATCATTAATTTGAATTAAATCGTGTCTCCTCTGTTCTTTCAGCTCTGTTTTGGTCTCCACCAACTCCAGTGAAAAATATCTTGCTAACTTTTTCCCTGTGCTGTTTGGTGCTGATAGTTTAATTCACAGTGGGTTTATCTGAGCCTTTTCTCTAAAAACAGAAGTGGCTAGTAACAAAATAAGGTTCTGAGATTTTTTGTTTATGATATATTGGAATTGGCTATGTGTTTCTGTTAGTGGTAGTCTGTTAGGAGACTACCACTTAAATTTTCTAGATGTTTCTTGATCGCCCTCGTGTTAAAAGTAATTTCTGCACTGCTACTGTCATGGTAATGTAACATTACACCATGCATCGTTATTAGATACCCGAGCACAAAAGTGCCAGGAACATCTTATTTTTGGTAAGATTATTATTTGAATTTGGTAACACATTTTGGAGGAGTTTTAGGATACCCGAAAACTCCCCGGCAGCCAGCAATTTTGAATTGAAAATTAAATTTCTCTTCAGATGGCATTGCTGCGGCAACAAATTTTGATATTCCAATGTTAAAAACAAATAAGTAAGCGTGCTAACAGTGTTTTGAAATAAGGAACTGTGACACGTCGACCAGATCTTTTCCACGCTTCATGTTTGATAAATGCAGTGTCTAATTCAGAGCCGTGTCACCGAGACCCGACTGTCGCTTCCCTCAAGGCGTGCGTGGGGGAGAGGGTCCTTTACGAAATTTGGGAGGCAGATGTATCATGTGCAGACAAGAAGAAGAAGCTGCTGTTTAGAGCAATATCCTCAGCCATTTTGAAATGAAAATGCAATTTTAAGGGACTTTTGGTACTTTATAAGTTCCTCCTTGAGAGTTAATCGAAATGACTTCAATTTTGGGCAGTGCCTTTTTAAACCTTTTGTGATGTTAAATTGTGACGCTTTTTAGTTTCCTTTGAACCGTGTTGTTGTAGTGTTAAATTTCACTGTTTTGATGTTTCACAATTTGTACCTGTGCACATCATCAGATCTTTTCCAAATTTCACATGTTTGCTAAAAGGGCCTGGGCTGGGGTCATTGTCATTCTGCCCACTAGGTAGGATCAGCCACACCCCCTCCTCTCCACCACAGAGAGCTGAAGCGAGGATAGGCCATACGAACTAACACACAGAGGGAGACAGACGCATGATAAAATGCAAATTACAGAGGAGGGAGAAAAGGGGAGAGGCTGAATGTCCTTGGGGACCAATATCCACAACAATGACAAGATTTAACTCCTCCTGCAGTGTCCATTATTCATGAAAATTCTGAATCAAAAGAACTATGGTGCCAGGGTGCGGCACACTGTGTCGTGCAAGGGCTCACTCTTCGCTGCTTGCTGCTATAATATCATCACATTGCACTAGGAAATTGCACAATTCTTAAAAAAAAGTGGTATTATGCTTTTTGGCTTTTCTCCTCTCCTTTATTGAGCCATCTACCTTTTTTGTGCATGTAACAGGTTTGCAAAGTGAAAAAGCCCAAAGTCCAGTCCAAAGGGAGTTCCCATCTCCCACAGAAAGCTCTGCTCTGAACTGCCTTTTGTTACAGATTAATAACTCACCACTCTGAAACTCTTGCTCCAGTCCATGTTGCCAAGCTGGTCGGCAACATGTACAGCTGAACCGAAGCCGTGTTTACCGGCTTCTCACTGACCCGCCCTACTCTGCTTCTGATTGGCCAGTAGTCCTTAACTAGGAACTGAGCATGTGCAACTCCCAATAAAGATCATTTAGAGACAAGATGTATCACTCCATAGCTAAAACGAAGCCTTCAACACAGGGTGAAAAGAGGAGCTGCAGCAATGTGCAGTATGACAAAAAAGATGGTGTGTTTTTTTTTTAATTAAACCATGTAAACCTGTTCTGGTAAAACCCCTAAATAACATTTTGAACCTGGAAATGAGCATACTACCACCTCTTTAAATAAACTACTAGGGCTGGACCCAAATATTCGAACACTTGATCGTTGGGTAAACATTCAAGTTTTTTTGCTCGCCTGACCTACGCTGACATCAGTGAACATAACGCTCCAGTTCACATCAAAGGGAAAACAAAATGAAGCCCTCAGCTGTGTGAGAGCACTTTAAACAGCAGTGTGGAAATTTCCTACATTTTAAAATTAATCAGTAAACTGTTGGTTGGAAACAAACAACATAACGAACCCATTTAAATAACTATATTAGACAGATTGTAGAAGAAGAGCATTTAGGCTAGTCGCTTTAATTAAAGTTAAAAGTGAATTTGCATACACGTGTTAGATTTAGTTCGGCTACCAGAAATACGGCTCATCCCCCGCAATAAATATTCCCCTTTAATGTAAATCCTCTCTTCCTTAGTCTGCTAGCCTTGCCATAACAAAGTTAAAAACAAGTTTTGGTAATAATCACTTAGTTATTAGCCCACGCTATGAGAATAAATAAACAGAGCGCTCTTTCTGTCTCACACATGCGCACACACAGACAGGCACACTTCTTGGGCATTTATCCTCCTGCTGTTCTGCTTCTATTAAATACACAGCTGTAGCTCGTGAAATGACAGCCTGCTTATCAACACACGTTTAAACAATCGGCATAACGGGACCTGACGAAGCGTCGAAGCTTCAAAGCTCAAAAAATGACATTTCGGGACAGCCCTATAAACTACTAATATCATTATTCTAACTGGCTTTGTCTCTTTCACGATGATTATTGAACAAAATATGAATACGTTTTTGATATGAATTTGAGAAATTGTTATATTAATCCAGTAATTAAAAAAAAAAAAAGCTTTAGAATAATCTAAATTAGTCAATAACTTAATTGATTGATCTAATGATTCTTTTTTCAAATAAGAAATAATCATGGCTGAAAGACTCCAGTAACCTCTGTAGAGCGGAGAGGAACTGGGGCGTCTAATAGTAATTCTCTGTGGGTTTGTCACTACAAGCAACACCTTTCACATTACAGTCATCAGAATTCTTGTTAAGAGAAATATATTGATGACTGCGCTTTTACACCACTATGTGTGACATTAGGAATCGTCTTACTTCCACACAGTTGAGATGTCAGACTGGCAGCAAACCCATAAACGGCACCTGCAACTTTCACCAGGGTTGTCTTTTTGTTTAGTTTGTTTCCTTTCGATTTTTAGACATATTTATTGTATCAAGATCATTAGAAAGATGATGTAGTTAGAAGTATTCCACACATAGGGGCTTTGATGTGTTTTTTGACCCCTTCAGAACGCCCATGGAGGGACGATGCCGGCATACTTCCGTTTCCTCACCATCTTGGCCTTCCATGTGTTTCTTCAGGAGAAGGTAAGTTGGCAGGCCTGTGTTGCCTTCATCAGCAGCCCGCAAACAGGAATCCAAAGTGTTTTGGGGAGTTATACATAATTCTCATCATTTGACACTGATGTGAAACACTCGCCTTAGTCCCAGCCATTAGATTCGAACCTGATAAGTTTGATGTTTTCTGGCCTGTAGAAGATTCTTTGCACCTGTGTGCAGCAGACTAATGAACTAACATCACCATCCTCCAGTCTGCTAGCAGAGCAAACAGTTTTATTACTTAAATTACTAACTTGCCTCAAATCTAAACAACTCTGCCCTTTGTCCAGGTGGATTTAGCTGTAATTGAAGTTGGGATTGGTGGAGCATATGACTGCACCAACATTATAAGGTAAGACTATTTATAAGGCTGCTGTCACTTGTAACTGACTTACCTTCTTCAAACTGGAAATAGAGAGTTAGTATTTGGTTATCTTTACATTCTTGATCACATTTTATTCAGACTTGATATATTTATATTGCTTAAATGACTCAAGTTTCAGAACATACTTCAGATCAGGGACTAGTGAACAACGATTGTTTGTTACAAAAAAAGTAGCATTAATATGTTCAACATTCAAGAATTAATCTTTAGCTTTGTGTGCGTGACTGACATGTCAATTTGATACAGACACACAGGCAAATTCTGCCTTCATGAAGGTTACAATGTTCAGTCATTGACTATAGAAAAGACTGTCAACATGTGAGCATGTTATTATTCCTGACGAGCCATATATCACTGCTACTCTCCCATATTAACAGAATGTTGACATTAAAGTTTAGTTATGATGTGAGGTGTCATCTAAGGTTATTTGCTTATTAAATATTCACTACATGGGAATAGTTTCCAAAGTGGACATACCTACCTTAAACCCGACACAAAGCTTCCATCGGTTTACGATCATCGCAGTTGTCTTTTTCACGCCCATTGCCCGTGTTGTGCACCCATCTTCTCGGCCATGACCGTATTGATCTTACAAGGAAGTGTGGTCAGCACATTGCTAATGTGAGGCAGTAGAAAGGCATTACGCCAGTGACCAAGTAAAACCTGGTCTAAAGTTTTCCTACTATTTAAAGGGTGCATTATTGAGAAAATAAGTTGCGTCTTCATAGAAGGGTTCTAGTGATGCCCAGATGGAGATCCATGATGAGAATCTCCCATTCCACACAGCTGTTCACTGGATATGTCCTCTTTTTCAGACCATTCTCTGTAAAGCCTGGAGATGGCTGTGTGTGAAAATCCCAGTAGATCAGCAGTTTCTGAAATACTCAGAGCAGCCCGTCTGGCACCAACAACCATGCCACGTTCAAAGTCACTTAAATTCCCTTTCTTCCCCATTCTGATGCTCGGTTTGAACTTCACCAAGTTGTCTTGACCACAGCTACATGCCTAAATGTATTGAGTTGCTGCCATGTGATTGGCTGCAGCTATTTTTGTTAACAAGCATTTGAACAGGTGTACCTAATAAAGTTGCCGGTGAATGGATGAAGCCTAGGCTGAGGCCTACATTATCTAACGAGCCCTCCCAAACTGCCAGCTCCAGCAGGAAACAGCCAACGAAGCCACAGCAGAAAGAAAGGGAGGAATCGTAACACTCAGGATCTAATGTTAATTAATGTGTTCTACTCGTCCAAAAGGTCTCACACAGTCCAGGTTCATAAAGTAAACTAGTTTGGCGTAAAGCAGCTGTGCTCCAGATCAATCCTGAGCTCCATCAGAGCGTCTAAAAATGCATTTCAGAAGCTAAAAGTTTCATTCTGTTGCCTCTGGAGAGTCAAGTTTATAACTACAGTTTTTAAGTTTGCAGCTTAAATGTCCCATGATACTTGCTGGCATGTATTGTTCCTCCCCTGGTCTTTTGTTATACAGTATGGCAGCATAATCTACTGACCTGACATTATGTGACTTGTCAGAATTAATTAAATTGGAAAAACATTGAACTTTGTTTCCACCGCTCTGGACTTTTTTGCCAGTCTTCAGGACTGAAAATGAGAATCTCTGCTCCAGAGTGTGTCAGTACACTGTGACTTCACTGATTGGTGTGGTTACATGTGCAAAAGAAAGAGAGGGCAGTGAAACACAGCTTTTCAGCCTACTGTTCAATTTCTCTGAAAAGGTTCTCTTGTTTTTAAAGAAGAATAACGGAGTGGTTGGTGTGAGCAGTGATAGCTGCCATGCCAGACTGAGAGAAGCTCCAACTTATCACATATGTCAAATTATGAGGCTGACAAATCTGATAACACTGAGGGCCTTGCCAGTTACATATTGAAGTATACTATTGCTTGTCAAGATGATGGTACATTGTCACCATAAAGTTTTGTTTACAACTTTATCAGTGTTGAAATACAATTTCACCATTGTGTTTTCTCCTCTGTGCTTCTGGGTCACCAGGAGACCGTGGGTGTGTGGCATCTCCTCTCTGGGTATAGACCACACTCAGATTCTTGGAGATACCATCGAAAAGATTGCCTGGCAAAAAGGAGGCATTTTCAAGGTGTGCTGGCTGACTAAATATTTCAGTTACATACTTCAATTCATGCTTTGTGGAGAGACACTGAAGTCCTACAAAATAAAACTACACAGTATTTTTCTACGTCATCTCACTAGCTGTTGATCATGTGTTTTCAGCCGGGGGTTCCTGCCTTCACAGTGAAACAGCCAGAAGATGCGATGGCTGTGCTCAGGAACAGGGCTGAAGAGAAACAAGTAAGTGAGCGTTCAGACTAATGTTTTCACTGTCACATCACAGTAAAATGTAAAGGTTTAAATAAACATAGTTGTTAAAATCTCTCCCCCAGCTGTTCAGTTGAATGTAAAACAGTTTAACCTGTTGTTTTAGTGTCCTCTGTGGGTGTGTCCAGAGCTGGAGGACTACCAGACAGACTGTGGACCTTTGCGTCTGGGGCTGGCAGGGCAGCACCAGCACTCAAATGCCTCGCTGGCCCTCCAGCTGAGTCACACTTGGCTACAGAAAAGATGCCTACCAGGTTAGACAGGACAGGAACAGCCATTTGGCTAGGCTAGACATAAAGAGGCCACAGCAGCCTTCTTATAAAACACAATAAATGTATTGCTTAATTATCATCCCTTGGCCACAAAGGAAAAAGTTTGATAACAGAACACTGTTAATGAGCCTATATTTACTTGTCAGATCAGCCTTTAAAAATGTTCTCCCTCTTTGTGCCGTGCCAAAGAAGATTAAATAAAAAGTTCAACCATAATTACATTATGTTACAGCAGTGTTGTCTATTCCAAGTCTATAAAGGGCTTAAGGTTGTTTCATTTGTCTCTCTCAACAGATAAAAGCTATCTCTCCACTGGTGTTGACAACACAAGTGTACTTCAGGTGACTTCCTTCAAGCCCAGCCCCATCATGTTGAAAGGTGAGTCCTGAAGCACAGTCCCTGTTGAGAAGAGCAAATTTGGGGGGAGGGATAATTATTTGTCTTGAAGTACATCCCTTGTAAAAAGTAGACATGCAGTTAAGAAGAACAACAGCTGACATCTTAATTATGTAGAAATGTCCTGTTTCTGTTTCACCAGATTAATTCAGACAAATGCACACTAAAGCTCTTCAAATATCCGAGACCCATTGTGCTACTGGTAGTTGTGATATTTGGGCCTCAAAATCAATTAAAATCAAAGGGTTAGCATTTCACAGGTTAAATGTGACAACATCCAGTATGGTTATGTATGTTCTATGGTTTGGTCTCAGGGCTGGCAGACACAGAGTGGCCTGGAAGGAACCAGACTCTGAAACACGGAGCAGTCACCTACTTCTTGGATGGAGCTCACACCATGCGCAGTATGCAGGCCTGTGTACACTGGTTCAGAGAGACTGCAGCCCAGCATGAAAGGAATGCAAGGTGAACATCACTCCCCAATGACATGACTCTGTTGTACCTGCATCCATCAGGCTACCTGATGAAACTGTGTTTGGAGGTGATCATAGTACTGAACCCGGCAATTAAGGTGCCCTTATGTCCACTTTTTATTTTATACAATAATGAATTATCTTGATGTGTACAGGTTTACGTGTCGCGCTGTGAATGCAGATTTACTGTGTCTGCATTATGTATGTTCACTTTCCAATTTAAAAATGAGAAAAAATTGGTATATGCTGTAAGTAGCAGTACATGTTGTACTGCACTTACTGTCTGAACTAGACACATCCCTATCAATGTGTTAATCACATACAGATATATGTATCTGTAGATGCTAGTAGGTTGAAGAATTTGGAGTTCTATGTAGAAGAGGTTGGCAATATATTCACTTTATGCAACATCAAAGAAACCAGCACGTACATAGACAAGCATTTATTTAAAAGATAAATAAAAGCACAACATGTCAGATGACTCTTAACTAAAATGCACTAAACTAAAAGACAAAGAGGTGTGAGTGATAAGGAGAGCGTGTCTGTGCGAATGCGTGATCTGCACCATATGTTCAGCGTGCACGAACGCGGACACAAGTTGCAGACAAAGAAAGCACAATGAAGCAGAAGCTTTAAAGTTAAAAGGAGTTAGTTAGAATGCAAAGACTCTGTAGAGCACAACATTAATAACATCAGTCTAGCGGTGGTTGATGATTAAATGATGATGATTAAAGTAAGTAAAATCAAACATTAATTTAATACTTACTGAACATCTGTTATGGAAAAAAAAATCATATCACGATAATTATGGTTATTGTTTTATTGTCCAGCCCTAAGATCACAACAATAAAATCTGAACCACGGCTTCAGTTCCAGCATTTACTGAACCTGCAGCCTCGGGGATTTTAGAGAGGAATCTTAATTAATTAACAGGACAGTTTCTTAGGAGCCCATCTGTAGTCTATAATTGAATTATCCTAAGTGTTTTCACATATTTAGATTGGACTATGGTGTCCAAAAAATAGGGAGCCAGGTTGGGGTTAATAACCAAGAAAAAAAATCCTAGATGAAAGTTACAAGAAGAAAAATCGGAAATTCCCTGAAATTAATGTCATAAAAAATCGAAAATCATTCTGGTGCTTTCTTCTGAATATGCTGAATCCAAGGCAAAGTCTCTAAGGTGCATGAGAATGATTGTGAGCTAAACTCAGGAGTATTTCCTCACTGCTAAATCCGATTGCAAAGTTTAATATAACTTTCCAATGCATGCATAATACACGGCAGACGTGTGTGTGTGTGTGTGTGTGTGATGTTGCAGCCTTGCAAAGTGAAGTTTCTCTCATAAATGTGACTGTCAGAGAATATTCAAGTTTTTTACTTGTAGATTAATCTTGGAAATGTGTATCGGACTATTAACCCTCTCCACTGGCTCCTTTTTTTTTCTATTACAATGGACCTTATGTGCAGTTCTACCTTTACATCTTAATCATATTACACATAAAATAAGAGCCCATAAAATACATACAATAAGAACACTGTGAAGATAATTAGGCTACAAATTTACTCAATGCGATGCCAGCAAGTCTCCCTGGCTTTGTCAGCCGCCACCGTGTTAGATTTGGCCGTAAACGTGTCTTTAAACTCCTCATATCCTGACACAATCAACGTGCATTCTACTGTGGAAAATACGCAGCATGCACCGTTGTGAAAAGCTCTGCCTGCACGGCCGAACACACCCCTTTTATGAGAACGCGCACCAACTCCAATTGAGTTAACACGACTCAACTAACCAACATCTTATCCACGATCGTAGTACCGTTTAACTCCAGTGTAGCGGTCAGAGTTTGTCAACCCTGAGTTTACCTGATAACCCTGAGTTAACTCTGAGTAGGTTGAACTCCCTTTGTAGTACGGGCCACTGGCCTCTGCTTCTACTAAACAACCACTTGTTTACCACTTAACATTTTTCAAAAGGTTAAGCAATACTGATGTAAGACCTTGGCGTGTGTGTGTGTGTGTGTTGTAGTGGACCTGTAGCCAGAGTTTTGCTGTTCAATGCCACAGGAGAGAGAGACTCAGCAGCCATGCTGAAACTTCTGGTGGTGAGTACAACTGCTTTCAGCAATACAGAGAACAAGGTCATTGTCGTCACAGCTGTTAAGCTCAGTGTTGTTGTGGGTATTGGAGTGTGTATATGGATTGACTTGTAGAGAAAATGAGGAAACTGCAGCTTGGTTCTCTTCTATATTTGATTATTTCCCATGTTAATTATTATGCAATACATTATGGATTTTACAAACATTTTTTTTAAATGACAGGTTTTTAAGAATGGAGCGCATACTACTCTGCTGATAGAGGTAGACTCTCTGACTCTGACTTTAGTTGTCTCCATAATAAAAGTGAAAGGGGAAATAACAGATCATGAAAGAAAAATATTATATATATCGGAGCAGGGCAGACAATCACAGACAACACAGGCATGAAGTGAAGTAACTGAAACAAGAGGACAGAAGTATTTCAAAATAAAATGGGAAACAATGAATGAATGACATGAAACAAAGAAAAACATGACCTAGGAAGGAATTCTTTTTTTATCCCCGAGGGGTAAATAATTGTGCAGCACAAACGCATTAAAACTCAGAAGAACCACAATACACACAAACACTCACAGAAGCTGTTAGCTGTTAACAGTTATTGTTTAGTAAAACTAGTAAAATAAATCCACTACAATATCTTCCATCCATCGGCAACCGCTTATCCTGAGTACAGGGTCGCAGGGGGCTGGAGCCAATCCCAGCTGACATTGGGTGAAAGACGGGGTACACCCTGGACAGGTCGCCAGTCCATCGCAGGCACTACAATATCTTACTAAACATAGAAGCTCCAACTTTTAAAGTAACGAATGCCATGTATAATCACAGTGAGTTGTTTCAGAAACCAGTGGCAGCAGGGACAAAAGAGTGCTTTAATCGAGGTCTTTAACAGCAATCTTTGTGCAGATTTTCACAATGCATTGTAGTCTGTTCCTGTTCTTTACTGAAAGTGAGCCATACCAGCTGATAAAAGCAAACTTTCAATTTCACTAAGACAAGAATAAAACATTTTCATCAAAGTATTGTCCACGTTAAAACCACATAGTGCTTTCTTACACACCGCATCCACATGATGCTCAGCAGTCAGTTTGTTGTAAATCACTGTGCCCGGATGTTTATACTGATGGACAACCTCAGCCTGATCATTGAGGAATTCTGGGAAATACTGCGATGCCCAGAGGATTTTTCCCCAAAAAAGAACAATCTCCTTTATATTGGAAACGTTTATGTCCATCAAGGATGCCTTGCACCAGTCAGTGAACTCAGACATGACAGAACTATTGTCTGGGTCCATGCTATTGAGAAGTGACACGACGACAGAATCATCAGCAAACTTCAGGATGTGGCTCCCCACTTAATGGCTTTGACACGTTTGTGTACAAGAGATGCGAGAGGAAATTAGGATGTCTGATAAAATGCCACTTAAACCACACGTTGGGGCCTCCCCCGTTAGAAAGTCCATCAGCCAGCTTACAAGGCCAAGGTCAGTGTGGGTACTCATTCGCATTTCTGCAAAAATATAAGGCTGAATACAATTAAAAGCAGACGAGAAATCAATAAACTAGCTGCACCATAGTTTTTGCACCCTACGAGTGTGATTAAAACCCATGTAAAGAAGTGTGCATGTGGCATCTTCCACATGCACACTAGGGAGCAGGGGCTGGAGACCGAGGCCAAGGGGAACCTCAGGAGCAGACTGTGACACTTCCTGCTCAGAGCAGACATGGGATCACTCGAGAGCTCATCTTCAATGTTGTTCTTTGACTTCGCTGTAAGTTGACTGATACATGTGTCTTATTGTTCACTCCACAAAGAACTTATTTACCCCAAAGATGGCTCTTTAGAGCATTATGAATTAGGAGAAGTAAGAACAAAGCCAGATTCATATTAAATTGGCTATATTCAGTGTAGAAACCTCCATCTTTAAAGCTGGGGATGGCAATGTTGGAGAAACTAGATTTTGAAAGTATCCAACCAAACCCCCTCCCTTCAGGCCTCCCTCCACAGCCACTCCCCCAAAACACACATGCACAGTGAGGGCATAGGAAGAGTGCAGGCAGGCCGTGTTTGCTACAATCCTGCGACAGACACCACAGCATTTTATTTATTGATTCGTGTCAGATGTAAAGAGAATGTGAACTAATTAAACAAATAATGCCCATAGTGCCCACCCCAGCTTTAACCAGAAAATCTGATTGTCTTGCTCTGACATCATCTTTTCACCCTGGCTGAAGTAAGCAAGATCCCACCAGAAGGTTTGATTTGACAACATTGTTCAGCCAACTAATATAGATATTTGTGTGTCTTGCCTTTTTTCAGCCATGTCAGTTTGACTTTGCAGTGTTTTGTCCAAACATCACTGAAGTCATCGCTTCTTGCAATGCAGGTAAGATCATTGAGCATGTTGCTTTTGGCTGTTGGCAGCTAAAATCAATCTCTACCTAAAAGGGATCATACCAGTGATCTTTAATTCATCCACCCATTAGCTACACTTGCTTATCCTTACTAGAGGGTTGTGGGGGGCTGGCACCAATCCCAGCTTACATTTTTGGGCTGACACAAATAGACAGACAACCAGTCACTCTCACATTCACACCCACGCCAATTTCGATTCGCCAGTTAACCTACCCTGCATGTCTTTGGACTGTGGGAGGAAACCAGAGCACCTGGAGCTGCACCGGGAGAACATGCAAACTCTGGCCTTTAGCCTATTAACCACAAATCACATGTACTTTTCATGACTGCAAATTATTCAAAGCATTCTGTAGTTTTGAGAATGGCGTCTACAGGCAGGAAGTCTGTGGTTCATTTAAAGGAACAACAACCTTTTGGGAAATATGCATGTTTGCTTTATTTCTAAGCATTAAGAATAAGATAAGAAGACGGATACCAATCTCATGTCTCTGCTGAGAAGGAGTTAAGATGTGGTTAACCTTGCTAAGCATAAAGACTGGAAGCAAGATTAAAATATGCTGTATCCTGTTTGTTTTAATCCATACAAAATACAATTTGTAGTTTTGTGGGGTTGGGTTTGAAGTATTTCTAGACAAACAATATTTGCCCAGTGCTTCTTGTTCCACAAGAAATAGTTCAACCACATAAAAGTCATTTTTACAGTTTTGCTTATGTAAGAATGCAAAAAGCAAATAAGAATATTTCCCAAAATGCTGAACTACTGCTTTTACACTGAGAGATTTTAAAATGGCAGCTGTTTCCCAGAAAACCTGTTAACTTCATCCTGTCATTCCCACACCTCTCAGACCAGCAGAACTTCAACGTCTCAGTGGAGAACATGTTGACTCGCTGCTTGGACAATGAGAGGAGCTGGCGTCTCCACAACAGCCTGGGGGATAAAAAAGGTACACAGCTGCTCATCGAGGGCAGCCTGCCCCTGATCCCTGAAAAGAAGGCAGATGCCCTGGTGTTCCCCTGCATCCTCAGCGCCCTCCAGTGGATCACCCAGGGCAGGGATTCGGTGCTGGCAGACCCAACCAAAACAGTCTTACCAGTTAAACCCAGCATCATGGCCAAAGCTGCTGCGCTCTGCGATGCAGCCGAGATCCACGTCCTCATTACCGGAAGCCTCCACCTGGTGGGAGGAGTACTCAAACACCTCGACCCAGCTTCCTCCAAGTAAACGGACAATTAAGTTTAAAATAATGGATTCGCGCTCTGCATAAATACACAATTACCTTTTTATGGAAGAAAAATAATTTCTGTGTGTATAGATGAGGTTTTGTGATACTAGCTTTTTGTGTTTACCTGAAAGGGATTAGCTGTACCCAGGTTTCTCAGAAGCTTCCCTACAGTGGCAGATGCTTAGAGCAGGTTAGTTTGAACCAAGGCTGCTCCAAGCCTCACATCAAGCCAAGCTTCACCCAGAGCCTTACAGACGGCCGCACAAACGTGTGCAGCTCATGTCTTTAACTTAACTTGAAGCCAAATATGTTTACATGAACTGCAGAGGCTATATTCATGTACACCACAACATGAGCTGAGATGGCTAAACTGGTACTCTGATGCCACCTGGATGAACCAGAGTGGTGTGATGGTTATTACATTAATGGGCACCAATAAGTGCTACATGGACCACATGAAGTTATCAGCTTTCTGGTTTTAACTTATCTATTTGGAACACCTGACTATTACCTTCCAGCCTTTTTTTAAAAATGAAAACATTTTGCACGGTTTCTACTTATATTTTGTCAGGATTTGACAAAGTGCTTCTTACACATGACCTAGTCGTGTCTTTGTTGTAGATGTCTAAATATTCTGACAGGAGTGTTGGCATTCTGTGTAATCTGTTTAACACTGGAATTATATTAATATTTAAATGGGCCATTTCAATTTGCATTATCTGACTAATACATCGTTACTGTATGTAATAATAATAATAATGGTAGAAATTGAAACTGTATAAAATGCACATATCACTGAGGTCAGTGAAGCTAACAGAGGCCATCAGCTTCACATCGTTCACCCTCTAACCTCAGATGAGTTTGAAATTGAATTTCGGTATAAAACAAACTACACTGACTACACTTGAATGTCCCTGTGGACCCATTAAAACACGAAATGCACTTAAATGGAACTTGTCAAGATGAAATCTGCTTAAATTGTAATTGAGTCAATTAAAAAAAATTGTCCACCCTTGTTTTTGAATATTTTTGGTCTGTCCTTCGTGGCCCAAAAAACATAATGTGTCTTACTTGTGTAGACGCAGTCCTTTTCCATTCATTGGGATTGAGAACTTTTGGAGCATATGTCCTATTTATTCCACAATTGGCAACAGAGCTATCTTCCGACAGTCATCTCTTTCATCCAGGCCGCTCACCAACAATAAAGCTCTCTTTACTTCTTGGTGTACTTAACATACTATAACATTAATGCAATATATTGTAATCACACTTGAGTGATACACACTGGGAATATTGTCCTGGTGTATATGTAGCAGGTTATCTAATCAGGAGATGAGGACTTTCAATCACAAAGAAATTCAAGTGTATCTTTGCTTTTTTTTTTTTTTTACCTGAGGGAGAACATCAGTAGCTGAAATTATTTCACATATCCACATCAAATGAAAGATTGATTTATTTTTTATTAAGTTACTCGCTACTCAAGTTTTTTTTTCAGTAAATACTTTTGTACTCTAACTCAAGTAGTTATTTAGATGACCACTTTTACTTCTACTTGAGTACTTGTGGCGACCCATTTCTGCCCATAGAGACTTCCACACACATAAACATGCTCACATATGTATCCACTCATCTGTAAGCACAGTTCTTTTGGTTAGACATTCAGCTGGGCACCCTTATGTGAAGTGAAAAATGGAATAGGCACTAGTTGTCTATGAGTAGGGCAGGACAAGGTAAGTTTATTTGTATAGCACATTTCAACAAGGTAATTCAAAGTGTTTTACATAAAACCAACAGGGAAATATAAAAAGTTACAGTGCAGTGTAAGTTATCAATCTACAACCTTAAATTTCATTTAATTGAAGGCAGTGGTAAAATGAAAAGTCTTCATTTTTGATTTAAAAGAACAGTTTCAGCAGACCTGCAGTTTTCTGGGAGTTTGTTACAGATATATGGAGCATAAAAACTGAACGCTGCTTCTCCAAGTATGAAAGCATCATCTGAGAATTTGAAGTATGTGCAGGGCTGATGCTGAAATGTGTGAATAGAGGGTGTAAAGAAAGGGACTGAAGACAGCCCTGGGGGGGTTTGGTGATCTTACTGTGTCAATTCTTACAGCCCGCCTGTTGCTGAGCTGGACCAAAAGTGGATGAGGAGTGGAAGGATGATGAGATGTAGGAGTGTATTGATCATTTGGTGGTGTTGGATTGTGTTGAAAGTGGGGCTGAAGTCCACAAAGAGGATTCTGGTGATTCCAGGTGTAAGGGAGGTATAGAGGGAGTGGAGGAGGCATGTCACAACGTCCTCTGTCCTTTGTTTGGCCCTGTCTAACGGCGGTAAGCATGGTATTCAGAAGCAGTTTCTCCAGGCATTTCATGAATATGGAAATGAGGGTCACAGAGGGAGAAAATGAGAGCAACCAGGTTGCCCCAAATATTTCAAAATGTCTTACCCTGAATCAGCAAACAAAACATAACAAGCAGTTATTTCCTGATGACACAAGAACTTGAGCCCTCTGAGAAGTGTGTATTAAAATTGCACAATAAATTTAAGAAGGAAATTTTTTTTGTATATCACTAAATCACAAATTGCCTAAACTTAAAGGGGCTTTCAGAGTAGTAGTGATGATCTGCTGAGGATGAGTTGGCGTTTAAATGTCTGTCTACAGAAGTTTGAATTTATGCGTTTTTTATTGTTTCTCTTGAACCACGTGCCTTTGTGCTCATTAACAGTTTAAGTTTAACCCTACTGAGATGGCATCTTCTGTTGTTTTCCGATTCACGTAATGGAGAAACTACCGACGCTCCTCTTAGCATTTATTTTAAAAAAAGGCGGAAAAACGAGCAAGACTGGAATGCCACATGGGCCACGTAAAACGTATGGCGAAGATACGTCATGACGTGGTGATACAGGGCGCCGTGCTGCTGGCGGTGAGTTTAAAGAGTCCCGATCAGTGATCCAGATCAGGTCTGCAGGGGAAATAGTCAGCCGCTTCATGAGCAGTCGGTTCTATAACGTTATTCTGAGCTGAACCGGAGATGCCAACAGACAGGTATGGTTACGTGTTTTTATACTTTAACAGAAAACATTTCGAGCGACACTGTCAGTTCATCTCAAACGTAAATTACCGTCCATGTGGAAATGAGCCAAAGTAAAGTTACCTGGTTTGTTACTTCTGTTGGGTTACAAATAAAAAAAATCGCATCAATCTCTCAAAGAAGCTTTTAAGTGAGTTAAAGGCTGTACGGTTGGTCATGGTTTGAGTGTGTCCGAGCAGCTTTAATATAACGTTAAAACTGAAGCTAATGATTGATGCCGCGCTTTCATCTCAGCCAGGCCTCCGTGCACGTCTCCCTGTGCTTTCTTCCTGGTTTAGAAAACGGTAAACCAGCTAATATGAGTGAAAATAAAAAGGCACACATATATCTCTTGAAATGGAAGTGACAAAGTATTCGCGTTTCCTTTTGCAGTTAGTTTGCGCGGTCACGGCGCTGGAGCAATATGGCGGGCAGAGAGGGGTTCTCTTCTGGAGGAAGCTGGTCGCGAACGAATCTTTCTCTGAGATGTTGCTATAAAAGGAAAGGGGGGAAGGGTTATATAACCGTTCTAATATATCGAATATAAATGTGTTTGGTTCGTTTCTCCTTCCACCCAGCATGCCACTGCAGGATCTGCCCTGCCTGAGTCTCCAGGGCTCCATGTTGTCTCAGCCCAAGAGGGTCATGAAACGCAAGTCCAGGGACTGTCTTAGTGAGGGCCTGGACACTGAGTGCACTCCAACAGAGCTCATCCAGCAGTGGTCTCCAAGCCACAAGCACCAGCGGCTCACCAGCAAGGGGAAAGAGAACGACAGCAGCCAGTTTGTCCTCGCCAGGAGATCCAGGAGGAAAAAAGACTCCACCTCAGGTAGGAATCTGCTTTCTGACCTCCTCTTAGCAGCTGCAGAGGTTGTGTGTCGCTATAACCTTTGCTCTTCTTCCGTTATTTCCCTCAGCTGACATTTCATGGGACCACCTACCTGACGAGCTGCTACTCAAGATCCTCTTCTACCTGTCTCTGCAGGACCTCCTCAGGATGTCAACTGTTTGCAAACGCTGGCATCGCTTAGCGTGAGTCTCAAACCACTAGATTGTGACAGTGACGTCCCTTCCTAACCTTTTGGGCTCGAGCTGTCAGTAGATTTAATCATAGTGACAGTAGATTTAATCAAAAAGTTGTCAAAAAAATGAACACTGCTTCGGTAACCGGAGGTCTGTAATCTGATTTCTTAAACGTCAGGGTAAAAGGAAATGTGTCGTGCAGCGGTGCATCCTCGTATTCAACATTCAAAGTCAGATTGAAGCTGAAACTGACTCTTAAGTAGCTTCTACAATTCTACACATGTTCCCAGGGCAGTGAATGCTACATAGATAATGTGACAAGGTCAAAGGGAGGTTTAGTCTGTGCAGGCTGTTTACTGCAGACGGACTTGGGCATTAAAGTAGCCCTCCCTGCTTGTGACTGTTGCAGGTTTGATGAGTCTCTGTGGCACAGCGTGGATCTGGAAGGTTTGACCCACATGGGTCCAGCTCTGCAGCAGGTGCTGAAGACCGGAATCCGCAGGCTGCGCTGCCCTCGCTCCTTTGTGGAAGAGCTGCACTTCACAGGAACAGGGTGAGTCCAGCAGCTGACGGCGCGCTGTCCATGTCTTAGTCTGGTCTGTACAACTCAGGCCGTGGAAGGCTTTGTATCTGCCTTGCTCCATTTGGGTGTTTAAAAATAACTCTAGGGATATTCTATATTCTATCTTGTCTTGTCAACAAATCCCCTGTGAGGACCCAAACCAACACTGTCTCCTACTAACAGGAGTGTGTGACACAGCCTGATCTCTCCTTCCTCCTCAGAGCTCCATAGTTTAGAAACTATTAACATGTCAGTGAGCCTTACTGCTGCACAGCACGACACCTCCTTCATTACCAGGAACACACACTGCAAATGCACTTTCTCCCCCCAGTTACATTACATTGAGTAATATTTGCTAAAACTACAGTGACCAGCTGTTTTAAGGAATTAGAGCCTAACCCAGAGTTTAACTGAAACACTGAGAGCTGCTGCCACCACACACCAGCTCAAGTTTGGCTCAACTAGCACTGTAACCACAGATTTGGACCTAAAGTCATTTACTAGTTTAGTTTTGCTTGTATCTAAAAATATTAACTTTGGTTTCATCATTGTGGCATTTACAGAGCTAATGGAGGCGGCTATTATATGCTTTCTTCCCAAATGGAACATTTCAGTCCTTCTGAAAGTAGGAAACATCTGAAGTGACTTTAAAAAGACACCTGATGGAATTGTGCTTTTTAAAAAAACAAACAAATTTTTTAAAATTTTTTGTCCTTTCTGTTGTTAGGCCACTGCAGATCGTTGAGATGGATCTGTCCAGCTCGATCATCCCCACCTCAGCTCTGGAGAGCATCATCTGTCACTGCAGGCTCTTGGAGTATCTGAGCCTGGAGGGTCTGCAGCTCTCTGACATCATCATCAGGTAAGTTTTTACACTCTATTCCACTCTACTCCTCTCCACTGAATGAGCAAACCTTTGTTTCATCAAAGGTGTGCACATGTTGCTGATTCTGTCCCCTTGGAATCCTTGTTGATGTCTTGAAATCTAGCTCGGGTCACTCCCGTTTCTCGATCACCTTTGAGCTGTTTCTACAGCTTGACGGCAGGGCTTCACCCTGACGAAGGCAAGGTGGCTGAAAGCGTACTGGAGAGGAGTTGAACGATGTGTTCATTTTCATGAAATCCGATTGGTTGGACATGCTTTGGAAAGGCACATATGTCTTTGAGGGGCGAGTTCAATCTCAAAATGTTTTGCACCAGTTTGCGACATTTTCGGATTGAACGACATGTTTCCTTGCAACGGGCTTCGAGGTATGTTTGGTGGGCGTGTCTCGGGTGTTACCCAATCAGCTGTGACAGTTTTGTAAACACAACGGTGTTAAAAAGGCAGGAAAATTCAGTGCGCTTGCGTCCACAGCAGGGTGTTCAGGGAACCATCGTTTCTGTTGAAGGAAAAATGTTTTGTTGGCGCTGAACTCAGCCAAGGTCTCACAGCCGACAATGCACATCGGAAGCAAAAGACCGAGCCATGAGGTGGAAGGAACTGCAGGCTACAGACAATTCTGCTGCAGTGACGGTTTCCAGTAGCTCAGTGGCTTCCATCATCCGTACATGGAGTTTGGAACATCCAGGAGTTTTCCTAGAGTCGGCCACCTGGTTAAACTGCGCAGTTGGGGCAGAAGGGCCTTGGCAAGAGAGGTGACCACAAACCTAATCGTCACTCTGGCTGAGCGTCAGATCCTGTGTGGAGAAACGTCCAGAAGGACAACCATCACTGCAACACTGAACCGATCTGGGCTTCACGGCAGAGTGGCTGGATGGAGGCCTCTCTTCACTGAACCGTGCATGAAAGCCTAAACAACCTAAAGCAGACTCAGACTGAGAAACAAGCTTCTCTTGTCTGAAGAAACAAAGATTGAACTGTTTGGCCTCAGTTCTAATCGTCATGTCTGGAGTAGGGCTGCACGATTAATCTTATCGCAGTCGCGATGTCGTCATGTGAGATTACAACTACAAAAAGTGTGCGATTTAAAAAAAACAAACGGTGTGTGTGAGCTCTTCTCCGCTTATTATTATGAATATAGTAATATTGTTATAGGCTACTAACAGTATACTTTTAACTGAACATTACTCTTTATTTAATGTTTAGAATATGATACTAATGCACTCAGGTATACTAGTACCTCGTCCAGGTGGTGGATAGAGTCTCTACAGTGGACAGATGTAGATTTAGCCAGAGTCAGGATGCCGGGGGGGGGGGGGGTGTGCGCGTGTGTGTTTCTAGCCAGGTTTGATGGGAAAGCTGAACGAAGAAAAGTACATAAGGTTCACCTTCCAGCAAGACAATGACCGAACTATGTCAGTGTCCTTGAGTGGCCCTGTCAGAGCCTGGTTGTGAGTGCAATCAAGACCCAAATATGGCTCCCCATCCAGGTACAAAATCCCCAACTCCAGGTGTGCAAAGCTGTCACATCCAAAACCAAGAAGATCCAAGGCTGTAATATCTGCCAAAGGTGCTTCAACAAAGTACTGGGCAGTGAGAATGCTAATGTGATATTTAAGTTTTCCTTTTTATTGAAGTTGCAAAAATGCTTTCAAACACCTCCAAAGCTGTTGCAATACATTTATTAGGTGGAAAAATGGCAGTTCAAATGGAAGCAACACGTTTCTCATCATTATTGCAGGGTTACTCTCTTAGGTGTGGGCCTCTCTGGTCTTCTCTCGGTAACTGATTCAGCTGGATGATGGATTGTTTTTGTCTCTCTCTCTCAGCTCCCTGTCCAAGAACCCAAACCTGCTGCAGCTCAACCTAAGTGGCTGCTCCGGCTTCTCTGCTCCTGCTTTGTCTGACATGCTCAAATCCTGCTCCAGGTCAGCTCCGTCTGCCAAACCCTGTTATCCAAATAACAGCTGGTTCTATTCATCCTCCGTCTGTCATTTACTGATGCTGTTGTGCTTTTTTCCCCTGTGCAGATTAAAGCAGTTGAACATATCATGGTGTGACTTCAACAATAATCATGTGAAGAGTGTTGTTGATAATCTGAGCTCCAGTGTTACGCACCTCAACCTCAGTGGTTACAGAGAGAACCTCACATTAGACGGTAAGTAACATTTTTACTTCACACAAAGTTGCTTCCGATCTTTCCATGAGTAATTATTCCAAACACTCTACTTTCTCTTCATGCTAGAAGCCTTTTCTACCGGTTTGTGTAGCTCTGTACCACCTGAGCAATGTCTCGATCTATATCGACCAGGTTAGTCTTTCCATTTCCTGTGCACGTGTAAACTCACGTGTTTATAGTTTTAGAGCACGGCACATGAATAACAAAGTGAGGAATGTCTGTGGAAACCAGAGTTCCATGCTCCAGATGTGGACTTTGAACAGGCAGGATTTTGAGTGTTTACAAGTAAGGGATGCACGATATATTTGGTGGCTGATATATTATTGGCAGATGAGCAAGAAAATTAAATGATCATTATTGTTCAAACGATGGAATTTTAGCTGATACTTGGGTCCAATAATGTGGATCTTGGCTGTGGACTAGGAACACGACGCCTGCCTCTCTGCTCTGTGTGTTTGTCCCTGTTTACACCAGCTGTGTTGTGGTGCTGCAGAGATGTCCTGGCATACACATCCTAAGAGAACATCTTTGTTTGGTACAGATCTTGCAAAAACAAAACATCCATAATCATTTTAAATGTCTTCAAAGTTATAATTAGTTATAATCTGAGCTTCCGGGGGGGGGTCTCACGCCCCATTTACACCGTGTGTTAAAATGTGATCTGATTTTTAGAGAGAGGGAGAGAGACCTATTACGTGATTCAACACTCCCCCTCTCACACATGAAAACACACACAGCAGTCCACTACTTGCCCCAGATGTCTGCGATATTGCAGCAAAGTTTAAGTTTAAATAGCCTGTTCAAAAGACTATTGCTCAAGGAGAGACGCAATTCCGCCCTTTCTGGTAGGTATAATATTAAAGTGTTATGTAACACTGTGCTGGCCGCCGGCACACAGTAGCAAGCATATTATCATATAAATCCAAGTTACCAAAGTCCCTCTACTGGCAGTGGACAGTTTGTTTGTTTTTAAGTGGCTGCAAAACAAACGGCAACGTGCGCATATATCTAGAGAGAAGAAATGTCTGAAATAAAGTCAGTAGTGTCTGTTAGCCTGCTTTCTTTTTGCCATACTTTGCTTCACGTCGATCCAAACGACGCCCCTTAACTGTGGTCTAATAAGCGTATACCACGGCCTGTTATGAGCTATTGCTTAATCATTCCCTAAAATATCACGAATCATATCGCTTTTGTCAGTTGTTTGTTTTTTGTTTTTATTTTTTTAAACCATTCAGCCCTGGTGTCTTGGGTGATCCCATCATAAGTGGACAGCTGTGAGTGCACCCAGGAGCATTGAGCTCAGATTGCTCAGGACCACCTACTCGACTGACGTTCTCTGCGTAAGAAGTGCATTCATGCGTCAATGGCTTGAGTCCGTCAGAATGCTCAGAAGGGCCTAGCTGCCACCGTGCAGTCGAGAAGCCGACACCCGCGGTTCCTGTACAACACAAACGGCCAGAGGAAACCTGTCGCATCAAACGTTCTTTATAAGGTTTCACACTGATTGGTTGCATTTCGGCAGGGAGTGTGTCACCAGATCCATCTGCTGCTGTTGGATGAAACTTCCTGTTCACTTTTGTTGCAGACACAAAGATCTGAGATGCCAGTATTTTGTCTTTTTACAGATGTGAAGGTGTTGGTGACGCGATGCCCCCATATTGAAACTCTAGATTTAAGGTAAGATTTTATTCCTCGTGAACAGTTTGGACCTGTAAGCTACATCCGTGTGTGTCCGTATGTTCATGTTCGCATATCCTGGAGGACAGACTCAATACAGAGAATGTCTTGTGTGGCGTAACATTTTATAAATGTATTAATGCTGCTACAATATTGCCAGTCTTTGACTATGGAGACTCACCATATACACGTGTGTTGCCGTTGGACACCATCCATAGTGAATGGAGTGAATTAGCTTGTAACTCACGACTGATCAGCTGTTTCTGCTGTCAGCGTTTTGTCCAGTTGTGCAGAACTCTGCACGCCTGCTGAGAATTTTCTGCACCTCCACAGCTGGTAACGTTCATTTGTGCTGAGAAGAGAGGTGGATGCAAGTCTTGGCAGGTAGCCTCTGTTCTGCCAAATTATGCATTCACCTCTTAAAGGTCCTTTTCAGATCCTTTGCTCTGCACACTGTTCAAATGGGGTTATCACAGCATATTTATGCTGACTCTCAATGAATGCTGCTTCTGAGTGTAATAAAATATTCGAAATGTTCATAAAATCTGAGTGTATCGTTGTGGGGTTCATCAATTGTTATGAAAGTATATTATAGCGTTTAAAAGCATTATCTGGAGGTGCATGTAATTCTCAGCAGGCATGCAAAACACCAGCTATTCCCGTAACGTGCAGAGTCTTGGCTAGCAGCAACTTGCCTGCTTGAAACGCATTTCTGAGGACCTCTCTCCCCTTTTTTTTTTTTTTTTTCCAACAGCGACTGGTTTTGTTTCTGGTTTGGAACCCATACGTCTTGTTTATTACAGCCATGTGTAACGTCACCTACTGATGTAACTACGCTTGCCGTAGCCTGGTTTATTCGCTCCAAACAAGCTGATGGAAACGCACATATTTCATGGCCAAAACAAATCAGTACAGAACACTATTCACCTGTGGTTCCTCTGTGTTACAGTGACAGCACTCTGCTGATGGCCGACAGCTTCCCCGTCCTCAAACAGCTGAAGCATCTGCGGCATCTGTCCCTGAGTCGCTGTTACCACATCCACCTCGCTGCTCTCACGTAACTTACCCCGCTGCTGCCCCTGCTTCTCTTACCCTTGTGCGACTGGTTTTTAGGCTTGTATGCTCAAACTAGTGTCTGTATTTGCAGCGACCTCGGTAAGACGTTCCCCATGCTGGGCCTGCTGGATGTGTTCGGCCTTGTACAGGACGGCCATCTGCCTTCTCTGAAGAAGGAGTTGCCTTACGTCGGCCTCAATTCCAGGCCGTTCTCCAGCATCGCTCGGCCTACGCCAGCCAGCAGGCTCACCGGCTCCTGCAGCAACCGCGCCATGTGGAACAGGAAGTGTCATCTGAGGTTCAAACTGTAACCCCTGCGCCTCGTGTTTTAAGCAGTTTGTTTCTGTTGATTGTTTTATCCCTGGGGTATTCCAACACGCATAACGGGGAGTGCAGCCTGTTGTGCAGTGATGGAGCCATGTTTCAGTGTTTCTTGCTGCTAATAGAACAGGCTTTTAGTGTTTGCTGGCCTTTACATACTCAAGGTCACATGCTGGACCAAGCTGTGAAGTGCTGAACATGCAAGCTTGTAGAGAAATGTAATATTTTATGTAGGAAGTCACATTTGGATGTTGAATCCAGTTCTTGTTGGAATGTGTTAACACACTTTTAGTGGATTTTGTTTTTTTAATCCGTTTTGTTCTAATGTGTTAATTTAAAATATCTTGTAAGGGAAACATGGTTGAAAAGGCTCAATGAAATGTTAATCAGATACATTTTAATACTGATGGCAGAAACATCCTGTTCTCAGCTCTAATAATGAGAACAGTTAAAATCAGCAAGGAAGTTTTAATGTAAAATTATGTGTTTTGGATCTCCAGACTAGTTGGAGAATTCCCGTTGAACCGCGTTGTTGCTGAACAGACACTATGTTTATATGCAGGCTTACACATGGCCTCGCTGTGTGCTACTGTAATAACTGCTCATCATTCATTAGCGTGACTCCTCCCCAGCCTGACAGTGGCTGCTTTTAAGCTCATTATGTCTGTGTACAGGGGTCAGGTAGATGTGCTCACTGCTCTAGATTACAACTCAAATGCCATACAGACTGAACTTGAAATGAATTTTAACTTGTGAATTGTTCATCTTCCCTTTTTTCAAGTAAACCACTGAATACCCAAACCATTGTGTCAGCTTGTTTCCTTGCATTGAGTAGAAGCTATTTTATTTGTCAGACTGAGACAAAATGTTCAGAGTTGAGTGTGAAAGTTGTTTTTAAATGGTTTGAAATCCAGCAAGTTGGTTTTAAACACCGGACTCCCCCAGGGCTGTGTCTTCTCTGCTTATACTAACATCTCCTGCAGCAGTGGAGGAATGGCTCTTTCTAAGTACGCAGATGACATGGCCCTGGTGGCACACCTGACTGGCAAGGATGCCCTGTCCCAATACTGACAGGCCGTCAACCTGGACCAAACATTTACTGAACACTCACTTGAGCTCAATATAACACAAAAGAGGCAGAGTCAAAACATCTTCCCATGTCTTCCAACCTCTCAATATCCAGGGTCAGCTGGTGGAGCAGGTTGAGTCCTGGGAACAGAGATGGACACCTGCCTGTCCTTTGCACAACACGCTGACTGTGTACAAAAAAGCACAACAGCGCCTCCACCTGCTGAGGAAACTCTTGTTTACTCTTTGAATCCATTCTCACATTCAACAAATTCATGGGATTAATTAGAGGTATGTGTCGTGTGCATATCCTTTACTTTTGTCTATTTATCTCAACGATCAGTTTGTACATGTTAACGATGAATCCTCTATGCACGCCAGAGGTATAGTTCTACAAAGTTCTGTGCTTGGACCAATCATATTCACCTTATTTATGCTTCCTTTAGGCATTATTATCAGGAAATATTCCATAAACATTGTTATGCAAATGACTCATTTATATCTATCAAGCCATATGAAACCAATCAGTTAACTAAACTCCAAGCGTGTGTACAGGATGTAAAATAACCAACAAATTTGCAGGTCATCCATGTTTTCCATGATATTAAACTTGGCCCCAAACACCTCCGAGACCCATCATCTAAAGAAAAAAAAAAGAAATGTCCATTTTTCAGGACTCTGTATTTTAAAGATAATTCTGTAAAAAAAAAAAAACATGACTTTACAGATCTTTATTGTAAAGGGTGTAAATAATGTCTTCCATGCTTGTTCAAAGAACCACAAACAATCAAACATGCACCTGTGGAATGGTTAAGACACTAACAGCGTTCAGACTGTAGGCAATTAAGGTCAAAGTTATAAAAACTAAACACTAAAGAGACCTTTCTACTGACTCTGAAAAACACCAAAAGAAAGATGTGCAGGGTCCCTGCTCATCTGCGTCAACGTGCCTTAGGCATGCTGCAAAGAGGCATGAGGTCTGCCGATGTTGCCAGGGCAACAAATTGCAATTGCAATGAGAGGACGTTTCTTTTTTAGCTGTGTATAGTTACTCTGGATGCATCGCCCTGGCCTCCAGCACCACCGTGAGGAATCTGACTTATCTTTGATCAGGACATGTCGTTTAACTCTCACATAAAACAAACTTCAAGGACCGCCTTTTTTCACCGATGTAACATTGCAAAAATCTGGAATATCCTGTTTCAAAATGATGTGGAAAAACTAGTCCATGCATTTGTTACTGCTAGGCTGCTAGGTTCCTTATTAAACTGCCTGAATAAGCCACTAAAGACTCTTCTGTTGATCCGGAATGTTGTGGTGTGTGTACTGACAAGAACCAGGAAAGGAGATCATTCACTGAACAAAATTATAAACACAACACTTTTGTTTTTGCCCCCATTCCTCATGAGCTGAGCTCAAAGATCTAAGTGTTTCTCTATGTCCACAAAGGCCTATTTCTCTCAAATACTGTTCACAAATCTGTTAGTGAGCACTTCTTCTCACATACAAAGCTCTTAATGGTCAGGCACCATCTTATCTTAAAGAGCTCATAGTACCTTACTACCCCACCAGAGCACTGCGCTCCCAGAATGCAGGGTTACTTGTGGTTCCTAGAGTCTCCAAAAGTAGACTAGGAGCCAGAGCGTTCAGCTATCAAGCTCCTCTCCTGTGGAACCAGGTTCCAGTTTGGGTCGACCACCACTGAAGAAGATTCCCAAGTTGAAGCGTCAAGATTGGGCAAAGAAATACCTGAGGAGAGATTTTTCAAAGGTTTTATGGACAGATGAAATGAGAGTGGCTCTTGATGGACCAGATGAATGGGCCCAAGGCTGGATCACTGATGGACACAGGGCACCACTTCGACTCAGGCGCCAGCAAGGTGGAGGAGGGGTACTGTTATGGGCTGCTATCATTAAGGATGAGATAGTTGGACCTTTTCGGGTTGAAGATGTACTGAAGTAAACTCCCAAACCTGCTGCCAGTTTCTGGAAGATACTTTCACATACTTTCTTGTATTGTCAGTTGTAGATCTCATGCTGTATTTTATGCTCTGTTGATGATTGTATGTTGTTCCTCAAATGTAGAAGCCTTCAGTTTTCAAGGCCATGCTTTATGCTCCATCACATGCTTCCAAGTACTCCACTGCTTGGCTAGCCAGCAAGGGCCTCAAATAATGACCTGCCCCTCTTCCTTACCTTACTTGAATCCTAATGAAAACTTGTGGGCCCACAGGGAAGAGAATACACCTCTTCGAACAGCGTGGTTGCTGTGAGCCTGCTGGTCGTGAACAGATCAAGAAATTGACTACATATATGGAAGGTGTGTTGTTACACTTCAAAACTGAGAATAAACAAGTAATTTGATCTGCACACATATCCTGAGCAAGACAAAACTCACGTTCCCTTAGTTGTGTTTGTTCATCCATAAAATAAATCCTGAGGAATACAATTCACCTAATAATTGTGCACACAGTGCAGTTACAGCTGGCTCAGGTGAGTCCTGAACCATCCCTTAGTTATGCTGCTATAGGCCTAGACTGCAGGGGGGCTTCCCATGATGGACTGGGCTACTCTCTCCTCTTCTCCATCTGTATGTAGTCTTATCCCGTTATTGCATGATACTAACTCCACTTCTTCTTCCTCGTCCCTCTCCTCTCTCCTTCGGTCTCCTGCAGGTGTTTCTGGCTCTGGAGCTGTGGAGGCTTCCTGCCTCCCCCATGTTCCTGCTCGACCTCCGCTTTATGCTGAATGGCTAACCTGCTTGGAGCATGTCTGTGTCTTTTTGAGCACTTTTTATGGCATGAATGGATTTCTTCATTTTGTTGCTTTATGAAGTTCTTTCAGAGCAATGTTTTAAAAAAGTTTTGAGTACATTAAATAAAGGAATCTATTTATTATTCAGTACGATACATTCATTTAATGGAACACAAAAATGTAATTATAGTCAGATCTGCTCGTGCCGTAATGATGGGGCAGTGATATTACAAGCCTGTTAACATCCTCATTCACGCGGTCTACAATGTCGTTGTCAGCTGTCCTTCCTGCATGTGGCAGCTGTGTTGCTTTTAGTCAGGATTATTAACTTCTTCATATTTGTCTAATATTAGTTTGCTTCATGAGTAAAATCTGCCGCTCTGCGATTGGTCATCTGCTGCAAACACCGCCTCTTTCATGTGAATGCACTCATGGCTGGATTGGGAAACACTGGGTTGATTTACCAAGTTGATAATTAGCGTTGTGTGACCGCTTATCTTTATTCTGGTTGTTAGTTAGTGAAGGCAGATAAAAGAAATATCTTGGGTATGTTAAACTTACGTAGTACAGGTCTTTTTCCCAGCTGGCATTTGGACATGGCATAGTAGAAAAATCACAGGTGTTACTAATAACAGTAATGATGGCTCTGTTCTAATCAAGTGTCCCAGTGAGCCATGACATGTGTACAACACCAGGAACCTGAAACTGAAGCAGCTAACTGAAATTCAGCCATCATTTCTTCACACGTTAAGTCATATTTAGTTAACCCTGTGTATTTCTTATTGTCATGTGTCTTTTATGGAAAAGGTTCATTCATTGTTGAATATCATATAGTAAATATAGAATATTATCTGTAGCAATAACAGCCAGGTATGACCAGCTGGATATCACAATATTTAACATTTATTTGAATTTTTAACATTGGTTTTATATCTGATGCAATACTAGAATGGGCGTCTGCAGTCTCACTCATTGGTTTTAATAAATCCATCTCTGTTTCCACCACAGACCAATGGAGGTGACTGGACTATAATTTAAAAATAAATAAAATTGATTCAACATCAGTTTACAGAATCAGTGTGCGAGCAATTGTGTAGAACAAACACATCTCACGGTCAAGATTAGTAACGTTAGCTACTACTTTCCACCAAAGAAAGTGTTCCAATGGAAACTTTTAACAGTGTCTAAGAGGCAGAGATGTCTCAAACCTGAACAAGACCATGTCGTCCCTCATCCAAGACACAGCAGGGAAACTCAGCTATTTAACCTCTGTGGGGTGGCCTGTTAAAGACCGCACACCCAAACAATCTAGTGTATGCGGTCCAATGCAGTGAGGAATGCACAGACCTGTATATTGGGGAGACTAAACAACCACTACACAAACGCATGGCTCAACACAGAAGGGCCAACTCCTCAGGTCAAGACTCTGCAGTCTACTTACATCTGAAGGACAGAGGACACTCGTTTGAGGACCACCAGGTGCACATTTTAGACAGAGAAGATGGATTGTTTTATAGAGGTTTCAAGGAAGCATCTACACCAGGGTTGAGAAGCCGTCGCTGAACATGGGAGGGGGTCTACGCCACCACTTATCCCCAACAATGCTTTCATTACTCCCCAGGAAACGGAACAAAAGTGACCTCTTGGCCTCAGGCTCCAGCCACACTACTGCGTTTTGGAATTAAAACGGAGACCTGTTGCTACGTTTGCACCTCCAATTCAGACTACAACGCCGAAAACGAAGACCTACAACAGAGAAGTTTGGAAACGCTGCCGGCCCCGTTTTGCGTTTCAAAACTCCGGAGGGTGTTTTAGTGAAGACGGGCCAAAACGGAGGACTTCAGAAACGATGACGCGGCTGCTCACGGTCGGCTCTCTGATTGGGTCTTAGAAGTCATGAAAAGCAAAAGCACGATGCTTCTGACAGAGTTTTTGACATGGTATTTTTATTAAAATATTCTGTACCGTTCAAATAACACTTATCTGCCTACACTTGTACTGCGCATGTCGCCGTTTACTTTGCGACGACTCCCAGTCTGTTTACTGCCGCCACACTCCCGTGCTACATTCAGGAGGCTAACAGTTTTAATTCTCCCTTTGTAAACTTTATTTTACGGAGTAGTTTGGATGCAGCCTCAGGTGAAGATGCCAACGATGGTCGTTCAGTCTTGGCCTCGGGTAGTCCTAACAACTGTCGTTCCCACAGCCAGGAACACTAACGAACCAGCGGTATCGATGACCCGGGCCAACGACCCCACTGAGGTTAAATAGCTGAGTTTCCCTGCCAGTCAGTCAGAACTGAAGAAGTCCTTTGGATGAGGGACGAAACGTCTTCCAGTATCTTCAACCAAGTCCAGTTGCCCCTGACTAACCTTCTTTGGAGTACATTAAAATGGGTTCATACAGAGTTTAAATAAGCACACAAACACCATTTCCTTGTAATATCACTTTATCTGATTGAAACACAAAACATCCTTACATAGTGACACTATGCCTTTGGCAGGCTGCATATTACAATTTCCTGGTCGTTTTGTAGACCACTCCTCAAAAAAGAACACCTGGTTCAGAGTCCAGGGCAGGGAGGTGTTACAAGGTGCACCAATACTGTTTTACTGATCAAGTGGAATTACAAGCTCATATAAGAGACCTACTAGATTCTTATTATAATTAAAATCATTACAACTACACCATCTTGGTCAAACATGTTCTCTATCATTTCAGCATCACCAAACAGCACTGTTAAAGACTTAAATGCCAAGTGGCCTTACCGGTTTAAAATAATTTGTATCACTTCATATCACAGACACAGTTTGAACTGTTTTTTGTTGTGAAAATATTAGACATGTCCACCTCTGGTACATGCTGCTCTTTCAGTAGCACATTTAAAGCCAATTGTTCCTGTCTTGTGAGAGGTACAAGACACTTGACACTTAAAACATGGAACAAAATGCCTCTTTAGGCATGGAGTTTTTAGTGCCCTTAATTCTTTTCTCTCAAACTTCATTTTTAGCACCCAATCAGCTACAAAAAAATATAAGCTATGTTCCAAAAATATCTTTAGTGAACAAAACAAGCTGTAAAAAAAAAAAAAAAAAAAAAAAAAAAAAAAAAAAAAACAGCTGCTGTGCTGTCAGTTCACTATACAGACACCTCTATATACTTTCAGCGCAAATTTCACAATTGAAAATATAAGCCTGGTGATATTTTTACTATTGTCAACAAATCCCATGTGCAGACTCAAAACAACACTGAATGTATCTACTAACAAGTCCTGTGTGTCTCATAGCCGGATGTCTCCGGAATTGTTGTCCACTAACTTTTAACACACATCAGCGAGCCTCCCTGCTGCACAGTGTGACATGCTCCTTCATCACCATGATTTTTCTGACTCCGTCCCACACACACACCGTCCTGCTGCCCCAAACACTCACTACAGCACCACATGTGGATTCACCCAGCGCTGAAAACAGTCCCTAACAAATGCACTGTTTTCTCCTGTTTGAGTAATGCCTGTTAAAAACTACCATAAGTAGCTGTTTTAGGAAACCACTGAGCCTTTGAAAAATAAAATAAAATGGTATATTTGTGAGCGGTTTTCAAAGATGTACGTCTTCCGTATGAACCAATGGGTTTGGGGCTGAATGCCACAGACAGGGTAGGGAAGTCTTAATACAGACCCCCAGGCAAGGGTGGAGGCATGTATTGAAAATGTGTTGTAATGGTGTCTATGTAGATCTGTACTTTGTTCAAGGTGCCATTAAATTGTAAGATTGATATTGTCATATGCTTTATATTGATTTGGATGTTGAGAGAATGAGGGCTGCTTAGAAGACAGTCAATAGTAACATACTTAACATGTTGCTTGACATAATATCTACAAAATGGATAGTAGCCTTTTTAACCTGGTGGATTATAACTTGTTATAACCAGTGGGATGGAGATTAAAAAGCAAAAAGAAAATGAAACTAATTTTAAAAAAGGCACAATGCACACATTTAAAAGTAACAATAATATTTCCCCCCTTCCCAGGTATAAAAATATTCAACACAGGCTAAAAGCTAAAAACTGGTACTTCCCTTTTAACACTGTTGGTTGGAGGGAAACCAGTCAAATGTCCTGTGCTCTGGACTCATCTCAGTTTTCAAGAAGGACTGTGCGGAGCTCGTCCTCCTCACTCATGCTGATTGTAGCGATGGCACCGTCATTGAACTCAAATGAAGTCCCACCGTCGACCACCATGCAGGCATCCCAACACCGTGAGCGGACACACACCCTGAAGCAGCAGAGGCATCACAACATTCAAAAGATACATTTTTACAGCTTCTCCAGTGTGAACTCTCACTTAGCCTGGGTTCTGAGGTTGAGGAACGCTCACTGACTTGCTGGCGAAGCCTCTCTGCCGACTGCTGGAGAAGACTCTGTTGACGATGGGCTCCCTGATGCTGTAGAACAAACGCCTGTCGTCTGGACTGAACACCAGAGACTCGTTGTACTCATCAGTAACTGAACACACAGAGATAGCACCGTCACATAAAACAAAGGGCCCAAAAATGCTAGTTGACAATAAAAACACGACTATCAACTCACCCTTTTCAATAAAGTCAGGATTAAGTGGGATATCAAGACCCGTTTGGGACTTTCCTGAGAAAAGACACATTGTTTGTCAGTGAAGTCAGGTGGGGAAAAAAAGTTTCACTTTAGACTTCCATCGAAAAGTGCACACACATACCGATTTTTAGAATGTCCTCCACAGCTTGTTCAACAAGTTTGTTGATGTTATAGGACCTGCAGACACCAAGAAAGAAAAAAAAACATTAGGAGCAGAAAAGTGGATTAATACAGGATTTAACCCATGGGATGTCATAACTATGTACTGTAGTGATTGGGCACTGGTGCATACTGGGAGTCACTATGATTTAATAATCATTTCAGCTATGTAACAAACTGACAGCTCTCTCTGACTTTCATCACAAATATTACTGCTTCATACCAGCTGGGATGTAAAAACTGTTTACTGCAGGGGATTGTACCCACCTCACCACCATTTTAGTTTATTGTGCTCTTTGCATTTTATTTAACATGATTATTTTGGAGCACTGATGTTACCTGGAAATCAAGCTAATGTGATTAATGAGATTGTGGTTGTTCTAAAGTTCTGCAATAAAACCATCATAAATATTAATAAATCATATCTTGCTATATGTTTTGACATCTTAATTACACACCTACCCATCTATTGACAGATAAAGCTTGTTCCAGAAACATCTATACTATGCTGTAGTAACCAGACAAAAAAGTTTGCTTCTCTTTTGCCACCAGCTGGAGAATGTCTGATACAAAAGCGAAGAGCGCCAATAAGGTCATACTCCCACCCTTTCACAGCAGTTGGATGGAAAGATTTCAATGGGGACCCGATTTCACGACTAATCATACAGTACCATTCATAAACTTATCCTGCGGCATAATTCACATCTCCACTCTCCATACGTTTGCTCTGTAGGTTTCTGATACATTCTCACCAAAAAATGCCTAATTACAATGATTGTGAGCAGTTAATACTTTGGACATGTTACATAATGCTCTTTTACGGCTAAGTTTTCACAGGCCTGTTAAAAACCTATAGGGCATGAGTGTTTCTTACAAAAAAAGATATACTGAATTAAAGGAATAGTTTGGGACATTTTGGAAAATACACTTACACACTGTTTTTTTTAGAGTTACATGAGAAGAATCGATACCACTGTCATGTCTGTTTAAGCATGAAGCTACAGCCAGAGTTTAGCTTAGCATAAAGAGTGGAAGCAGGGGGAGACAAACAGAAACCTTTCTGGTTTTGTATGTCTCTGGGATGCACCTTCATATAGTATTTATTTGTTTCATTATTAGATCTGCAATTTGAAACTTTGTGAAAATATAAAAAATAAAACTTTGACTGTAACTCCCTTAAATACATGGTGGATGAGGATTAGGCACTAGAGAAACATTAAATGTAAAACAAAGTTGAGTATAGTTAAATGTACCATGCTTTGGATCCTGTTCCTGTGCAAATGCTGAGTCCTGAGCTCTTCTGCTTTTCCCATGGGCCGTCGTCCACAGAGATCTCATAGTAGGAAGCCCTATGGAGCAAGAGGTTAACATGGGGTTTGAAGGATTTTAACTTCACCCTGTGGTGGACAGAGATTCCCCTGATGAGTGCTGGAGAGATGAGTACGGTGCTGGTGAAAGGTCTGGGGATTAATGAGGGTTAAAACATGCGCGCGTGGACAGAGTTTGGATGACAGAGGTACCTGGAGGACAAAGATTCTCCGATGAAGATTTCATTCAGGCTTCTGATCGGGAGGAGACTAGGCTTGGAGAAGCTCTCATGTAGTCTTCCTGTCCCTGAGAAATGGCACTGAATTAGTAGAAGAACAGCGAGAAAATAAATAATAATCAAGTTCCTGATTAGAGGTCAAAAAACCCATTATAGCCAATCTAACCCTAATGGACAAACAACAGTGGGGCAGACAGGACAGGCAGACAGACAGGGACAGGTACACATGACAGGTGTTGGAGTCGTACTCCGCCGGCTGTCCATGGTGGTGATGCGGTGAGCTTGGCTGTGCTGCTCCAGGCTAAGCTGCTGCTCGTGCAGGTCCACGGGGGTGGGATTGATTCCTGTGCCCTCTAAGTGCAGACGGATCCTCTGACGCCACAGCCACCTGAACACGCACAGAGAGGTGAGAGGACAAGATCTGCCGTACAGAGCACCCCTGGGCCTAAACTGAACCAGCGGCTCGTCCTTTAAATATTGTAGTTATATTCTGAGGAAAGAAATGTTGCATCTTATATCTTTCTTTCAACAAACCAATAAAGTTTATTAACACCTGTAGCACTTTTATTGTACCGGAGAGGCTGTAAATGTACAACAAACTTATGGTTTATATAAGGGGATCTCCACTGATTTAGTCAGAATCAAGTAGCAAAGACAGCCATCCTGACTTTTAGTCCTCTGTATGGGTCAGGCTTCAGAAACGCTGGATCCTACATTTCCCACAATGCAACAATACTGGGGTTGCACAAATGCCTTAATTCAATAACCCAATTAACTGCATGAGCCGAGATCACTTCAGCAGAGAGGAGTGTTGTTTTCTTTGTGGCTGATTCAGGCGCCTCAACAATCTGGCTCAATGGCTACTTCACCAAAAACACATGAAGGATGCAGGTCCTCTCCTCTTTATGTAGTTGATTTGCCTCTCTATGTTGTTCAAGACGTTTGAAGCTATTCAGGCATAATATTAATGCCACAATATCATGTTTAATCCACACTTAAGAGTTTCCTTCACTTCTGCAAATATGGTGAAAGATATTCATTTTTAAGATATTAGCAATATAAATGTGAGCACAGACTCAGTAAGTCGGTGTTAGGTTTACGTTTGGTCGAAAAACTGCTGAAACAGTTTTATGGAACAAAGATGTCACAAATGTATACGGGTATTAACCTCAAAAGTAAAGCTGATGATACACAGAGCAATGTTTAGAGCAATTGTGCAGGGCAACGTTGCCGTCAATGGTAATGAGTAAAGATTACTACCGTAATCCCCTTCCCCCACCACGCGCCCCGCCACTATCCGTTCAAAACATAGTCGGACTTGCCACTAACAATATTGCCCAGCAACATTGCTCAAAAAGTTGCCCCGTGTTTCATCAGCTTAAGACATCCTTTGACCTGACAATCACCAATCAATTCTAACTGCTGAGTTTTACTAAACTCTGTAACTTACACTTCAGCTTCAAACAGCACATTCAGACACAGTGACCTCCGCTAGCAGTTAAAAAAAACTGGATTTAGGCTCTCCTGTCTCTCACCGTGTGACTTTCTCCAGATAATACGGGTTTAAACGGGGCTTGAACTGTAAGCTAATGACAGAAACTGCCCCAGGGTCAGCTGGTTAATCACCTGCACTCACGAGGCCGCTGAACAAGAAATGTCTGGACACGTCTAGTGCTCCCCCTTGTGAGTTTTTGGAAGCTGGTGATAAAGTTTGGACCCCTAAAGTTCCTCAGTCACCGTCGTCTTTTCTACAGCATTATGGGCTACCAGCATTAAATAGATATTATTATACTGTAGAGATTAATGCAGCTGAATGACATCACTTCTGACAAACTGTACCCCGCTCTCCCTTAAACACCAGTCAGGTTCTAAAATCTACAGCAGAACCCAATGTGTGTTTCTATTTCATTGATTAACTTCCATCTAAAGCAACACTCGTTGCACTCTGTATGGAATAATGGAATCATACGACTTTTCTTTGTTTTCAAAATGGGCATTATATATTGGCCATTGAAAAACCCGTATTAGTCAACCACTAGCAGTACCTTACAAAGTGACTAACTTGTAGGTTTTCACTAATGAGCTGGAAAAAGATGCTGGAAGGTAAGAGATGGAAAACACACAGGAGGACAGGGCAGGATGTTCACCTGAAGGAAGTCACAGCACTCAGATTATTCGTGGTTTAATACGCACCTGAACTCACCACGGCAGAGTTTCTCCAGTGCCTCTGGGAAGGCACGAGTGTACCGCACAGGCAGGCACAGATGACCTTCTGACCTTTAGTTGAAAGAGAGAAATGTAATGAACTCAGCTGAATATTAGAGGAACGTTAAATAGTAACAATGTGGAGTTATGACGTGACATTATGCTTATGAACCAACTTCCTCTGAAGTTTTTCTTTGCAAAGAGCAGGTATCAGGTATTATTGTTTGACAAACATTTAACAATCCAAGCCCTTCCCAAAAAATGCTGTTCAGTGTTTTACCTCTCAGGGTCTGTGTTTACTCCAACAACTGGTTTGTCCTTGCTTAAAACCTTACTGGCAACAAGTAGCATTGTCCCATCACCTAACAAAACAAACTGCAGTTAAAGAACTTGTATTGTGTATTTGCGTCTGTTGTCTGAAAGCCTCTGTTCATGTGACTTTTTGGCCCCTGAGCTGAATAAGTTAAAGTCCTGCCCATTCTGTACGTCATGCCTGTGCTGGACACGAAAGTTGGTGTTTAAGGAAGATTATTTTATTCAGTTTTCATTTATTCAAACAAATAGTAATGACCATAAAATCCAACATTTACAAACGGTGACTTTCCTGGAATTAATGGCATGTAGTACCTTCACTTCATTTGTAATGAATCAATGTCACAGGCAGGAGGCTGAAGTACAAATACACCCAAATAACTAATAAATTTCTACCTCCAGCAGAGATGATGGCATCTGCCCACCGCACTACCTCTTCATCATATTCTCCTCGCTTCACGACTCGTACCTCAATGCCTTCTTTCCTGCAAACACAGATTGTTAAAACAGCCTTTTACAAATGGAGTCCCGGCTGTGAAAAAAGGAATCCTTCCTTGTCTGCTTCTTAGAAACGTGGCTGTGAAGGGCCACATCTTACCGCAGACTCCTCACAATATGTTCCACATTGTTAGTGTGGATGTTGTGTCTTTCCAGCAGGCCGCTGTAGCTCGACCCCTTCATAGCAAGCTGCAAGACAGACACAAATAAACCTGGTAAAATATCAGCGTTTGTTTTTCCTGGGAGGTCACAGGCATGTCTGGTCTTACCAGGTGTTTCAAGTCCTCTTCAGAAAGCCCTGCATAGCGATACCGCTGCTGTTCAAACTCATATCGCGTAGTCTTTGTAACCACTGCTACTTTTCCCGGATTGAATCCACTTTTTGGCTGAGATGAGGTGTTGCATATTGAAGTGTGGAGGGGGCGAAGGGAGTTTCCATACAGCAGGCTGAAGGCTCGATTCCCAAGACACACCAAGTTCCCCACTGGGCGGCGAGTCATTCTTATGAGTGAACACACAACCATAAACTCAATTACATGTCCAATTAAAAGTGCTGAACGGGAGCCCTGCTCGGTACTGCTGTTACGGAGCTGACATGTTGGGTCATATGTCAGATGGAAGTATTGTCCGTTCACAGAAGTCTGGGAGTGAAGTAAACAGACACACACCCAGGTGTCAAGGAAGGTCACCAGGTGCACCAAGCTCTTTCCTAATTCACCAGTAAGGTGAACCGTTTGCTAGTGGGATTGCTTTCCAAATGGAGTGTTTCCTCTGGCAAACAACAGCACAGCAAGGCCACCAGTTAGCTCGCTATTTAACTAGTTATTATACTAACCGTATTTGGGCAGGTTAAAATCTTGCGTTACGCTTAATCCCAGCTGAGCTTAAACAGCTAAAAGTAGCTAGCAGCTTGCTCACAAGTCCAAAGCGAGGGGCCCTGCACAGCACATATTCCGGCTGAGTTTCCTCTTACCGCAAACCACACTAAAGCTGCGTCACACTCACTCCTCCCGTGCGAAAGAGTTTCAGACACGAGGTAACACACATGGGCAGGTTAAGATTAAACGACAACACAAGGGAACACTGGCGACGCTGCACTTCCACTGCACGTACCGTGCAGCCTGGCACGTAGCCGTGATGCACGTACGCTACGTAGTAGGATTTACTCTGATTGGCTACGAGGCTGTCAGTTTGAAGGGGCGGAGCGGTGACGTTTTATTTTGACTGCTCTGCACGCACGTGATCATGAGGCGTTCAGGAGCAGACGTTTTTTCGCGAATCCAGGATTATTTAAGTGTTTTTTTGTGTGTTTTTTTTACACAACATTTAATACAGAACAAAAAGAATGCTAGATAAAAATATTGCCTGCAATCACAAAAAAAAAACAACAACCAAGGAGCAAAGGAGGGTTCCAGACACAAACTAATAATCTACATTAAAGGATTCACATAGATGCTATTGCCTTTGCATTTAGTTTATGCATCATTTATTATGTAATCCTTACAAAATATTTGAAAAGGTCAGTTTTGAAAACTGCTGCCCCCGCGACCCGACCCCGGATAAACAGATGAAGATGGATGGATGGAATTTTGAAAACAGGAAAGATGGGTCTACAGTTACACTTATGAATACAGAATTTGGCAAATGTAAAAATAACATTTATTATAAAAAATGTGTCATCCTCCTCCGTCTTGTTATCAAAACCCCCAAAAAGAATATCTTCAAAAGAGAAATAAAACTCAATAAGAACATCTGACCAGAAGTTTTTAATATGAATAAAAGTCCTAAACAAATGCACAGTTGTTTCAGGGGCAGAGTTAGAGCAACTGGTCAATGTTCTTTTTAAATCTGGAAGAAAGAAAAAAAATGTCTTGGTATTTATGCAGCAGTTTAAATGATACTTCTCTCACCTTATTCGATAAAAGATATTTCTATGGTAGGACCAAACTTTTTTCCAGAGAATACCATCCACAAAAACATTCCAATGTGAGACCACATGAGGTACAGTGACCCAGCATGAACAATACCTGGTATGAACAATACCTGGTCGGACCCTGAAACTGAAGCAGCTAAATGAAATTCACAATTGTTCTTTTCATCATTTACAACTGTTTAAAACTGTTCTTTTCCTGCTGGCACAAGTGTGGAAGATTTTATTGGACTTTTATATTTGTAATCCACAGAAAACAATCCACAAATGTGTGCTATGAAGCGCAAATATTTCACTATCTACAAATATGTATTTTTACATTTGTGATGTGTAAAATCATATCCACAAAAATACAGTGACTTCATCACACAAAACAGTTTTAGCACATTTGCAGATTGCTTTCTGTCAATTTGTTGGTCATGTTACATTTGTAACTTCCTTTTTAAACATTTGTGGAATTTTGTCCAATGTGTACTGCTGAGATCTGTATTTGAAATATACACAAATATCTCACTACCCAAAACATCTATTTTTACAGTTGTAAAATCATATCCACAAAAATACAGCGCAATTTGGAAATATGTACAATTTACTCTGTACATACGTATTTTAATTTCACATACAAAGTGTTATTTACGCATCTGTGGATCTATTTTTACTCACAAAACAGTATTTGCACATTTGCGTATCATTTCCTGTCAATTTGCAGGTCACGTTACATCTGTGACTTTTGTCCACTCTGTACCACAGAGATCTGTAAACAGAGATCTGTAAATGTGAGAGCAGTTTATTAGCTACACCAGCAGGTGGCGGTAGCAACATCGCCTCTCATGAGTTGTAAGAATATCCATTGCAGTTCCCAGGGTCATCTTAAGGAGACAACGGCCCAATCCCACTGTCCCCCTCACAGACTCACAGACTTGTTCCCGGGAACTCCGTGAGGGCTTAGGGCTGTCCCACTGTCAAATCGTTTATAGACTCTTTATAGACTCTTTTGGTAAGTCCGCATTTCTGCAGGCTTTGGCTGAGGGAATTGCCCACAGTTCATAGCGGTATGACGTGAAAAAAGGGGATTAAAGGAAGCCCGGAAGCGAGTGAAGTATCATGGCAAATCCACGTATCAAGAGAAGAAGAAGAAAAACGGTAAACAAACAAGCATTGACACCAACGCTGATGTTAACATTGTTAGAATTTTTCTTAACCTAAGATGGAACACATGAAGTCAGAAGAAAGCAACCACCTTTACACACTTCATTTATTCAACTATTTGTTTTATTTTTAGCTTAATGATGCTATTTGACCAACAGTAGTGTATTGACAATTAGTGCCAAATATATATTGACATTTAGATCTCCTCCACTCTGTAGGGTGAGAGTCTGCAGGACTTAAAAATCAGGCAAAAACACAAAATATAAAGCGTGCAACGTGTTTCAGCGTCGTCAAGATAACATGATAAAGTGGCAGAGGGCTGTCCCGTTCCTGTTTACAGCATTTTGAGCCCTTGCAGCCTTTTAAACTCAATCACTTTCCAAGTGACGTCAGTAAAGTCTGTGAGGGTTCAGGACTTAGGGCTTAGGGGGACACTGGGATTGGGCCAACAACTTCTGCTTCTGCTGGACCACTGGACTCCACTCAGTCTAACTCAGTCTTTTTCTGTACAAGTGTATATAGTTTACTATTGAATACTTTATCACTGTATTTGTTTCACATTTATATTTAAATAAATATGAGCCTGAAAATTGTGTTTTGTATTGTATTTTTGTGGATATGATTTTACACAAGACGATGTAAGAATACATGTTTTGGGTAGTGAGATATTTGTGTATATTTCAAATACAGATCTCAGCAGTACACATTGGACAAAATTCCACAAATGTGTAAAAAGTGTTGTAAATAGTGCTGCAGGCTCACTGCAAATGACACTCGACTCTGTAGCCTCTCTAAAAAAGAAAATAATAAAACAAAGATGGTTAGCTCCATGGTATAATACTGAAATTCATTTTAACAAATTAAACTTGAGAGGAATTGGCGTTCCACCAAACTGGAAAATTCTCGTTTAATTTGGCAAGATAGTCTTAAAACTTATAGGAAGGCCCTCCGTAATGCCAGAGCAGCGTACTACTCGTCATTAATAGAGGAAAATAGGAACAACCCCAGGTTTCTTTTCAGCACTGTAGCCAGGCTGACAGAGAGTCACAGCTCTATTGAGCCAAGTATTCCCATAGCTCTCAGTAGTTACGACTTCATGAGCTTCTTTAATGATAAAATTCTAGCTATTAGAGACAAAATTCACCAAGACCTGCCCTCAACTGGCACCGACTTATCTCTTAACTCAGGAACCTTAGAAACAGCTGTAGAACCAGATATATGTTTAGACTGTTTTGCTTCCCTCAAGCTTTACCAACTAACTTCAATAATTTCTTCATCTAAACCATCAACCTGCCTCTTAGACCCCATCCTGACTAGGCTGCTTACAGAAGTGTCCTCTCTCTCTGTGTTCCTCTCTCCTGCCCTCTCTCTCTCTCTCTCTCTCTCTCCCTCTCTCTCTCTCCTTTACCCCAACCGGTTGAGGCAGATGGTCGCCCACCCTGAGCCATGGTTCTGCTCGAGGTTTCTGCCTCTTAAAAGGAAGTTTTTCCTTGCCTCTGTCGCCTAGTGCTTGCTCTTGGTGGGAACTGTTGGGCTTCTGTAAATATCATCATAGAGTACGGTCTAGACCTGCTCTTTTATAAAAAGCGCTGTGAGATAACTGTTGTTGTGATTTGGTGCTATATAAATAAAATGTAATTGTATTGAATTGAATTGACAAATGTTTACAAATGTAACATGACCCATGTGATTTTACACATCACAAATGTAAAAATACATATTTGTAGATAGTGAAATATTTGCGCATCATAGTACACATTTGTGGATTGTTTTCTGTGGGTTACAAATATGAAGATTTCCAAATTCCTGTAAAACCAAAATCCAAAAAAGAACCAAATGTTTGATGCTGTGTTTTACTACTTTCCATGTTTTGTTCCGAGAACAACAAGATAATATAACTCACTTATTTATTTTACTTGGGAAATATCATATTCATAAAGCAAAAGGGTCAAAAGCCATTCTATTGTCCTTTTTGCAGTGAATTAAATTTTATAACACTACAAAATGTGAAAATAATAGTATAAAGGCAATCTGATCTTACAATATTTAGTTGACTTTATGCTAGTGTAAGCGCTTTAGCAATGTAAATTAATTATGCATTTATGTTATATTACTTTTATTTTTTATGTTCTTTTGAATGTTGATCTTTGAATTGTTGAAAACACTCTCCGTCTGTGCATTCAATGTAAACTGTTTAAAAACTAAATTTAAGTCCATTGTTCACTCGGGCTCCTAAGCCATTAAATTAGCCACTGTGTCCATCAGCTGGGCGCTAACTGTGTCTGTCTGCTGTTTGCTGCTGAGCAGGAAGTGTACAGCCATGTGCTGTGAGTCAGAAAACCAAAACAATGAGCTAAAAGACATTAAAAGGCTCCACAGGGCTGACGGGACCTGAAGAGTTGGGTGATAGACCTCTGTGGGGTGTGGAGTGATTTGTCCATTGTCCAAAATAAAGTATTGATAAGTGCAGCTTTAAGTACACTGTTGGATCTATTTTACATTATGGTAGTTACTGGTACTAAAGTAAGAGATCCAAATACATCTTCCAATCTTGAAATAGAATACACTGTGGACATGAAATATGAGATAAGATTTTAATTTTGATCAATAATTCTTCAAATTAGCAGACAGCTTCTTCAAGCCATTTTTTGGTTTAAACTGACAGAAAGCTAAATTGGGTCTACAAATATAATTAAGCTATTTTAAATATCACTTCAGTCCTGATACAAGTAAATTGTTTGGATCACAACAAACATCTACAGACATGTTGCACTCATTAGTGTGACACTCACTAGGGAATAGTGTTTGTAAAAGGCTACGTGACCTGATTTGAGGGGTATTCTTCACTAATTATGTTAAAGTTCACCAGGGAATATTTTTCCATACAGTGAGGTCACTTATTACAGCAGCTCTACTTTTTTCAGCTAATTGTGGTGTGTCATTTACTCCGCGTAATTACCTCAAACTATAACACTTCCCGAGTGGGATGATGTGTATCAGTTAAACCTGGTTATTGTTTTATGCCAGAAACAATTCCTTATGTGTCTCCACAGTGTACAGACTCCATTAAAACAAGCAAAAAATGATGAAAACACAGAGGAAAGGAAGAGGGAGGAGATGAGGAAAAGAAAAGAAGTGAGGATGAGTGGAGGAAGATATCTGATTTTAGATGAATCATTCCCCAAGCAAATGCTTTTCACAACTACTCTCAACAAAGTTTTTCATACATCTAGGCTTCGTCTGAAACTGTGTCACAGGGCTAACAGTGTTATTATGGGAGGACCATTTTGTCCTCTGTCTCCCTCCCTCCCTCTCTCTGTCTCTCTTCTGGATGTCTCCCCTCCTTTGTTTTTCTATAGCAGCAGGTGCAGGAGAGCACTCTTTCCCACACACTCAGAGTGCTTCATGTTAGAGCTCCAACTTCCACTCACTCTGTTCTTCTGAGTCCCAGAAGCTCCAGTAAAACTCCTGCACTTCTTACCCTGCCTCGCTGCTGCTTCACAGGCCTGCCAGGTCAAACTACAACAGTGAAGCATTCTGCACGGAGAACCGAAGAACAAACGCCGGTTTAAAGAGGTATGTGACAAACTTCTTTTTTTGTTCTGCTTTAAAATGTATAGGGGCACAAGTTGTTTTAATTGGCTATTAGATATGTAGGTGGCGTTGACCTGTAGCTATGAAGTAGGTTAATCACAATACTTTTGGTTGACTCTTCCTATAGAAAGGATAAAGAAATTTTTATCTAAGAAGGAAAGGCAAGGCAAGTTTATTTGGAGAGCACATTTCAACAACAAGGCAATTCAAAGCGCTTAGCCTAAAACATGGAAGCATTACAGAGAAATAAATAAAAAAGACATTGAAATACAATTTAGGGTGAAATAGAAAATAAAAGCAGGATAAAACGGGACAGTAGAAATTAGTGTGCAGTGTACTTCTCCAGCCTTGAATTTGATTTAATTAAAGGAAGTCATAAAACAAAAAAGGTAAGGTAAATGAAGAACATGTTTTGTTTTTATTTGTACTGTTTTTGAGATATGTGCCTCTGAAACCATCTCCATCAACCCCAACACACTACAAGTGAATGGTGCTAAATTTCTAGTGCCAACCAGGGAATTAAATCAGCACCTGCCAACTGTCAAATACATGGTGCTAAATGTTTGCTATAGCAGGTAGATATTTTAGGTCACCTGCCACCATGGCAGATTTTCTTCAATAAATAAATAATGAAATAAATATTACTTATAAAAAGCATTTTTTAGTTAAGAACAGTCAGGGATTATGGATAAACAATATATTCCATATTTCTACTGTCAAGAACCACTGACTCAGTGTTTACAATTCTGTTGTGTTCGTACATAGATTTAAAAAGTGGAAGATGATGAATTGAGTAGCCGATAGAAATGTTCAGTAACCTGCCACAGTGGCATTTCATGGATTTCAGACTTTGCTCACAACATTAAAAAATTGTTGAACTCAAAAGTGACTATCTCAGATGCAAATATTTCTAAATGTGGGCAAATTAAGCTCACACTATTGGCCAGGCTAGAAACCACAGAAATTACAGGAGAAAACATGTTTTTTTTACAACAGTATGTATACAGTATGTATGCTGCATAAATGAATTACTGATTGTTATTTTCCTTACTGTTCATACTGGCCATGAAGAGATCCAGTGTGAATTCAATGTAGAGACTGGGGGACAGTATGCCCCCTCACTATTCTGAGCAAAAACACTTTCTAGAGTGTGCTGTTTCCTCCAAAGCTATGTTCATTTCAGTGCTAATTCACCCTTCGTGTTTACCTGGATGGTGTCCCAATTAATGCTGAAGGGAAGAAATCTTTGTCCTTTCTTAATCCCTCAAAGGAAATGCCTGAAATTTATTTGCTCATTGCTGTCATGGAAAATTTGTAGTCCTGATGAGGGATTGAGAAAATAATTTAGTTACAACAAAACGTTGCATTTGATTAATTAATTAATTATTAATTAATGTGAATGACAGAGAGGTACTAGTAAAGCAAATGAGCTGGGCCAGAGGTTCCATCTCCTAGGACAGTAACTGACATCTGGCCCAGAGAAAAGGGATGCATAATCATTTCCACAATCTAGATCTAGGTTTCTATGTTTTGGGGAGCAGAGATCCTCAAAACAGTCACACAGCTCTGACCTAAACCCTACATATGTGGGGTATGTAACAAGAGAAGATATATATATATAGCTTGTCACACTCCTCTCTCAGTCAGAGCATGTTGTTAGCTGGCTAAAGCTAATGTCTGTATTATCACCTGAAATGGCCAAAAGTGTCAAACAAAGACACTACAGCAGTCAAATTTTCAGGAATAAAGCCAATAATAAAAATCCATTGAGCATACAAGCCACATTCAGACCATCCAGACATGACGCAACCTGCACTTCGCATTGTCTGATTAATGGAGACAGCAGCAAGTCATTCAATCCACTGGAGGGTGAATGACGAACAGTAAAGTACTGGTGCCCCCGTGTGGCTGTCAGATCTTCTGGCCATGAGATCACTGCTACACTGGATCTTTCCAAACTCTGCATCAAAACTGGACCATCAGTAGTCCTACAACTAAAAGTACAGTAGGAAGTGGAAGACAGGAGCCCCGTTGTAAACAAAATATCATGGCTTGATTTAGGCTAAAGTTAACAATTACAGTTGTCCACCGCAAAAAGTTTAATTATACATGTGATGTTAATGATTACTATTCTGTAACATAGCTTTTTCCCCCCAAATGTGTCATTACTGGGGGGCTTTGGTGCTCATGATCACACTTGACATTTGCCATTCTTGGACGATTTCTGGACAACCAAGCTTTGCATTTTGTTCAGTAAGCTTTGAACGTTTAAACCCTGGAGAAACAACATTATGTTGCAGAGGCTGGTTGAACAGAAGCTATAGCCAGTAGAGGAGCTGCTGGATCTGCAAGTGTTTTCTCCATAATTCTCAGAAGGTCTGACGTCCTCCAGGATAAGAATTGCATTAAAGAAACAGTAGAACCAAAATAGGGGCACAAGTTGAACGCCGCCCACTCATTCATTTAAATGAGGCCAGTCCATTGACACAGCAGGGGGCTCCTGCAAAGAAAAGCACGGTGGTCAGGAGGAAAAGCAACTAAGCATGACTACTCTGAGGTACACCTCTTTCAGCCTCGCAAAGAAACACCGTTGATAAAAGATTGTACATTTGGAAGACACCTGGTTCATTCTAAATCAGCTTCAGCCAAAATTTAGATTGCAAGGTTTGCAATTTTTTGTGCCTGACATGAATTTGCTAGCCTGCTGATAAGACTACCATGGTTCTTTTGCTCTAATGGACTCATTTTAGTTTACTGCAGCAGGATGCAGCGTTTAAGGGAGAGCATTCACATACGCACCATGAAGGCAAAGAGGAAAGTGGAGGAGATCTCCAAAGAGGACGTCCAGGCTTTCTTCAAGAAGAATGCCTTTGTGCTCTTCACCGTTGGGGCAGTTATTGTAGGTATGTATGCCTCTGCAAGCTCTCAGACTTCTTTCAGTCAGAGTCTTGTTAATGCAATGGAGACACATATACATACATATAATGCATACACTTGTCTCTGCAGGTATTATTCTGGGCTTCACGCTCCGGCCGTACAAGATGACCTATCGAGAAGTGAAGTACTTCTCTTTCCCTGGAGAGCTACTAATGAGAATGCTTCAGATGCTTGTTCTCCCTTTACTAGTCTCCAGTCTAATCACAGGTATAACCCATTCACGCATCACGCCATCCATGTAACTGATCTGTCAATGGATTTAGGACATGTCAACATTCACTTTGCTTGTGTCAGAGTTATGATTCAGTTTCTCTTCAGTGGTCTGCTACGTACGATGTGATCTCTGACCTTTCCTCAGCTGCATCTCTGCTGCTGTTTAAATGAATCAGAAATTGAATGATGACGTCAAAAAGCATGATGAAGTGAAGGATGAAGTCAAAAAACATAAATGGGTCTGACAGGAGCAACTGCTGTAATGTGGCTTGAGTTTAACTCACACATCCAAAATATCTGATACCAGTCTGAACAGGGCAAACTCACGCTGGCAAACAATGGCAGCTCAGTAGAGGTGGTTCACAAGATGACCATCTTTATAAAGCAGTAATCAGTGAGGAAGCCAGCCTCACCCCCAGCATGGTGATGAAGAGATTCCCACTGTTTCAGTTGCAGGGAAGACTTGGTTTGCATTGTGGCAGTGGACTTCCAATTTCCCTCTGCCCTTGAAACTCTCTGTCTTTATTTCCAGCTTAGCTTCTTGTCCATCAGCCACTGCGTGTTTCTGTCTTCATCCGTGGACCAGTTCTTTCATTGATCTTTCTGAGAGCTAAACTGTGTATTTAAATAGAAATTTTTTTTAAATATCATGAATGTTTTTCCGGGATTCCATGGATTATATACTACAGGTTTATGTCAGTTTTACATATTTAATCTTTGTTTAGGAGAACACTGTTTTTCTCAGTGTGGTAATGGCTCTACATACTACAATATCCATGAGCCTCAGTTCCCATAGAGAAAAGCCAATCAGACATGGGATTAAGAGCTGTAACACTTTATCGAAACAAAACTTTAGGCCATAGCTTTTCAATTATTCAAAAATGTACCCAGAATTAGTGGTGATCTAATTTCAGGTGTAGATTGTGTTGTGGGATTTTAAAGAACATAAGCTTTGGGTCCTGTTCACTGCACATGCAACAGAATTTCGGGTTAATTGACTGACTTTCTACTGAAATGCACCGTGGGAATCATAGTTAACTTTGGTCCTTACATTTTTTGAGACTGTGCAAAGAATCTTTTGTAGGGATAATTCAGTGGGGAGAGTTTCTTGCCCATTCAAGCCTTAACTGTCTGCCAGTTACTACTATTGACTATGCAAACTTCCAGAACTATTACTAACACTCAAAGCAACTTGTCCTACTCCCCAATATTATTCATCCAGCCTCTGTACAAGAGTTGTCACTGGCAATCATTTAGATCCATAAACAGTAACTGATGAAGAACTGAGGTGAGATGGCGCTTAATTAGCATTTGTGACTCATAGATTCAAGTTGGGTATCCGAGCAGTGAGGGCACTACCTCTTTAATGTCTGTGTATTATGCCAAAAAAATCAAAGAAGATCCGAACACAGTGTGTTAAATAGTTGGGTTCTGTGAATATATATATTTTTTCTGATAGGCTAGGGGAATATGTTTGAAGAAGTAAACTCCATGTTTGAGCAAAAAACTCTTTCCTCGCCCTTCACAATGCAGTATAGTTCTTCACCGTGCACTGTAGTGCAACACAGCATCACAGTTGAATGTGGTTGGAAGTACAACAAAGCTTTTTCTCTGTACATGATTAGCACAGTGTTGCCGTTTGAAACCATTTTAATTCTAATCACTGTTACAAACTCAAGTTGGAAGCACACCATACACGCACAAAAGGATACATTTTTCTTCATTATATGTCATAACCAGAAAACTCTTGTGTGGATGCTCTTCTTTTAAAAGTGTGACAATTTCCATTGCCTGGAAGCACAATCCACTCCAACTGGTTCATTTAAAGATGTTAATGGATAGTATTTAAGAACCACTTAACACACTGTTAGATAATCAATTTATAATCTGCCAACTGATGAAGAATAAACATACCGGGCAAAAACATTTTTTATATGTCTTAATACTCAGATTTCAACAGCATTTCCACCCTCTGTCCATTAGGAATGGCAGCTTTGGACACCAAAGCCTCAGGAAAGATGGGCATGAGAGCTGTGATATACTACATGACCACGACTTTTATCGCAGTCTTCATTGGTATCTTAGTCGTCCTCATCATCCACCCAGGAAAAGGATCAAAAGAGGAGTTTGGAAAGCAGCAGATGATAGAGCAAATCAGTCCTGCTGATGCCTTCTTGGATCTGATCAGGTAGCCTGTATAGAAGAACAATACTATTCTCAAAGTTTGACTAAAACCGGTGACGTCATCTCTTAACCCACTGCGTGATTTCACATTTCAGAAATATGTTTCCACCAAACTTGGTCCAAGCCTGTACACAGCAGGTGAGCTTCACAATTAACACTTTGCAAACTATGCAGTACTTTGTGCACATGATGTCTTAAAATAGGAAATACTTTGACAGCACCCCACCCCCCATTACACCCCACAAAATAACAGATCTAACACCATACTGATGTTGCTATCCTTCTAACAAATTGAATGACTCTTTCCTTGTTAGATCATGCCATATCTACTGATCAAAGTTGACATTTTGAGTAGAGTTTATCCTCTGAAGAGCATGAATGGGCTCAGCAATCTGCCCATTAGAGTTTGACTTTTCTTGTGAACAAGTCAAACTCTAACCAGATCTAGTGCCACCAGACGGTGTGCGAGAGAGAATGCCAAGAGTATAATATTTATATAATATGGGGGGCTGAAGTTTGGCCCAAGAATCACTATACCCAATTAACATTGGTCAGCTAAGGCCTGACAACTCACATTTTAAGCCTTAAAAAAACTTAAACTACGCCATTGTGTTAATTCCAAAACTCTCTCTTTGTCTGCCTCCCCTAAACACGTGCACTCAGACACTGAGGGCCGACCTACCCCTTTACAGTCTATACACCGCAGATTTCCTGAGTGTTGTTGAGACACAGTTTTGTGTCCTATCCAAGACCCTGCCCAGTGCTTCTATGATTTACTGGTTATCTTTGATATCTGATGCCCTAACATTACTGGAATCACATTTTCACCACAACAATGATTCTAGCTGTATGAGTTGGGCTAACTTGATTAGATAGTTTAGCTTATAGTGAATATCCACAAACAGAGCAAGTTTTCCTCATTCAAATTGTAATCATTTCCCATTTGAGCAGGCATAGACTCTATAAAACAAATAAGAGTGTAGTAAAAGGTCCGTAAAGTGCACTGAACCAAACTGAACCAACCTCAGTATGGAAGAAAATTAGCACAAACCCAGCACGAATATGTCAATATTCTCATGCCTTGTTGGCCCCAGAGGATGAATCCTCTGAAGACCATGAACATCCATAGCAAATTTCATAATGAAGTGAATGAAGAAGTTGGTCCGTGAGTAGTGCTAAATGAAAGGTCATTGGGTCACTAAAAACACTGGACTTCATCCTCTGGGGAACTATGAATAACTGAAGTTAAATTTATGACAATCCAGTGATTCATTTTGAAAAGATGCTGTATCTTTTCATAAACCAAAGTGTTTGTCAGAGCAACATTTTCAGTGCCTCTAGAGAAAAGGTCAAGGGGCCTTCAGTAAGGATGAGCCAGGAGGACATTAAACCATAATTTAACTCAAAGTGTTATTTCCTGATTCTGAGGGGTGACATAAATCAGCTTCAGCTCTATCAAAAGCCACTGGTAAAACCATGATCCTCTAATTCTATCATTCTGCAGTTCAAAACCAAATATGACAAGCGAGCAGTCCATGTGACAGTGACAGTGAATGACACCCTCTTCAACTCCACCAATGGCACCCAAGAGGTCATGGAGACCACCAGGGTGGAAGTGATCCCAGTGGCGGGTCAGGTGAACGGGGTCAACGCCCTCGGGCTGGTGGTCTTCTCCATGTGCTTTGGTCTAATAATTGGCAGCATGAGGGAGCAGGGCCAGCTCCTGAGGGATTTCTTCGACAGCCTCAATGAAGCTATCATGCGCCTGGTTGCGATCATCATGTGGTATGACTTCATCCTGAGTGGGAAGTTTTTTCTGTTGCACCAATGTCATCATCACACTTACCTTCAATTTCTTACTGTTTCTCTCCTCCTCTCAGGTATGCTCCTATTGGCATCATGTTCCTAATTTCTGGAAAGATTGTGGAGATGGATGATCTGACACAGATGGGTGGCCAGCTGGGCATGTATACCATCACAGTTATCATTGGCTTACTGATCCACGCTGTTATTATTCTTCCTACTCTTTATTTTGCCATTACTCGGCAAAACCCCTTTATCTTCATTGCTGGACTCCTGCAAGCTCTGGTAACAGCCCTGGGGACCTCCTCCAGGTGAGTGGTGTCCAACACATCAACAAATGATTGACAATTGTTCCTGACATAAACAATGTAGCATTTTGGGAACTTTGCTTGTTTTGCTACCAAACCTGCAGTTAGACTGTTTATCCTAGATTTTAGCCCAATGACTGGAACCAGTTGGAAACAACTTGCCCTAAAAAACAGGCCTTTGAACTACTTAAAACCTGTTTTGTTTGCTAAAAGTGTCAGTGTGCTTCAAGCTAAGTTGTCTGTCTAAATGTCAATTTATATACCTATTTGACATCAGAATTGTGGGTCTATGGTGTGAAAGTAGGGTTTGAATTTCTTTCACAAGCTCTGTTTTCTTGTTTAGTCACACAATTATTTCACCTACCAGTCACTTTTTGTGTATAACACTGTGAATGTCTTCGAGGAGAGACTTTCTGAAAGCATGACCTGTTGTCCGCATATGAACGATTGTAACATCACACCCATTTCTTTGGTGAAAGAAGTAGCATTACCAGCTAAAGTTGGAATGATCCACTTTGTGTTGGTTTGAGGTGCCACCGACAAAGTAAAAAGTTCAGGCAGAGTTGCACACCATGATCCTGCAGATTCTTCAGTGTGTGAATGTTGTAAATGGCTTGAGAGAGAGAGTTACTTTGAAAGTTCCATTTTAGACAGCCAGAATGATTTTTTTCCAAGTTTCATGTAGATTTTGGGTTGTAATGATGTAGCCAAATCTGTGTCTGTTTCAGATGGACTACTTTTTAAATTTTTACACCTCTACTCATGACTCACCTTTGATTTGTAGCAAACCTTGCAACATATACATACAGTATAACAAAGACAGCTTTGGAGTTGCCTGGAAGACCTGTTCTCCTGTTTCCAGTCTGTGTTAAGCTATAGGCTAAACATGTGCCAGACAACTCACAGTGAAGAAAAATGTCTTTTTGCTCATCTGAATGTGAGTTTGATGGCAAACATTTATATTGCTGGTGTTCAGTACAGGTACAAAAAAGCTTACACTGCATCTTTAAACTGAACTGACTAGACTGAATCATAATCACTGACTGAATCAGTAACTTTTAGCAGTGGAGCTCCTCACTGGGGACTGAAATGTGTTTTATTTTGAACTAAACCGAATGTACTGTACACGGCTGAGATGACAGCGGTGCTCTCAGTCACCAGTGAGGATACAATGGGTGACAATGGTGATTCAGCACAATCAGTTCACTTCAACTATTTGTTGTTAAATATTTGTTTGTACATATACTAACCACCTCTAGACTTACTACTCAATTGACAGAAGTAAAACAAACCATACAGAACATCATCAGCTTACTGATGTAGGCCTACTGAAGTGAATTTGAAAGAGATGCAGTCACTTAGCTTAGGGACAAAGGGAACCAAGCAAAAAGTCACTGACTACCAATATTTGAATGGAACGAAACGATTCCAGCAAAGTGATTCATAATTTCCACCTCTAAAGCATATTTCCCAAAATGTCAGGCTGTTCCTTCAAACAGTTTTTAAAAAATCTGTTTCCATTCTTGTATCTCCCAGCTCAGCCACCCTCCCTGTCACCTTTAAATGTCTGGAGGAGAACAACAAGATTGATAAGCGAATCACACGTTTCGTGCTGCCTGTGGGCGCCACAATCAACATGGACGGAACTGCTCTGTATGAGGCACTGGCGGCCATCTTCATTGCCCAGGTCAACAACATTGAAATGAACTTTGGTCAGATCATCACCATCAGGTAAAACCTACTTATATAGCCAAAGCTAATGCTGTTATCAGCAAGAAAAATGCAAATAAATAATCCCCAAAGTAACACACATCGTTTCATCAGTGTGTTTCTCTTCACTCAAGTATTACAGCAACTGCAGCCAGTATTGGAGCTGCTGGCATCCCTCAGGCAGGCCTGGTCACCATGGTGATTGTACTGACCTCTGTCGGACTTCCTACTGATGACATCACTCTCATTATTGCGGTTGATTGGTTCCTGTGAGTAGCTTGACATCCATTGAACATCCTGAAAACACAAGTGCGTGTGACATGTTGCTTGTTTAAGTGCTGTAAGTGTAGCTCACATCCCTGCATCAACCATCTCTGTCATCTTAAAGGTCAATAGCAGCTCTGTATCTACTACCACCTGGTGACACACTTCTCCTCTCTCCCTGGAGTCTTGTTCTACATCTTCCCTTTTGTATTGAATATTTTTTTGCAATGAGTTTTAACATAGAAACATAATTAGGTTTCCCAAATTAATCATTTCAATTAGAATACCCTTCCCAGAAATTACTCCGCTAACTGGGGTAATAAGAAAAAAAACTTCTCTCCTTTAACTAGGATGGACCAAATATGAATGTCTGTCAAAGCCCTCCTTAATGAAGGCATGCCCTGCACTGAACAGTAAGTATAGTGTCTAATGAATAAGAGCCTGCATGGAGAAAATTACGGGGAGTTTCATAAAGCAAGGTTATGGCACACTCCAGTGAATCTAACTTATTGTGTCTCATAAAGGAAATTTAAGAAGGAAGTTTAGGAAATCTAGCCTAATTTAGCATGTCCATCGAGACTGGCCCCGACCATAGTTTTCAGGCGAGTGTTAGAATCAATCTGCCAGATTGAAACTGTGATTTTTTTACTTCCAAGCAGCCCCATAAAGGAGGTTTTAAAAAGTATGGACACAACTCTCATTGTGAAAAGTTGCACCTTGATGTAATTGATTATAAACAACCTATTTTTTGGCCAGGTGCAGTGACTTCCTAGATTTTATTTTAAGATGCCTAACAATATCAGGCAAAGGGACTGCCGATGAAAACTGTCCTGTGGCTAACTCAGGTACATTTACATTTGTTTTGAATGGTGATCAATGTACATTGTCCCTCTTAAAATAAACAATAAATCAAATCAAATTTCAGATTGCACTGCATATAATAGAAATAGTCCAGCACATAACCCTTCCCCCATAAAACCAGAGTAAAGGTTTCCAAAGCTATCCCACAATGCATCAAGCACTTCTGAAGAAGAATGCTGGAAACTTGAATCATAACCTCCAGGGATACACAAACAGAGTGGGTAAATTATTTCATTTGCATACATTTTTTTTTTAAAGTAAAAAATATTGCTGCACTCACCTGTGTATCCAAAGCATTTTCCTAGGTATTTTCCCATCCATTCTCTGTTTTTTTGTTTGTTTTTTTGCTGGGGTTTAGGGACCGTCTGCGTACCACAACCAATGTTTTGGGGGATTCGATTGGAGCCGGCATTGTGGAGTTCCTGTCTCGACACGAGCTACGCAGCAAAGATGTGGAGATGGGAAACTCAGTGCTGGAGGAGAAGGAACGGAAGAAACCTTACAAGCTCATCTCCCAGGATAGTGATTTTGAAAATGACAAACGTGCTCACAGTGAATCAAACATGTAGTTCAAACCTCATCATCTGTAACATCTGGTAACACATACACCTGGTTCTGTTTTGGTGAGCAGGGACCTAATTGTGACATATTGTTGTCATAGTGTCATTATTTCACATGTTATTAACATTTCTTTATGGTCATAAAGTGAATTTCTTACATTCCTCGTTCATCCGAAATTGCGGAGATGACTTATATATATATAATATATGAATCTGTCATTTGTTTCAAATAGGTTGGCAGTTTCTGTTTTGTCTGTTTACCACTTTAATGGTGTTTTGAAATATACAACAGAGCATCTAAGGCCATTAAGCAGGAAAAGAAAGTAGGCTGCTGGGTATGAACAGTCCCATACAGTTATGGATGGTATCATAAGGAAAGTGACTGCATTTGAAGAGGTTATGTGAAGAAATCATACATTCAGAGTTTTACCATCTTATCATCAGGACATGGTTAACTGAACTCAAAATCAAATCTTATCTATATTGTCCCAATATTAGCTTGTTAATATTGTGGTTATTACAGGTTATTACAGACATTTTATGATATTTGTGTTTCAGTGGTGTGAGACTTTCTCACACATCTAGAATTGCAAATGCATGTGTGTGTGCACATCCAAATTTTGACTGTGTGTGTTGATTTTTCTACCAACATTGCTCATTTACTGTAGATAAGAGACAGGTGAATGTGTTGGATCATTACTGCATGTTAAAGGCTCTGAATTCATGATGAAGGTGTGAAACAGATATTCAAGTCTTGACCGAAATTCATCAACTTTTTGTGAAAACAATCTTAGTTTTTGTTTATTATAACTTCAGTGAAATAAACAGGAAAATGCCTTCCCGGCTTGTCTCTTTTTTGTTTAAAATGTCAGAGGTTGTTTCATGGTTTACATAAACCAAATGTATTTCCTAATTACTGACTTTCTATATCTGAAAATAGTATCATAACAGTCCAGTGAAATGACTGCTTGTATGCTGATTTATCAAAGAAAAGGTCCCTAAAGGCAGAGATCATCATTCTGTGGTGAGTGTGGGTGACATGTTCCTTCATCACCATGAACACACACACACACACACACACACACACACACTGTAGTTTATTTGATTCGATCCCACATACACCATGGCCCAATACTCACTAAGAGTAGATGTTCCTCCTGTTTGAGTAATGTTTGCTTAAGATAATAATAATAATAATAATAATAACTTATATTTTTATAACCCTATTAAATAAAAGTACAAAGTGCTTCATAAAAGACAAACAGGGCAAAAAAAAGGACATGAAACCCCACCACCAAGATAAAATGCATGAGGACAAAAAATAAAAATGGAAAGCATAATAGATTGACTATAAGAATAAAACTAGAACAAATAACAACAGCTCACATAAATTTAGGAGATGCCTTCAGATAAAAGCGCATTTTTAAAAAGACACTGAGTTTGAGAGCCTTATTTCCTCCAGCAGGTTGTTCCAGAGCCTCGGGGCCCTAACAGCAAAAGCTCAGTCTCCTTTACTTCTAAGCTTTGACAAGAAGAGGAAGAGACAAGAGACCCCTGCCCAAAGATCTCAAACTACGCATAGGTTCATAAGGAGTTAAAAGGTCTAATATATAAGCAGAAGCCAAGCCATGGATAACCTTAAAAGTAATCAATAAAATCTTAAAATCAATCCTAAAAGAAACAGGAAGCCAATGCAAAGAGGCTAAAACAGGAGTGATGTGATCGTACCTCATGGTTCCAGTACAAAGCAATGTTGCTTAATTTTGTACAGTCTGTAGACGTTTTAAGGTTTTATGATTAAGAGATGTGAGGAAATAAAAGCATGTACAACAATTTCTGCACCTCCATTTAAAATGGACCTAATTTTAGTAATTTATTTGAGTTATGTGTTGCTCAGAACATGAATTGCTCTCTAATGAAACACCAAGATTTCTAGCAACAGGCTTGATGTGTTGTGACAGGTGACCAATAGGTGGCAGCTTTGAGAGGTGTTGGGGACCATTAACAATAATTTCTGTTTTGTTGGAGTTTAGTTGGTGAAAGTTATTTGACATCCAGTCTTTTATATCTGCTAGGCAGTCCTGTAGGGAGATCGGTTGGTGGGCTTTACAGAAATGTACAATTGTGTATCATCAGCGTAACAGTGAAAAGAAATACCATGTCTGTGAATCACTTCACCCAGGGGGAGCATATATATGGAGAATAAAATTGTATGTAAAAGTATGAAGTAAACAAGTTCAGAACAGTTCCCAATATGCCCACCCAGTGCTTCAGTCTATCCAAGAGAATGCCGTGGTCAATACTATCGAATGCAGCCCTCAAATCCAGCAGCACCAGAATAAAGCACAAACGGGCGTCTGGATTAAATAAGAGGTCATTGGTGACTTTCAGAAGGGCTGTTTCGGCACAATGATGTTGACGGAAGGCAGGCTGAAATTTTTCAAAAGTGCTATTCCAATCCATAGCAGCCAGTTAGAGATATTCTTTTCCAGGATCTTTGAGATAAAAGGCAGTTTTGAAATATGGTGATGTTTGTCAAGGATCCAGGCCAGGTTTTTTCAGGACCAGTTGAACACAAACAATATTTTAAATAGTCTAGGACAACAACCAGTCGACTGTTTAAAACTGATGACAAATGTGTGCCAATACACTAGTAAAGACAAAGTACAGATATCGTAATTAATGTGAAGTGGCTCCAGGAGTCCCAGATTGGGCGCACAATATCTTAAAATGCAGGGTTAGGGCAAATACCATACTATAATAGGAGTAGTAGTTCTTTCATGGCCACATAGTGGACCAGGACACCTATTTTTTTTCTTCTATGTTCAAGCTTCTCTACAATCTCGTTTACAGCTGCTAATAATGCAATTTTGCTAAATTTTTGGGCTGTTTTGTTGTGCAGTTTTTGAGACTTGTGTGTTTTTCAGCAGGTTTATAAGGTCCAGCGTTGAATGTGGACTATAATATTGATGTTGGTCAGTGGGAGTGAAGTGAGAAGGCCAGGGAGTTTTCAGTGATGTGGGGGGTTGTTGCACCAGGAAAACAGCGTGACTGCATTTGCAAAGTGGATATTTTGCACTATGGAGTCACCAACTATTAGCAAAGTTGGTTGGATGAAAGGAGGCACCGTCTTGACTGTGAGCCAGTGAGACTACCAGAGAGTCAATAAAAGTGCTAGGAGCATTAAATCCCCCGTCAGGGTGACCATTTAGCCCAGCCACCAGGCTAAAAAAAGCCCAGGTAAGCTAGCAGCAGTGGAAGCATAATGATTCATCACTACACAGTTTTTGAACTAGACTAAAATCTTTCTCAAACCTGCTGTTGGTCACAAATATTTTCTGTGTTTTGAGCTAGTTGTGTTGGAGTAACGTTCGGAATTAAACACAGCAACATTGCTCAAAAAGTTGCACCGTGTATCATCAGCTTTATGGAGATGGTGTTGGGAGATTTCCATGGTGAAATCTGCATGGTCTTTGGTTCAATTGAGCAGTACTGACCTGAAAACAGTTTTGGACAAGCTAAGGAAGACAGGCCTGACCATCAGCATAAAACAACCAACAACCAGAAGTGTCAGTTTTTTAGAACCTCACTCAAATTCCTTGGTCATGTAGTTTGCATCGATGAAGTACAAGTGGAAGAAGAAAAGTTACTAGCTGTAATGCCTTGAAGAGAAAAGGCTCCAAATATATCTGGACACCCATCTGCCAAGTTGCTTATGAAACATTAAAACAACTTGTTTCATTCCTCGTTCACCCAGACTTCACCTTACCTTTCATGGTGTACATTGATGCATTGATGTAGGATTAAGTGATTAAGTGCAGTGTTGGCCCAACCAACGGAATTAGGAAGTGAGAAGGTCATAACTTTCCTAGTCCCACCTTAAATCCAGCAGAAAGAAATTACTCAACCACAGAACAGGAATTCTTTCAACGTTGAGTATTGAAAGGGGAAGATTCCAAACAGTTCCTGATGCCCTCTCTAGACAGACCACCTGTGAGTGAAATGGACGGTCAGTTTCCCCTTTTGTGCCATCGTGCAACCAGCTAAAAGGAAATGTGTGGACTGCAAAGCTTAACAGGCCGACGCTGAGATCCAAAAAATATACGAATCCATACTTGACTGGGGAGATCCACATGTCAATCCCACCACTAGATTTACAATCTTGGAAGACAAAGTATATAAGATTGTGTAGCTGCCTCACAAACCATTGATCAAACATACATTCCCTCATCTCTCCACAGTCAGTTACTCCACTTCTTCCATGATCACCCACCAGCAGATTCAAAACCTACAAACGACTCACGTAACTTCCTAGTTCAGTCTGAAATTTGCAATGAGTCCAGAGTTACATACCGTGAGTCCACAAAGATGAGGACAAAGATGAACCCAACTGTAAATTGTGAAATGTAGATGAAGATTTTCTGGCTTCAAACTCTCTAACTGATGCTGAAATTTTTGGTGGGATGTTGCAGGTTAATAGTTGGGAGAATTTTAAAACAGATTTCGGTCCGCTTTTCTGTCAGAAGATTATTGAGGAACTCAGAGCCTTCTGATTGGCTAGTAGTCCGTAACTAGTAACTGCACATGTGCAACTCCCAAGAAAGATATTTTAGAAGTGAGATGCAACACTCCATAGCTGGGGCTCAGCTCCATGCCTTCAGTGTAGATTTTAAAACAGCATCAAAATGTGAATCATTGCATTGTTGCAGTTTTACGTCACTCTTGGAAATCATGTGTCATGCACAAGGGAGCTGAACCATACATGCTGGGAATTCGTGACAGCATTAAAGGGGACCATGTATATTTCCATAGTTATGCGAGTGACACGCAACTGTACATCTCTGTTGAACCAAATGATGCTACAGTTATAAACTCCAAGCTAGTAAAAGTTAATACTCCTACAGTTAAACAAGGACAAAACTGAAATCCTACCAGTTGGCCCTAACACAAAAAGAGAAATGCTGTTCAATAATCTGGGGAGATTCTGGATTAAATCAGAGGTTACAAGTCTTGGGGTTATTTTAGATTCAGATCTATTATTTAATTAACAAAGCAACAAAAATATAATTTTTCACCGTAGAAACATAGCCAAGTATGACCAAAAAATCAAAAAGATGATGAAAAATTGATTCATGCCTTTATTTCAAGCAGACTCGACTATTATAAAGCACTATTTACTGGCTTCCTGTAACATTTAGAATTCATTTTAAGATCCTCCTCCTTGTACGCCAAGCCAGTGGGCTAGGACCAAGCTACATTGCTAACTTCCTTGTTCACTACATGTTACGCTTAACACTCCTTGAACCCAACAACAGAACAAGGATTAGGAAGAATGTGAAAATTCACAGTTAATTTTATTTCTTAATTCCAAAAATGTACAACAGTGATCGCTAGCTTGAAGTCCTTCTGAAGACAGACAGACAGTGAGAGCTGAGCAGGCGGCAGAGAAAACAGGCGAGGCACTGAACGAGACTGATGGTGATCTCTCACAGGACATGAGAACCTGAAGCACAAGCAAAAAACAGGATCAGGCACCACTGATCAGGGGAACCACTGATGAGATTCAGAGGTTTGGCAGGAACCTGAGTACCACTTAGGTGTACAGACACAGAATATTGTGGTTTTTAAAGTCATTGCACACTTCCACATATGTTTAAATTATTAATAATTAAATCAACAAACTCAACAAGGCAATAAGAACAATGAACGTAAAAGTTGTCCAAGAGTGTCACTTTGTGTTAAAAAGTGGTGGGGACATAAAGGCCCAGGTCATGGGTGTGATGATACACTTAGCTCACAAGATGTGACGATATATTTGGTTCATGAGAACGGGACGAGATATTTTAACACTATTTTAAAACAAATATTCAATATAGTGATAGGATGGTCAGGGGGTTCTCTCCCAGATAATTTTGAGCTTGACACTTTGAACACTTAATTTCCTGTGTTCTGGAGAAATGTTCTGTTTATGGCGGAGATATCTCTGAAGGGAAAGACAAAATTCAGATGGCAGGTGACAATTCAAAATATAAAAATCTGCAATCTGTAGCTTGTTACTTTTTTTAGGCAGTGCACATTTGTTTCTTCTATATTTACATTACATGGTATGTTTTCTAATTGCGCAAATAAACCAAATAAAAGCATTTTCTTTTTTTATGTAGCATTGATTGTTTTGAGCTATTTTTCCAAACATTTTCAAACCCAACATTTTACAAAAGTGACCCACAGCTGACCCCCCCCCCCCCCCCGTGCCTGTTCCCTACCAATCAAGTTTTCCAAATAAACTGAAAATATTAAATGAACTTCTGTCTTGTGTAAAATCAAACTTAGTTGTACAGTGTCAATAAACATAATTCTTGGCGGATGTTTCTGGATATTTATGTGACCTAAAAAATCCTTCAAGTTTTGAAAATCAAAAACTATTATTTATATAATTTTTCTTTTGCACCGAAATACATCGACAGAAAAGTAGTTTCAGTGTAAAATAGCCACTAGAGGGCCAACTAACTGGCCAAAACGATGCAACGCAGGGAAGAAGAAAAAGGGGGCGTCTTGTCAGAGCCACACGGGCCAATCACAAAAGTGAGCATTCCTCTATGAACCAATCACAGCAGTGGGCCGTGGACCCCGTGCTCTCCAGGAACGCCCTGCTGCTGTTGCAAGCGGACTTGGTCCGTGTCACAATGACCTTTACTGTCAAAGGTAATTAAAGTCTGTGAAGAAGAGCAGACCTCTAGCCCCCCAGATTTTCGCCAGTCGTTATCTTTCCACACGCGCGCACGCGAACGCACTCTGTCAGCACCATGTCGTCCACTGAGCGTGCAGACCTGGGTCTGGCGCTCTGCATCATCACCGGGGCCTCCAGGGGCTTTGGCCGGACTGTGGCGAAGGAGGTGTCGCGGTTGGTGAAGCCGGGCTCGGTGCTCGTCCTGGTGGCCCGCTCCGGTGACGACCTGCGGGCTCTGCGGACGGAGCTGGCCGAGTCCGAGGAAGGAAGAGCGGGACTGGTGGTGGAGTGTGTGGAGGCAGATCTGGGTCAGATGGAAGGACCGGAGAGCGTGGTCAGAGCGTCTAAAGCCGCTTTGCCTGAAGTTATAGATCACCTCATACTGGTCAACAACGCTGGTAAGGAGACAGTATCCGCTAAAGTCAGGTCTGACTGCGGGACTAATCTTTTTCAATAGCTACATTTACTGAAGTGACGTTACAGGTGTTTGAACTTTACTTGAATATTTCCACTTCCCGGGATTATATACATTTACTCCACTACAATTGAAGGGAATTCAGATTTTACACACATTGGACGAGCTTACATAAACAGCCTGTTAAATAGATCAGATTAGTTCCCCCTCTACCAGCTATAACAGTAAAATGCTACACAATGCATCAGTGATGATGGAGGCTAATGATATATAATGCTGTCTTCAGTGTCTGCCATTTATAGTTTATTGGGCCTATTTCTTCAGTAGAGAATAGTTCCAATACAAACTGTTGACAGTGACCTTTTTGTATACTGTGAGTAGCACGCTAGAAATTCCTTTCACTTCTGAGGTGTAGTGTAGTCAGAGAATGTTTTTACTTCTTTAATGTAGGAGAACATACCTTTAATTAAAGATCTTCTCTATTGTCATGGATTAACTTTGAGCAGGGCCGGCCCCAGAATTATTAGGGCACCAGGCAGGATTGGAGTGAAACTTCCTTTTGATTATGTGATCTTGTTTCCTGCCTGAATATATTTTGCACACTAGTTTATGGAACTACTCACAGGAATGAGGATGGAGACACACACATGTGACATGTTCTTCCCTCTCATCCCAGCCTCTCTGGGTGATGTGTCCCGCTACGTCAAAAGCTTCACCAACATGGCAGAGGTGGACTCTTATTTGTCTCTCAATGTCAGCTCCGCTCTGTGCCTCACCGCCAGCGTCCTCCAGGCTTTTCCGCAGCGTCCAGGTCTGAGGCGCACCGTGATCAACGTCTCCTCGCTGTGCGCCCAGCAGCCTTTCCCCTCCTGGGTGCTGTACTGCACCGGCAAGGCTGCCCGAGCGATGATGTTCAGGGTACTGGCAGAAGAGGAGCCGGACCTCCGGGTGCTCAACTACTCCCCAGGTAAGGAACTGCCCGTTTACACCCGGGTACATTCAGGACCAACTGGTCAGCCTGAAACTGAAGCTGAATTGAAGCAGTGGCTGGAAGGTGGAGATCTAACTCCAAACACTTTTTCAAACACTTTCAAAGAAAGAGAAAATGTGGAAGACCTAAAGAGCCATGCAAGGGGTTACAAGCACTGGATTAATTTAATTACACAATAATGAGGAGTTGATAAAAACAAAATAAGAAATAATTCAAAAAGAAATCCAGTAATAAATATTTCTTGATTATGATGAATCATGAACGAATTAGCACTTAATTTTTCTATTTATTAATTATTTATTATTATCATAATTGTTTTCTATGTTCTACCTCAGATTTGTTAAGTGATCCACTCTTTGGCATCATTTGTTCTGACCATAAAGAAAAGTTTAACCACAATTAACCATCTGGTTTCTTCAACTTTTAGTCTTTAAAAAAAAATCTGCCTTTAAACTTGAAAGAAATAATGATTTGACATTTATTGTGATAAGTATATTTATCAAATGATATAAAGGTTTTTATCGTAATAACATATTGGTCATATTGCCCAGATCTGTGTGCTAATCATCACAATAAAGTAGTAAAACCACAGTATAGTTTTAAAACTTATTATTTTGTCTCTACTTTGCAGGCAAAAGGGTTTTTTCTGTTCCTTCAAACCATAATTTTCTTGAACCCAGTTTATTTTTGTCCTCTGTATTGAACCAGGGCCCCTGGACACCGCCATGCAGTTGGTGGCCAGATCTGAAACAGCTGATCCCAGCTTGAGGAAGGCTTTTTCAGACAAGTTCGCTCAGGGCCAGCTGCTCACCTGTGAGGCGTCCTGCGCCAAGCTGATGAAGCTGCTGCTGGAAGACAAATACACATCAGGAGCTCACATCGACGTCTTTGACGTTTAGACGTAGCACGAGCACACTCAGCCTTTTAGCTCTAGGGCAGATTATTTAAATGTGCCTTGATTTTAATTGAAACTATTAATTTACACTGTTGATGACTACAGCCATAAATGGAAAAGTTCAATTAATTTTTATTTATATAGTGCCAAATCACAACAACAGTTATCTCACAGCACTTTTCATAAAAGAGCAGGTCTAGACCGTACTCTTAACTGTGATGTTGATTAGTTATAAGCTGATTCAAATTTCACTGTCCGTCTTAACTCTGCAGGTTGTAGCATTCTGATGTTAAACTGACCAGTTTGACAGGATGAAATATCAAACTGATGTTCATCAGATTTACTTTCAAAACATTCCAGAGCAGAGGTGCAGTAAAGCTGCAGTCAGTAATGTCACTGCACGCACAGTTAGAGAAATTCCTTTGAGATGGTAGACACTACAGGACATGAAGCACACATTTGTAGAAAAGATAGACAGTTAGGAAACATTATGTGTTGCTTTCAGCCCATTCTCCGAGTTCCCTGGTCAGATCTATGTGGTCAGATCCACGATATTTTTATAGCACCACTGTAACTTAACTCTGAAGCCTTTAAATCGTACACATAGTGTGCTTTAAAGTGTGAGACTGAAAAAGACATGCTGGTTGGTAACAGGATGGCTGGTTTGAGCTTTGCCAAGATCATAGTTGGGAACATTGAATGAAAAACCTCAGAAACTTCAGTAAATCATTTGTACTGGTGCTTTACTGCACATGCCTCAGGCCATAATGAGTAATCTTCTGGTCACAGGGCGTCATAATGCAGTGGTGGGATATGATTTGAAAACACATGACATCACCTGTTCACCCTGCTGCCTTCTGGGAAGAGATATATAGAAGTTTCTGCTGCCATACCATCAGACTGCAGAGCAGCTTTTCCCCCCAAGCTATCAGACTCTTAAACTCTAATTCATCCTCAGCACTGCTCCAGTGATGATACTTACTTTCTGTTTACCATTTTTATGATTGCTTCTGTATTAATGTATGTTGTTTGCTATGTAGCAGAAGGGATTTACAAACTCAATTTCATTCTATAGAGAGAGAGAGAAAGAGATCCCTGTCTGTGATGGATAACCGCTTTAATGACACATCGGAACTGTAAAACAGAAACTGTACTGCAAGTTAAATAACTGTATTAAAAAATATGAGAAACGAAGACCGTAAGCTAAGACCATAGGCAAAAGAAAATATTAAGAACAAAAAACACAGGAGACACCTAAAAAGTAAAGATTAGGAGCTCACCAAGGCCAGGTATTTGTTTCATCACAACCTCTATCTTTCTGTTTGCATTAATCAGAACCAGGCAAGTTGGGTGGGTGGGTTTCAAGTGACGCTGTGTGTCAAACACTACATAAGTGTATCCACCTCTGTAGCACTCTTCCATTACAAAACATGGTGAGTGTCTCAAACTGTTAAAAGTAAAAGACGGCTACATTCAGGGACTTTGACATCACCCATCGGTCCAATTTTGAGAAAAATCAAAGATAAAGCAGCGAATGCTTTAGGGCGGGGCTACCTTGTGGTTGACAAGTTACTGCTACAGCAACCTTTCAGAGGTAGCATTGGTAGCAATGTTTATCCCTCCCAAGCTCCACCCTTTCATACAAATATGGTCACTTCTGGTTCCAAAAACAGTCAGTATGCCAAACTCAAGACTTTAAAACAGAAGTACTGTGTCATAAATTCCAGCCATAGTGAAGTCTTTACTATTATAAAGTCAGCTTTACAGGGCCTTACCTGTGATATGTGTTAATGTTTGTTATGAGATGCTGATGTAAAGTAATAGTGCTCCTGTAGTGCTGAGCCTAGGCATTTCAATATGTGAGAGAAATGTGGTTGTGTTCTTCTCCGCTCAAAATATTTTTCACACATTCCTCAATGACTTGTTATTTTTTATATAAATGTGGATTGGAAATGATTGCTTTGTATAGGTGTTATCCAGATTAATTTTGTAAACGTGAGGCTGTATATTAAAGATACACAATACTGAGATTACCTGTTCATTAGTTTTTGTCTTTTGTTCTCTTCATACATGCCATTGAAGCCCAAAATCCGACAATCTTACATACAAAAATATAAAAACACAGTACGTATACAAATGATAATATAAAGGTACCACTTTGTTTTTAATTATTTCTTTAATGTTAATAAATCATTCACTACTTACAGATCAGTAATAATCCATAATACATTTTAGAAATTCCCTTGAGTGTCCATGCTGAAAACACTTGACATTTTGCCAGTGCTGTCCAATGTTCAGTCTCCTTTAAGTTCTGCTTCAGCCTCCACCAACTCCTAATAAATATCTCTGTAGCTCTGTAGCTGCTAAATAAGAATACTAACTATTTATATTGCACTCATCAAACAAAGGTACAAAGTGCTTCACAAAAGACACACAGGGCAAAAAAGGACATGAAAGACCACCATGGAAGATAAAATACATGGGGAGAGAAAAAATAGAAATCACAGTGAAGTAAAACAGATATACTGTAAGAGGAATACAACTCAAATAAATAGCAACTTTATATAACTAACATAAAAACCTTAAGATAAACAGGCCACTCAGATAAAATCAGGATATGCCTTCTGATAAAAGTGCATTTTAAATAAGACCTAAAAGAAGACATGGACTCAGCTCTGTTCATCAACTAGTCACTAACTTTGTCTCTCGGCTGTTTGGTGCTGGGCAGCAGCAACAACGTCAAGGTCAAGGGGCTCACCAAAATCATTAGGATTCACCTTCTGGGGGCCATGAATGTCCACACTACAGCACATTTACCAGCTGTTCTGACACATCTTGATCTGGGCCAAAGAATTAGACCACAAACGGTGTTGTAGTCAAGAACGCCCAAACCAAGACCAAGTAAAGACCAAGACCAGAGTTTATTGAGACCAAGACAAGACAAAGACTTTTATGGACTGAGACTATGTCGAGACCAAGACCGGGGGAGGGGAGGGGAGAATGAGACCAAGACCAGTTCCCCACATTACATGAACTGACTGCATTAGCTACTTATCTCATTATGTTTACTAAATTACAGATTGCTGTGTTGTTGTTTTACAGATTAATTCTTTTTAGTTTAGGTAGCTAAATATTATTACAAATGTTTTGCTTAAATATCCTCCTGCTCCCAGACAGCCACATCTTCTCCTGTCTCCCCCATTCACCTTTTTGGAGTGCGTGTGAAGAGGGGTGGGGAGGAGTGACAGCCGTTAAAGGTAACAACACATTTTTAATTAGGGTTATTGGTTGCATTTGAAGCAATACGTTTTACATCCCATCAAAGTTAGGATGTTAGCAAATAAACAGACAATGCAAAAGCAATTTATTGATATTCCCAAAGTTGTAGTCTTGACTGGTTTTGAAATAAAATCCTGAGTCCTCTATGTTTGAGACCAAGACCGAGTGCAAATGACAAGACTGAGACCATCAAAAAGTGGTGATGAGACCAAGACTGGTCTCGAGTACTACAACACTACTACAATCTAGATCCTAGATTGTAAAATATATAAAAAACCTAAAATGTTTTTATATAAACAATTAGTGAAATGACTCTGTTATGTAAAGGGGCTGCTCACACTGAGTTACCCACAGAGAATTATCACTAATTTTTTATCATTCTCATCAAGTTTAAAGTTTCAACTAACTCTTTTTTAGCAAATATATCCTTTCCTCTTGCTGCGTCCAAAAAAGCAGTAGTCAGACACTGTTGTTGGGGAATTGGGAATTTTTGGGAATTCCAGAGTTAAAACTATTATTATTGTGAAAGACTTCATATGAAATAAAAAACTCTATATAGATGTAAAAATGTATCTCTACAATAACTAATCCCCAATTTCACTGCTCATGCCTAAACACCAGTGTTAGCTGACAATTACATAAAATATGAAATTACATAGTGATAATAAAATGATAGGGTGGGCTCTCGGCTAGCTAACATCAGATAGCTCACTTTCAGTAAAAGAAATGCTAATTACGAATCTCTGAAGGTAGGAAAGTTAAGTGTATTAAAGCAGATATATAGATCACTACTGACATTAACCTGCTGCGTCTCCATTAGCTCCACTATGCTGTGAGTGATGCAGACAGACAAAATGTTCAACTAACTCAATGTTAGGAAATGGTAGAGTCCATTTTAGGGGTGTCTGATTCAAGATTCTTAAATAAAAGGCATGAGTACGGGATATATATTATAATATTTACAAATACAGGTAAGAAAGACCCCCCTGAACTGTTGGTTTTGCCTCTTTTGGGGGAGTCCAAGCCTTAACTAGGGGGGTCAGACCCCCCAATCCCCCCCATAATTTGAACTATACTTGTCAGGCTTGTTTCCACTGGCAACAGGCTGATGTTTTCTGGGAATGAATATAGGGCTTACACACAAACTCTTGCATACAAACCCAACTCCAAATAAATGCTAATGATGTCTGTTGAATATAGGCAACTGTTAGCTAACAAGTTCACCATATCAACTTATATGTGTCAATCAGTGACCCCAAAAAATCAAGTACTTCTGTTTAAAGGCTTACTGGCGGGTGAAAACGACAGGATGTGGCCACCTCCACTGTGTACTGTGCAAAAGTGTTTTAAAAATGAAAGGCCGCTACTGAATGTGAGCAGCTCTGTTTCCTGTAATGTGCCTCTGACAGACGGCCACAGCTGCCCCAGACCGAAATATCACAGGAGGAACCAACCCAAACAAGGGGACGACACCCGTAGACTACCTCTGCCTCTACTACCTCCCCAAGCCCCTCTCTTTTCCCACTGCTCACCCACCTTTCCACTCCGGGAAGGTGGTATAACCCCTAAAGGCAAATTTATTTTTGGCTGTAGCAGGGGTAAGGAGAGAGGGAGGGCAAGTGCTCCTGAATGTTAGTGAGAACTCTGCTGCTTGTTTAGTCCCTTATCCCTCGGCCCGTCCCATCCTCAGCCACTTTCTGCTTCCTCTCTGTCTCCTCTGTGTTTTGTTTGGCCAGCACAATGACTGTGGGGAACATGGAGAGCGCTGAGCTGTTTGATGCAGGGAAGAAAGGTCGAGGCCTAAGGGCCACCAAAGAGCTCAACACTGGGGAAGTGGTCTTCGCCGAGCCCAGTTTCTCTGCTGTGGTCTTCGACAGGTACGAGGCTCCTTGTTGTCGTTTTTCGGCTTGATGGAAATGTAAAAGAACTGATCTTTTCTCACTCAGCATGTCTTTGCAGACCTGGCTTACACACTGCAGGTGTGTTGTGGACAGGCTCCCTCAGCCCTCTCTGGGCTGTGATCTAATTTCTAGATCCCCATGACATCAGCAGTGAGAAAGCTGTCAAGGTGTCATGTGAACTTGAGCATGACATACATTTGGATTCAGTTTTCAAGGGCAAGGAGGCTCTACCCAAAGGAATATATGACACCTTGTACACTTTCAGATTAATTTCTTGAATTAAAAATGAATTACATCAGTCTTAGAGATTCCACTGACCTCACACGGGGTCTGAACCTGAGATCTGAAAATTTCAGCAGTGTGGATAACAAAATAACTTTATTCTCTGTACATTGAGTCTGCGCTTTTAGACATTGGTTGTACCTATAATTTGTAGACACTCTTTATATGAGTTATGTGTGTTATTACAGCTGATAAAAGTGTATTTGTATAGCACCTTTCAACAAAAAAGTCTTTTGTTGCAGTTTGTCCCAGATATGTGGTGTATAGAAATTGAATGCTGCCCCCCCCCCCCATGTTTACTTTTGACTCTGGGGATAGAAAACAGACCTTAGAGGTGGATGGTTTATAACATAGCAGCAGGTCAGAAATAGATTTTAGTCCCCAAATCATTGAGTGTTTTTTCTAGAAGTAGTATTTTTAAAGAAGTGTAAAGATCTGAGAACTGGACTGATGTGGTCTATCCTGGTCTTAGCAGCAGCGTTCTCAATAAGATGCAGCTAT